GAAAAACTATCTAATAAACCCATTGGAATTGATTTCTTGAATCTAGGGTCATTTATTTCTACATCTGTTCTTTTGCTTTCTGATTTCGACCCATCTGTGCACTACATTTATAAGACAGGTTTAAAACTTATAAATTCTGATCCTAAGACGCCACGGTCGTTGATAATGACTTAAAAGTTTCTAACAATTTTTGCATTGAATGGTTAAAAAATGTACAATTTTCTAAAATGGCAAACCTTAAACTAAACATATTATGGCTTGGACGATATATATCTAAGGATAATACATATTTCTGAAATAGTGCTGCCACTAAGTGTACCAAAATTTGATATCAAATAATAACAAATTTAAAGACATAGTTTTTAATAAAGTGAGAATTTATCTTTTTTAGGAAAAAAAAACAATCTCCTTCCTCTGTTTGAAACTGAAAGTATCTATTTTTTAAAGACAAATCAGTTTTCTCTCATTATTTGAATAAGATAACTTTTAATTTTATTCTATTAATAATATAATAAAACCTTTTCATGGATTTAGATTCATAGATAGATCATAGATAGATTTCACAGATTTTTTCATAGATTTATGGGAAGGTTGCAGAGCATTTCGATTAATTTGCTTGCGCATACGTTAGATACTGAAACTAAAAAGAAGTATTTGAGATACATTAAATATGAAAAGACCTACTAAAAAGTATAATAAAATAACCTAAATACGCAATATTAAACAGACTTAAATTAACATTATAACTATTTAAGAATCTAAATGACTTATAATTCTTATAAATCCATATCGATACAGATTTGTCAAAATATTCAACGACAACTGACAACTGTTGAGATTACAACTTTTGGACAGTACACAATTGAATAGAATTGGAATTCCATTGACTTCGGATCTAACAGTAAATCATAATGAAAACAAAAGCCGCAATGGGCAGATTGATAATGCCCGTGGCTATGGAACAGTGGAAGAGTGGAAGAGGCAAGCACTGCCACTAAGTAAGTCAAGCTCGTTAAATTGTCATAAAAATACCAAAATAAAGTTTCATTTTCATTCAAAATTTTAATGACAAATTTATATTTGATTAATAAATAAAAACTTTAATTTGCCTACAAATTTATGTGTGAATAAGCAAAACATACCGGCGACACCGGCAACACCGACAACACCGACAACACCGACAACACGGGCAGCACCCGAACACTCGGATAATGTGAGGAGAAAGATGAAAGGAATTAAAGATTTTAAGCGGTTTATTAAGTTGTTGAACAATGGAACTATCAACAGTTGTGGTGACAGTTCATCACCTCGCGTGATACCAACAAAAAGATTAAATTATTCATTTTAAAAGATTTTTATGAATTTCATGCTTATCTCTTGGCGAAAAGGCAGCAGTTTGACTGATATGAGTCGCTTGGACCATAATTGACAGAAGATAGAAGACAGAAGACAAAAAGCCCGCACATCTGTACAAAATGTTTATCATATAAGCGCACATAAATAGATTTATAAATGGAAGGTGACTTTCTCTAAATATAATTAATTGTATTGCAATGATGAACTTGTGTATTATCAGATACAATACTCGTATCCGTAGCTGTTCGGTTCGAGTTTATGATTTTAGGAAATTAAGAATGAATATCGCGGCATTATTCGCCGATGTTCACTATTCACTATTAAAACGTAGTAAAACCATTTGTGAAACAAATTTGCCCCAATACTTCTTAGCTCGAGATCATTAATTGTAGTCAAGTTGTTGTTATAGTTTCAAAGCTATTTTTGGTAAATAAAACTACGGAACAATAAAATAACTTTTTACGATTCTACTGATGTCGAAAAGCGCGTCAAGTGAATCACTATTAGAGCGAAGGGAACGAAACTTAATTGTAGTTCAAATACAGATACACTCGCTTCATTCAAAAGAAATTCAAATGAAAGTGAAGAAATGGCATTTTTCCAGACACTGCCAACCACCAATAATGTGGGCCAATAATAGATTGAAAATGCTAAACGTTCCATAAATTATTTATACTAACAAAGTCAATGCGTTGAAGTACTTATAGAGAATCCATTCGATAGACATATCTTATTTATATCTACCTTATTAATATTCCTTATTACCCTATATTACCTTAACATACCTTATGAATATTCAAAAATGTAAATGTAACTTAATTGTATAAAAGTTCATGTTTCATATAAAATCGGTGTTTTATTTGGAGCGTATATGAATTTAATAGACGTGCTTGGCAATGTTTGTAGCATATATCTAATAAGAAATATATAACAATAGCAATATTGGCATAAAAAAATTAGAATAGCAGAACTAAAATATGAAATTGAAAAAGTATTTTGCAACGCTACAGTAGTTCATAATATAAGTTCCATAGGCTTAAAATACAAAAAAAAACTTATTAGACTACACTATAATATTAGAGTATACTACTCTCGGACCGTTTTGGCATAAAGTCTAGAGTAAACGAGCAGGATGTTATCTTTACCTACATCTCTAACCTGTTATAGTTATAAAACAAATCAATAAGGGCATTACATATGATTCATTCCTTGTAATTGAATACAGCGTCATAGCAACAGAAAAGGCGTACTAATAACAACTTTTATATATATGTTCCTACGACCTATTCTCATATACGGCTACAAGATATGAACACTCAAAGGTTCAAGTCTGAAAGGAGTTTGTAAGAAGACAACTTGGGATTTCGCTACAATGTCTGGTCTCAAGAAACTGTCCAACAACGACTCTGTCATCAGTTTTTATAAAGCATTACTTACAGGATTGCTTAGCATATTATCCAAATCCGTAGGACAGCATGGTTATAATATATAACCATATAATAAGAATCATAAATTAACAAAAGCATGGAATAAAGGCGACTGTGAATGGAACACTGACCCACAATTGTTTGTTATAGCAAAGAATGATACTTATGTATCATTGGAAGAAATCTATAGAAAAATTCTCTTATTTGTAATAATTTATATATAATATATATTACAAAATATAGATGGTAATATTACTTAGATATATAAAAAATAACACTACTATATCAATATTATTTGAGAGCTACATACGATATCGTGTATTGTATTCCATACTATATATATGAACCCATAGACAACGAAGTCTAATCAGATAACTAGCCACTTCTCGCATTTACAAGCTCAAAGGTTGGCCGCAACGGAATAATTTCGTTTTTTATGGCAAACAATAACCGAAAAGGTTCGATGAAATTGCTCCAAAAATGATAAATGAACATGTAACAGAGTTTTGTATTCGCATCTTCTTCGTCAGCTTCTGTGCTCCACTCATTTGCATTTCCATAATTGTTCGATCGTACAAACATAAACTATGGTTTTAGTGTTTTATTTTTTTTTTCTGTTTTTCTGTTTTTAATATTGAAAATGAAACGATGCGAACGCTTAAAAATGTTGTTTTTGGAAATGCCAATCAACTGAATAACTTTCGATCTTATACAATATGTCAATTATTATTATAGATACATTTTTAACTATTTTTCTAAATTTTTAGTTTCAAAGAAATATCTTTCATTTCTTTCTTTTTTGCAAACAAAAAAAACATTTCAGAGAATTAAACACCAAAAAATATATTTAACACGCGGCCAATGCTCTGAACGAATTTCAAATATTCAAATTCAGAAATAACGCCATGAATTAACTGTTGTTTTTAGATACGTGAGGATCCTACCAAAAATATACAATTCATTCATGGAGGTGCTATGGTGTAGCTCGTTAAAAACGATAACAATATGCATTATAATTGCAAATAACAATTAACTTGAATATGTTAAATTTTTTAGACATTGTAGTTCTATTTGTTTCCTTTCTCTCACAATTACCGCTAACTTACCACGGGTGTTTATAACCTTTTCCGGTTCAACTAAAAGATGGCGCCAGCGAAAAGTAACAGCGTATTAGTATGACACATAAGTCATTTTATTGGTCCCACTATTTGAGTCCGCCAAAACTAACGTCCTTGTTTTGTCGTTCAGTGTTCAGTCGAATTTTGTGTCTGATAAAGAACAATTGCGGCACGCATTGCTTTTCTTAAGTAATCAAAAGAAAGAGGCAATTGAAAGTTATAGCTTGCTAATAGAAACATATTGCTGACACACCCCATCGACTAGAACATGTGAAACATCGACTAAAAGTAGTGATTGCTATGTGAAAGAGAGTAAGCGCTCTGGTAAACCACAAAAGTGCAAATGCGATCACTTGAAATACTTGAAACAAGACTAAATAAATCTGACTGTCTTTTAAGTCATCTCGATTTAAGAAATTGTAGGTAGAAGCTAAATACCCAATGTCACTAGAATGCTTTTTAACCAATCATTATTGCTTTTACCCCAAGAGAAAGAGAAAAAACTATCAAGCTCTCACAATTAATTCTTTTTAAAAAAATCCTTATTATTGTTCCAAAAAGAACTGCCAAAAAGTAATTATAATAGTGCTACTAAAAATAAAAAATATGTTTCATTTAATTATTTAAAACTTTCAAGATTTTATACTACCTATAACCATACTTCCAATACAAATAATACCAACATTAATGAAATGTTTTATATATTTATCTCAGCACTATAAATCCTGATTTTACAATTAGTCTAGTATTACTCACATCTCTTGCCAAAACCGTCAACCAGATATGCAATAGATGAATCCATTTTGCTTTAATTTGAAAACAAAGAATATGCCCTTCTATTTCTTGTCTACTATTTTAAAAACCAAACCTGATTTTATGCACCATCTTTCCATAATTAAAATCACTGAGATCCTGAACAAAAAGAACAAAAAATCAAAAGCTAACTAAAGTCTACTTCCTCTAATAAAACTAATTAAAAATCTACTTCAATATCCCATCACCAGTCCAACTCATTTTTTTTATATATTGTTCCTGAGTTCTAATTTAGATTATATTAGTTTCCATTATTTTATTTAGTGTAATAGTTACAACTCATTTCAAATGGTGCCATTTTAAAGAATCAGTTGAAACGCCTGTTCCCCACTTTCTCGTAGTCACCAATATTTGCCTTCTTCATACGCTGACGTACTTGCATACTTTCGTATCGATTTCTAATAATCGAGTCCTTTGACACCACGAAAGCATAAATGCCCGCAAAAGTTACTATTGACCTATTAGGAGCAAACATTTTAGTTTCCTTGAATTTGAATTTTAAGAGTTAGAAGATTTTAAATCCATCTTACCAACCAATCGCGATTTTCGCTAAGTCACTTAAAGGCATCTTTATGCAATTAATAGATAATTTGGTACAGCAAAAAATTATAATTATAGTTAAAGAACTAAATTTAAAAAAGTGAAAGTGTTCTAATACTGCAACTAGATTCATGTGAAAAAAAACTAGTCAACTATTCAAATGAATTGATGACTATATGGGATTAAGGAATTTAGTGTTTACACTATCAAGCATCACTTTATATAATTTTTTATTTTATTTAAATTATACGATTTACGTCAGATATCTTTTATCTAATATCGTGATATTTATAACGACATATTTATTCATATTGATATATATTATTTCATTGGATTCTTCTTTTTTCTTTCTTAGTTGAACATTACAGGCCGCGTCGAGTGGCCTCCGCGTCGATTAGTTGCTTGCTGCCGCCAGTTGGTAGTACCGAACGTCCCCAAATCGTTGGTCACCTGGCACTAAAGATGCGAACGTCCTCTACCGCGTTTCCCACCTGCGGATACCCAATCAAACACCTTTCTAGCCAGAACACTTTCTTCCATTCGCACGACATGCCAACCCAGTGAAGCCGCTGAATTTTTATGCGCTTAACTATGTCAATGCCGCGGTATAGCTTATACAGCTCATCATTCCATCTAAGTCAATACTCATCGCCAATACGTAAGGGACCATAGATCTTCCGAAGAATTTTTCTCTCGAATGCTTCTAGCGCCTTCTCATCACTGTTGGTGATTGTCCAAGCTTCTGCATCATACAGCAGGACAGGTAAGATAAAATTAGGATCATTGGATTACAACCTTAGTGTGAAGAACAGAAAACTGATCTATAGCCAGATAATTAGACCAGCATTACTTTATGGGTGTGTCGCGTATAGCAAAGCTGCCGACTCTACTATACAAAAGCTACAAGTCGCTCAAAGTTAGGCTCTCCGAGGGCTCTTCAAAGTGCCTTGGTACATCCGCACAAACGACATGCTAAGAGACCTTAGAATAGACCCGATCAAAAAATACATAAGGGACAGAGCTCTGAAGTTATATGTGAAAATTGACAGGCCATCCTACTTATCACTTTCTAATCTTAGAGTAATCACTCTCCGCACGGGGAGGTACGCAGATCTTAGATCAATCACTGAATAATCGTGAAGCTTATAGGCAATACATAAATTAGTCAATAAGATGGGTGGGACCCTGTAGTACCCCCAGCTATCAAAGAGTAAAAGTGCCCAGTTGCGCTGACTCGAAAAAAGGATCAACATCAACAACTTATTTTATATATTTATTAACATAATAAAACTTTAAATTGTAGCTACCAAAAAAATCCTTAATCATATTTAAATAATATAAATAATACTTGTCAATTGCTGAACTTAACTGAAAAAAATTGATAAATTAATAGAAAAATTCTTTAATTCTTCTTAGATAAAATTTAATTAGATATAATTAATTTATTTAATTAATTTATCAATAAATTTTTAATATACATTTATACTAACAACATTAATAATGGGTTGAAAGGCGGCCGTATTTGTATTTACTCAGATAGTCAAGCAGGAATCAAAACATTATCATCCTAGAAGTTTTCCTCAAAGCTTCTGTTAAACTGCTGTGACACGCTGGAGCAGCTGGCAAGCAAAAACAAAGTGATGCCTGGTCACACAGGAATCAATGGTAATGAGTCTGCGAACAGTCTTGTGAGATCAAAATCTGCCATTCAACTCTGTAGACCGGAGCCATATTGTGGATTGAGTTGGTCTACAACTAGGTCTCTGATAAATAAATGGTTTTCAGCCGAGAGAAGTCGCTACTGGCGCGACATTTCAGGTAACCGTCAGGCAAAAAAGCTGGTTCATCCATACAGTTATGGCAAGGTATCCTTCTTTAGCAGAACAGAATTGAGATTGCTAGTGGGATATTTAACAGGTCACCATGGACTGCGTTATCACCTTAACAAAATAGGTCTGACCGAAGAAAAAGATTGTCAACTCTGCTTAAAATCAGATGGGACTTCCAGTCACATTCTCTATGACTGCCCAGCCTTGATCTGGGCCCGAAGGAAATCACTAGGACAAGAACTACTCTCCCCTTCTGGCATTAGGAGGTCCTCAACGGCTGACATTCTGGCTTTCATTCGGAAGGCGGATTTTCTTCTGTTTGGTTAAGGTCTGTTGCTGCACAAAAGATCAACTATGGTCGGAATTCTCCGCTCCGTTGGGAGCTGGTACCCTGTTTGTTTCTATTCTGTTCTATTCTATGCTAACATATTCAACAATTAAATAGTAAAGGAGTGATATAAAGCAAAGAACAGAAATGTGATAAAATTAATTCTCAAATTTCGTAAAATTGGAAATGAAATATTACAAAACATTTGCAATTTAAGCAAGTTAATATTATTTTTACTAGAAGAACCGAATTTTTTCATTTAAATGCAAAAAGCAATGCAGTTAAATATTACAGTTGACGAACGCTAACAATGAAGACTATAAATAAATTGTCATTTATTTGCACTAATAATATACAACGAGAAGTTGCTAAATAAAATATAGTACAAAAATGATTATAGTTCCTGAATTTTTGATAAAAAATAATTTCATATATATTTTATAACAAAATAAACGATCGTGTATAAATATTTATTTTTTTAAAATTGTGAACATTTGTTACAACTGTTCAGTACATAACATGAAGTATTTAATTGCATACTTTGAGGCATTTCTTTAAAATTAATAATAAATATTTTTACACAAAAAAAATTCCCTTTTCTGAATTATACTAAAAACTGTAATATTGTACAGTGTTAAAAGTATAATATTATATTGAAACGGAAAGCGGAAGACTAGTCATCCGATTTAATGGATTTTATTTTAATTTTTGTTGTGAAAAATTTTTATTTTGCATTAAAAGCAACAAGAATTGACAGCTAAAATTACAAACAAAACTCTCGTGTGGACACATGATAAATCTGACATTCAAATTACAATGATTTGTCATGTGCATCCATATTTTTACTATTTGATTTCAGATGTAAGTTTAAAATTTTAGACAGCTTAAATTACAATCAAAACTCTCGTGTGAATCCAGTACTAATATGCAGTAATGTACTAGCAGAGTAATCAAGTAAAGGCCACTTGTTCCGTCGATTACTACCGTTATATAACATGGATATTCGTAAACATTAAGCATAATTACAACAAATGAAAAATAATAATGTATACTGCTAACTATTCCTTGCATATTGGTAAAAAAATTAATAACAATAAATTTTTAACCATTCTGTCGTACAGTGCACAAGCTCTGTATCATATCTTTAAGCCACCTATCATTAGTTGGGTGGCTCTGTGATGGGAACTGTCGTATGAATCCAATATTATGAAGTTTACATTCATCCATTTTCAATTGGGTTGTTTAATTGACGAAATGTGCAGTCTTCTAATAGCAGTAAATTAGTGGATAATTGTGCTATTCTGAGAGAATTATCACAAACATTTTTGTATTGCAAAAGTGACTAATTCCAATACAATTAGCTAGTTAATTGTGAATATAGTTAGAATATACTGAGAATATAGTTAGTACTGATGAAAAATGCTATATTTAATTTAAATTGCAGATTATATATATATTTTTTTTTGCTTTGCTGACTTTAATATGTTCTCTTCTCTTCTCTTTTTTTATTTGTTTAAATGTTTAAAATAACAGAATTGATACAGAAGAATTATTTCTCTTCAAATAATACATTAAGACTGAAAAGTTTTCGGAAATTCTCATTTAAAATTCGCGCGCTGTATATTTTTCGATATTTTAAGTTTATGTAGTTTGGCAGCACTGTCCTTAATTACTATGCCAAAAATGAGCTCGATCTGTCAGACAGTTCGTTTACGGCAGCTGTTGAAACCAGTTCACCTCAGTAGTGCGTTGCGAAATGTCTTCGACGGTCGTACGACCGTCCTGGAAGGCTTTGTACCACTCATAAACTTGAGTTTTCGATAAAACTGATTCCCCATAAGCCTTTTGTAGCATTCGCAACGATTCTGCACACGAAATTTCGTTCGAAACACAAAATTTGATGCAAACTCTTTGTTCAATATTTTTTTCCATTGTTTTTTTCGCAACGCCCTACTGAGGTGAACTGGTTTCAACAGCTGCCGTAAACGAACTGTCTGACAGATCGCGCTCATTTTTGGCATAGTAATTAAGGACAGTGCTGCCAAACTACATAAACTTAAAATATCGAAAAATATACAGCGCGCGAATTTTAAATGAGAATTTCCGAAAACTTTTCGGTCTTAATGTACAATATTGATATTTTCTAGAATATAGCTTATATTGGATGTAAACATACTCAGATTATTTAAAAAATAAATAAGTGCTACAAGAAAATAAAATTTTTTTGTATAGAGTTCTGTATTTTTTTTTCTTAACTCAAGAGTTAAAATAAAAATCAAGTTCTCTTCGAACTTCTTTTGACCCAATGCATTAGATTTCCTGTCCTAATATAATTCCAGGCCGTGTGTGAGTTCAAGTAAATTGAGATAAAAAATTAAAATTTCTTAGGGATTTTTTGCAATACACTTATCTAAATATTTATTTATTTATTTATTGGACTTATTTATTATTTTTGGTTAAAAGATTTAAATTTATTCATTTATTTATTAAACATCTTATAAAATTTTCACAATGGTTATACCTGATTTACCTAATTTTTATCTAATTTAACCTACTCGAAATTCTGGTAAATACCAACATTTGCGGCCATACCGACATAATTTACTATTTCTCTCAATTTACCATTGATTTACTTGAACTCGCACACGGCCCTAATATAACATAACTTTCTATTTAGGGAGTATTGTACAAGATGATTTAAGTTGAACTTATTAACTCGTTAATCTTGTTCCTATAATTTGTTGTTCTTCGTAGAATTTGTTATCACGTTACTTAATTAACGTGTACCATATTTCTTGACATTCACTTTTTTCTTTTTAACTCAAAACATCAAAAGTAAAATCTTTTCTGATGATTAAATAGAGAAATAATTGCAAAAGTGCGTTCACATTTACATGGTTTATAATTTTAACAAGTAAATTAGTTCAATTAAAATACCCTTTATATTTTTATGAAACATATAACAATTAAATATTTATTATTTATATTAACCATAACAATAAATATTAGAAAAATTAAAACCTAATTTTTTTATTAAATGTTGTAGGAAATAATACAGATAATTTACAATAATTTCCGTTAAATGGTTAAGTTCCGATAAAATTTTTGTGATGCAGTTAATATCATAGTGAACGCACTTCACAAAAGTTCAAATGTGTTGTGTAAATGTTCAAAGTTAACGGATGAAAGCTTGGAAACACTTTTTTATCGCACTTGTCTGTGGTTTTTGGTTGTGTGTTGTGTTGCTGAGGCCATTCAAATTTTTTTTATTTAAATTTTCATTTTAAATAAAATCTTAGTTTGTTTTTGCCGTCAGTCTGGTTTTAACGTTGTTGGGAGTGGTTGTGCGCAGCTAATTTTTCTCGCAGAACTAAGATATATAGCCAATCTGTAATAATTATTTTAATAGTTCATACAAATATTTGATATTTACTAAAATAATAAAGGTAAGCACAAATAATTAAGTTTACGCATGATTATTTTCTAATCAAACCATTTTATTTTTTAAAATTTATTTAATTTAATCGTTTTTAAAGAGACTTTTGATTTATATTTAATTACAATTCAACTTTTTTGACCTTTGCAACATGTTAAAATTTACATAGTTTTTTTTATACAAATTATTTTTTTATAATCATGTATCAAAGGTGAAAGCCGGTAAAAGTCCACATACGTGTATTTGAGTATGTAATTTATGCGTGAACTATATTCATTTTCAAAGGTTGGATTTCAATGAAAAATAATTTTTTTTTAAATTAAAAACGTCTGATATTACGCAGTATCAATTTATTCAATTCAACATTTAATTACATATGTAATTATCGTACTCATTTCTTTAATACCTTCACTTAGTAACCGATGTGTTTAGATAAAAATCACAGAGTTGCATTTCTTATTGAAAATATATTTTAATTAATAAAATTTTTTTAAAGTAAAATGTAAATTATGTTAAATTAAAATTTTAAAGTGTCTTTTAAAGAATTTGGTAAAAATATCTCTTTTGGTATATAGAATAAAAGTTTGTTTAAGTAATATGGAGAACAGTAAATTTCAAATTTCTCAAGATATATGCAGTTTACTTTTGAATAATAAATTATGCTCTGAGGTAGGTCAAGTACTCTGAAAGCCCTTAATCGATATTATCGTAATATATCAAACTGCAATATTGAATAAAGATTATATGCAGATAAAATATATAATGCAATTAATTAGTTTTCCAAAGTATTTAGGTATAATAAACAAAAAGTATCAATTTCAATATTATACAAATTTCCTGCATATTATGTATAATAAATTTAAATTTATAAATTTGTTATGGAAATACACACATTTCGCGTTTGTCATTATTTGTTTGTGAAGCCATAATGCAATCTGCAACTGTGGTTGTGTGCGTGCAAACAAAGAAGCAGCCAACGCAAGTACGCAAAAAGAAAAATAAAAACAAAAATAATGGCAAAACACATGTTTTCATATAATTTGTCAGTTTACGGGAATTCTTATTGCTCCTCGGATGGAAACGCGGGCGTTTCAGTAAAGATTTATTTGATTAAAATTGAAAGTTTAAGCGTGAATTGCAATTATATTTATTTAATTTAAAAAAAAAAATTAAATTTTGCTCATTCATTCTGTATCACCTTATCTACACGCGTTCGAGTTTAAATGCTTTGATTTCCGCTCAAAATCACTTTTCACTCACTCTGCTCTGGTGATAACGAAGTAAACACAAACTGAATATGTTGATAATAAGAAATCTAATCAAGAAGAAAAGTTGTTAAGAATTATTACAATTACGAAAATGAATTCATTATTTATGTGTTAATAACATTTTCAATGGATTGCATAATCAATTGTAGTTATTCCTTTTTTGATATAATAATATTCCAGCTCTGAAAGTGAGCGACAAGTGTTCTTTTTTTTTTTGTTGATTGCTTAACAATAACAAGTTTTGTGTTTAAAATTTCTAATAGCATTCATACGTGAGCAAACAGTGATTCGCAAGAATTCAAATGATTTCGTTAAGATTTGTGCAGTCATTGTCACCGACAATACGGCGGTCGTTTGCTGTTGGACATGTGTCACATGCGCGGGTAATGTACTTTGTAACGAATACCTTACTTAACATATCTTAGAAGATAGTTTATCTAACATTAAGAATTAATCTATACAAAAAGAATTCCATATATGTATGTATTTAGTTTTCGTTGTTGCCAATCTCATAAATATAATTCATTTACAATGAATTTCAATAGATTTCTCTCTCTGTGCATCTTATCACATCGAAGTCGAATTCATAATAGACAAATAAATACCAAGTATAATATGAAACTATATAATTGAAGTAACAGATATTTATATATGTATGTATGTATACATATATTAATCCAGAGGTGTTCCACCCCAAAACGCTTTACGCACATCTCTTTTTCTTATTTACACATATCTTCAAAAATGTTCTTATGGCCATGCAAAAGCAAACGAAAATATCATATGCAATGTGTGAAGTAATACCCGTTAATACTATCAATTTTTGTTAAAGTTTATAACCCAGCAAACAATTTTATGCGCCGAATTCATGGTTTCTGATATACATATATTTATGTGTATCTCAAAGAATTACAATCAGTTTTAAACATTCGCCTTATACTATAGTGATAAAAACTGTATTATAACTGCTTTAAAGCTGCAATATAATTTGTTATGTCAGAAAGTTCTTAATGTTTTTGTGGGATTTTTGTGGGATGATCAATAATCTTATAAGTACAAAATTGAATTAAAAAATAATTCAATCGACAAAAAACAAGAATATGTACAGTAAAAATGTTTTTTGTTTTATGGCCCTGTGCGAGTTTGAGTAAATTGTTGGTAAATTAAGGCAAATAATAAAATAGGTCGGTATGGCAGCAAATGTTGGTATTTAGGTCGTGTGCGAGTTAGGCTAAGTTGCGTTCTAAATGAGCGAAATTCTAAGCTGTGCCGATAATGTAGTGATGTGTCGATACGTGTTGATAAATGGCCAAATGTGTGCAGTGCAAAAAATCCCAAAAAATCTCCCATTTGGTTTAGCATCAACTTAGCCTAACTCGCACACGTCCTTATTAGATAAAAATTAGGTGTCACTATTGTGAAAATTTTATATGTTTAATAAATAAATGAATAAATTTAAATCTTTTAACCAAAAATAATAAATAAGTGCAACAAATAAATAAATAAATATTTACATAAGTGCAGTACAAAAAATCCCTAGGAAATTTCAATTTATTTTACCTCAATTTAATTGAACTCACACACGGCCTATATAATGAATTTGTTTCGACTAAATTCCGCACCTACATTATTTGCTTCGTTTTGGGGGCTAAGATAGCATATAAACCACCTTTTATACAAATTTGATACAATTGCAGTTGTCCTAAAGCCATTTGTTGATGTATTTTGATAAAATCAGTTATATCAGATAATTTTTTTACTACGCTATATGCCAATATAGGCTAATTATTTAGATATTAAGGACGTGTGCGAGTTAGGCTAAGTTGATGCTAAACCAAATGGGAGATTTTTTGGGATTTTTTACACTGCACACATTTGGCCATTTATCAACACGTATCGACACATCACTACATTATCGGCACAACTTAGAATTTCCCTCATTTAGAACGCAACTTAGCCTAACTCGCACACGACCTAAATTCGAAAATTGCGAATCAAATTTTTATATGCATTTCATAAACAAATAGTAACGGCATTTAGCGACATAAAAATTAATGTGCAACCATTAAGTTGCCAGCTTCAATCTCAATAAGTACAATGTATCAGAACCGTAAAGTTTAAATAAATATTAAACAGGTTTTAAATTACAAATATGTACCTAATTATTTAAGTGATTTACAAACATATATGGAATTACATACGATTTATTGCTCTATGAATTACAATAGAATTTTTTGCTCAAAAGCTTCTTTCACTTTTCTAAATGGAGGTACTGTAATATGGCATCTACATTGGCTTGATTTTAGCAAGATTTTTTCATACACTCATACTTTTTCACTAACGCATACAGAGTTTTGAAATCAGCTGATAATCGAAAATAATATGTATTTGCATTCGATCAGAAAAATCTTGCCAAAGTCTAGCCGTGTAGACATCAAGTTAATTGTGTTGTTCTTATCACTTTAGCACGCCTCTTTTATCATCATCAAATAAAAAATATCAGTAATTACACATCAAAGTTATATAAAATTAAGAATTGCACTTTCCGTTACTCAAATTATTATTACTTTATTCTTTTTTTCTTTTAATCTAAATCTATCTTTTACTACAGATTAAAAATTATTGTTATTATTTCTATTGTATGTACATATATATGGAATTTAGTCATAAAGTCTTATGTTTTGTATTTCTCAGCTACTTTCATGGATGAGTAAGTGGTATATGATGTGAAAGTATCTTCTTTTATTTTCTGACACTAGCATTATTTATTTAGAAAATTTATTATTATTCGGTTAAAGTATACGTTGAGAGGTATTTTAAAACCTTAGGCCAAATATACTAATAATTTATTTAAAATGATGTATTATAATCAATTATTTTAAAATCTTTATACCAATATAATATTCCTTTTACTTTTATAGATGTCTACAAAAATTCGTTCTGGTCCTGTTGTTGATATCCTTGGTGATGAGATGACACGCATCATCTGGAAATCAATTAAAGATAAATTGATCTTACCTTATTTGGATATTGAATTGCATACATACGATTTAGGAATGGAGAATCGTGATAAAACCGACGATCAAGTTACAATTGATTGCGCTGAAGCTATTAAGAAATACAATGTTGGTATCAAGTGTGCCACAATCACTCCTGATGAAAAGCGTGTTGAAGAATTCAATTTGAAGAAGATGTACAAATCACCCAATGGTACTATACGTAACATACTTGGCGGTACTGTATTCCGTGAAGCTATTACCTGTAAAAACATTCCACGTTTAGTTAGCGGTTGGGAGAAGCCAATTGTAATTGGTCGTCATGCTCATGCTGATCAATATAAAGCAACCGATTTCGTTGTACCCGGCCCTGGTACATTAACCATGACCTTTGAACCAACTGGTTCCGGCGAAAAAATATGTCATGTTGTAAATGAATACAAAGGTGCTGGTGTAGCAATGGGCATGTTCAACACAGACGCATCAATTATTGATTTTGCACATGCTTCGTTCAAGTATGCATTGGACCGCAAATTACCACTTTATTTGAGTACCAAAAATACTATTTTAAAGAGATACGATGGCCGCTTCAAAGATATCTTTGAAGATATTTACCAGAAAGAGTACAAGAAATCGTATGAAGCCGCTGGTATTTGGTACGAACATCGTTTAATTGATGATATGGTAGCATATGCTATGAAATCAGAAGGAGGATTTGTATGGGCATGCAAAAACTATGACGGTGATGTCCAATCAGATTCTGTTGCTCAGGGTTATGGTTCATTGGGTCTAATGACATCTGTTTTAATTTGTCCAGACGGTAAAACTGTAGAAGCAGAAGCTGCACATGGCACTGTAACACGGCATTATCGCATGTATCAGCAAGGCAAAGAAACCTCTACAAATCCTATCGCTTCAATCTTCGCATGGACTCGCGGTCTCTTACAACGTGCCAAATTAGATAATAATGACAAACTAAAGGTATTTGCTGAAACACTTGAGAAAGTCTGTATCGATACTATTGAATCCGGTCAAATGACAAAGGATTTGGCTATTTGTATCAAAGGCATGAATAAAGTACAACGTTCGGACTATCTTGAAACGTTCGAGTTCTTGGATAAATTGTCCGAAAATCTTCAAAAGGCACTTGCTAAATGACTAGACTCGGATGACACGGATAATAAAGCTCACTTGTAAAGTAACGTGTCTATTACTTGAAACTCTCACTTGCATTTTATTGTAACCTTCATTTCTAGAAAGAAGTCCTTATATTTTAGACACTATGTGTGTTTTTTACTAAATAAACTTATTTCATCTTTATAATAAATCATGTGTTTATTATTTATTAACGGAATTTTAAAGAAAAGAAAAACATTTGTATCATTTGATTCAGCCAGCAAATGAAGTCTATGAAATATGCACAAAATATTTAAATTTAGGTAAAGGAGTTGTCTCACGTTCTTTCAGTGCTGTGAGCGTTGAACATATTACATCCAGCTTTACATCCAGTTTTTAAGACTAGATTTACTGAATTTAAAGATATAATACGCATTTTTAATCAAAAAGAATGATGTTTTATTGTAACCCATTTTAAAGGATGATCTATACATAAATCCACCCATGCAGTGATAATTGCAATGTTATCTCAATGTGATGAGGAATTCATCTCTTGTGTATTAATAGATTGGATTTTATTATAAAATTGTAGCTTACTGTGAAGCAGTTGCGAAAGTCCTTGAAGCTTGAAATAGTATTGTAATGGAAGCCAACACTGTACTTTATCTGCAACATTGATAAAAGAGAGAAATGTTTATTTACGTTATATGCTAAAATGGTCGATACTAACATATTACAGCACACTTATTAGAGGTACGTTCTTTGAGAATTAAAAAATATTATATTAGGTTAGGCTATACTAATGATCCTAAGGATATACTTAGTCCCTTGACCCATTGCGTGGCCGTATAAGAACTTAGAAGCCTAAAAACCACAGCTTTGGCTTCAAGCTCACAGCTATGGAAGCTTTGGCTTCAATGGCCCTGATATTGGCCCTTAAAAAGTAAGCAACTAGCATAATCAATTAATACCACGTATTCCCTGAATAGCAACAAAAAAGATATAAAACACTTTCACCGCCGAAAGTAAATCTTTCACAATTGTTCCCGAAGTGGCTACGACCTACTATACCAAACAAACCTACTATACCGATATTTTACGGAACAACTTAATAAGATTTATGCATTTTTACTTCATAGAATGCGGGCAACTTTCTCACAGATAATTGTATATGATTGAGTCTTCCCACCTGGCATCAAACTTATCAATAAAGAAAGGTTTTCACAACTGAGAATTATTAAGTATCGTAGAGAGTATTTTTCAAATAAGAGTAGAGTTGAATGTAGTTGTAGAGTTGTAGTTTAGGAACCTCTCCAGTTCTTTGAAATATCTTGTTGGTTGTTTTTATGACGAATAGTAAAACGCTGATTGAAATTACTAGTGGTACTGGTCGTTGATGACAGTTGGATCCATATCATGATTCCAGAAGCAACAAGAACTTGTGGTGTAAAAGATAACTTCGTTAGTGTTGTAATAAACCGCGATTACTTCTAAAGCAGGATACCTACATGGAAGTTACACAAGATAAATACATAGGTTGGGTGAGATGAAGATGTGAATGACTGGGAGTTGATGTATTCATGATACGAACAATGAACGCGACGTATGCATGATGAGGGAAGCTTTCTACTAAGCGTGTGGCCGTTAGGATTTCCATCTGTACAGCAAACGAGGAGATATTGTTTAAACAGTAGCTGGTCATACTCTTTCAAAATAAACGTATTGGGCTCTACTTGAAGATATTGAATTTGCGATTACAGCCAATTGAAATTCATATGACCGCGTTTTACCTCGTTTACCGCGTTTTTTATTATTACAGCAGTTTCAACCTCAATAGGATGATCTAATAAGTATGAGTCTAGCAAAATAACTTATTATTACTACAAGAACAGTCTAGAAGAGCTTTCAGCGCATTATGATAGAGTATCTCAACATGCTGTCAAGAACAATTACTTTGTCTCTATACTGTCCTCTATTCTAAGGAATAAAAATGTACATACACTTTTCTTTAATAGAACATTTGATGCAAATTGAAAACTTTTAACCCCTTTAAGTTCAGTTATGCATTTGTATGTGAAAGAAATGAAATAAACTTACAAATAATATTGAAAATATTTTGTTCCCACAAAGAGCACATCTCTGCACTTTTATTGGGGTATTGATTGAATTGAAAAATTGAAAAATATTACGCTGCCGCCACCACTTAGTAATTCCATAACATGCACTGCTAGGTCTTCGGTGTCGTTAGTGTCTTGGGCTCAATTATTAGATTTTACCAATCTATGTGCATAGTTTTTCCGTGTCTTTCATATGTGTAACATTCAACAACGGCTATTTATAAAGCGGAAAATTTGTTATTAAGTTTGCTATTTTAATATTAATATCAGCTTAAACAAGGACACACACATGGAAAAAAATTTTGAATTACTAAAGCTATAAACGGTTCCCTGAGGATATAGGACATGCAAATTCTTCAAGTAAAATTCCATTCGAGCCATTTCCCCATAGTTTTGTTGCTTCTATGTGAATGCTTATTTAAGTGTATATCGCATTGTTTGGCATATCCTGCCAACAACTACCACGATTTGGATATTTGCAACTATTGGAATGGACGTAGATATTTTCTTGAATTGGGAGAAAGAGGAGATTTGCATGCTCGAAATGTTACTACCTCTGCATACCGAGTGCGTTAATAGCTAATATTTTTTATTAAATGAAATGTTTTTTAGTTACATTCAGAAATATTCAAACGTGTGTGTTTCTTTATAGAGTACAGTATTTTCTACAACAAATACTAACAATGCGAACAACATCCATAATCGCACCAGCGATATCTGGTACCAATGCAATCTTGAATTGGTAACTTGTGCCGCCTGCGTAATTCGTATATCCTTTACCCACGTTAATTTTTCAAAAACATGCGAACGTATCGCTAACACTGGAGTCTCGACAGTTAAATCATCTATGTGTCCTTGCGAGCATATACAGTTCTCAGAGCCACCATATGATACTACTATTTCAGGACAAGAATTTTGTGGTGATGGAAAAATATTTCGCAGCAGAACACGAACACTCATGCTGAAATTCTTCTATAGAGCGACTAATAGTCACGTGTTCTCTTTACAATATTTCTCCGAAAGTATGTATATTTCTCAAGACATCCATAGGAGTCATTGTTTATATTTTTTTAGGGAACGTAAAAATTGTCAGTGGCTCACCAAAAGAATCCATTAATAATGAAAACAGAAATATTATATCAACGCCATTTTTTCCTATGCCTTACTTACGTGACTACAGCATAGAACACATTTTAACATGTGAGGCAGACAACTGTCATGTACGTTTAGATTTTACAGATTTCCAGCTTGGAATATCATCTACTATGGAAATATTTGATTCAAATGGTCAAATGCTTGACTCATACACAGGCGAGCATTTTCGTCCACCGATAACTATTAGCAGTGGCAAATCTCTATTACTTCAGTTTCGTGGTAATGGAGTTACGAGTACAGGATTTCGTGCTCAAGTAACTTTCGTCTCATCCAAACAATTAAAAGAGGATCGACTAGTTCCATACACAGGTAATTTATTACCTTATACACTTATAGGTCTTCACACTTTCATTTAATTATCGATTTAAAATTTCACTTATTTGTAAGTGAATATGGTGATTGGTTTATCTATGAATTGTTGAACAATGAATTAACCCACCTCTTATGGAATAGTAACTCCTATTTATATAGAATTTAAGAAAATCTACTTCGATTAAAGAAAATAAGTATTGAAATTTTTTGAAAAGCAATAATATAAATTATAAATTATCTGAATAAAATACCAACCGTCAATTTAATACGCTAACCTATCCATTGAAATAAAAATCAAAATGTAACATTGATTGTAGACATACCTTAATATTTCTTATGCTATTTTCTAGATTTACCTATTTAGATACTAGCAATTAAAAAATCTTACTTAAAGTGAGCACGAAGAAATCAAGTGAAAATTTTACTCTCCAAAAAAGAACTTATTAAAATTATTTATTGCTTACTTATAAAGAGGTACCTTTCTTCAGTAAAACAGAGCTATTGTTGTCCATTTAACAAACAACACAGTTTGACCCATGCTTTAATCATTTCTAAATGTGATTGTTCAATATTATAGAAAAAGTCATCTCATTGTAGAATTCTATTCACATTCTGCATGTTAATCTGACCCTGTTCTTGCAAGCCAGAAACGGGATACTAGGATTCTTTGAAATATCAGTTCTCTGATCGGTTAAATACTTGTTTAAAGTTAAATTAAAATATTAAGATACTTAACTAAAATCCGTGAAACGTTCGATCCTTTTATACTAATTTTTTTTACATAAAATACCTTCTAACTACTTGATACATAGACAAATATGCAATAGGGACTTAAGTAGTCAGTAAAGCTGAATTTATAATATATATAATATTAACAGAATGCTTCCACCTTTCCGTTAGCAACGTAGCCTAACTTAACGGAAGACACGCTACCTCCTCTCAAAAAAATTACAGATTAATTTTGTTGAAAAGCTAATTGCGTTTAAGTCGCGAAATCATTGCTAGGAATCGAATCGAATGAATGTTAGATGATGCGCGAAAGTTTCCAATAACAGCGCAATGGGACTCTATACACAGAATAGATAGAATAGCGATATTAAATACAGGATGGGTGTTTATTTTATTGAGTCCAGTTTTTTACACTCTCTTAGAACAGGCTTTTTTACTATATATACAAATTTTATCTACTACGTCTATATATTATCCACTACTGTCAGTCCCTGTAGGTATCAGTATTTCTTATATAGTCATTTAATGAATTGAATTGATATGCATGCATTTGCAAATATGTGATCCAAACACGAGGTGTGAAGAAAAATCTTATTAGTCATAATCAAAATTCATTTTTTACTAACAGTTCATATCCTCATTTAATCAATTAAAAAATATATGAAATAATTTTAAAAATGGTTTATTTTATCACTAAAAGTTTTAAAATAATAAATTGAAGTATTCCTTTTATTTCTTTTTTACAGACTGTGGTGGCATGGTTACTGGACCGGGTGGTGCTATAACTATGATGAACATGATAGAGAACACAACTGATGTTCGCTTATATGACTGTATATGGATTATTAAACCGGGAAATAACTATATGATGATGAAAACGCATATATCATTAAAAGTGGAGGAGTTTCATGGAATGGCTTCAAGATCAGATTTAACCATACGTCAGGGTACTACTTCAGATGCACTGGAAATTGAAGATGTCGTCTGGCCTAACAATGGCATGAGTAAGGAAACTCATACAGTTCCAATACTTACCGGCTATTATATAAGACTACGTGGCGTATTTGGGATGTCTTCGAAGTTGGCTATTGTGTACAGTGTCTTCAACTATTTAAGTATGTACAAAATAACAAAAATAACTATATCAGTGATTTTTTAATTATCCCTTTCACAATTAATTGCTGCACATCAAATATATATTAATCTGATTAAGATTGTTATATTGGATCCGAATTTTTATGTGGTAACAATCATTGCATTTCAATAAGACTTCACTGTGATGGCTTTGATCACTGTGGAGACGGCACAGACGAACCAGATACTTGTGAAGAAGATTGGGCACATTTGCATAATGATCGAAGATGGTATTCGCATAAACCTAATTACTATTTCCCAAAAATAGAGCAGTATCCTGATTTGAAAACAGCAACAGGTATTTTTATAATTAGTACTTTAGGCATATTTGCCGTACTTTCTGGTTGGATGGTCATACTTTATAGAATGGGTGTTAGGGCACGTCACCAACGAGAACTTCAAAATCACTTGCAAACTATAAGCGAACTCTTGGGTAAAATAATATTTAAATAACGTTAAATAACATTAGCAACAATATTTTTTATTATTATATCATTCATAAGATCGACAAGAAGAAATGCCTCCAGATCAACCACCTAGTTATGAGGCCCCACCAGATTATGATGAGGTCATAAAAATAGGCATGGAACAGGAATTGCGTGAAGCAAGGCAACGGCAGCGTCACCAGCGTCATCGACAACATCGTGAACGTTGCTGTAGTCGCGCAGCAAGCACTATTACTGTACAATCAACCGTTCCTATTCATAATAGTGAACTGCCAACAACTTCTGCTGCAGCAGCTATCGCGAATGCCGCAAATGCCGCAAATGCAAATAACCATGTTGCGACGATTCTTAACCAGCAAGAAATAAGTCGTATACTCATGGCAACAGCAGCATGTGGTAATTTCCATTATACTAAACATTCAAAATTTATATCATTCATAATAATTTCTAAATTAAAAACTTTTTTCTAATTTAAAACAAGAATCACGTTTGCAGGTACTACAACGACGACAGCGATTGAGTCAACTAAACAAGTCCAATGCAAGTGCAAATCAGTTGGGGTTTCAACGAGCCCGTTGTCGGTTTCCTCTGGGCGTGAACTATCCACAACAGTTGGAGAGCTCCAGAAACCAACAAGCTCGTATGTACTTATTTTAATTTTTTTTCAGTGTGATTTTTTATAGTTTCATTCAAATACTATATTCCTAATATTTAGTGCATCCAGTCAACTCGAATGTTCAAACGAATTCCAGGATGACTCACTCAATATATCATTCACTTTAGCCATTCCACAATCCACACAAACAGCGACTGATAATAGTGAGTAAAAATCAGTTAAATAGTTGAAATTCAAACATACCAACTAACAAACTAACATAGATGCAGTACGGCCCAAGAGCATCAACTGCACTGAACAAACTTATTTGAAGCGATCCTGGATTGTGGTAAGTAACGGCAGTAAAAACTATAAGATTCAACGTCTTCGGCACACGTTTTCTTCACCTGAAGCTTTCACTACTGATGCCTATTTCCCGTCAGATAATTTAGGATACGGCACTAATTTACCATATGACAGGTATAATTAAGACAATCGTATAAAGTGCTAAATATTTAATATTTTGGATCTCCATTTCAGAAGTTTTTTTCTAAGCAACACTAGTAATTTCGGCGTTTCGGAGATATCTAGAGACACATCATCAAATAGCATTATGCCACTGAAACGTATATTAAAAGCGTGTAAATCAACAACTGCTGCTAAAGACGTTACAACGACTACTTCAATATCTAATAAAACAATGAATGATGTCTGCAATGATGTCTGCAATGATGTCTGCAATGACGTTGAAATTATGGAAGAATTCAGTAATATTAGACAAGAACTACTGCAAACTGTCAACGACGACATCAAAAAGGATAATAAGTTGGCATATTCTGGTAATAATAATTCAACACCCGAATACAAGAAAGTATTTCGCCATATACGTAGTAAATCACTTACGAACTCTGGAAATCGGCATCAAACTGCAGAAAACCTTAAACGCAGTTCTTCAGCTGAATTGTTGATAAGTTTAACACCGACGACAAAATGGGATACAGATGACAGTGCACATCCAGCAACAGTATTTTGGATATAAATAAATTAATTACAACTATTTAGTATTTGATAGATAATTCGGATTTCATATAAAATAAATTATATTATAAATTGATGTCTAAACCATATAGTTTAAAATGAAATTGAATTGAGCTTAAAATTGAAATTGAAAATTGTCCACGGCTAGGTCTCTCTTTCTTTTTTTATACTATACAAAAATTCTGATGACAAGACTACTATATGATTTTTCAAAAATTTTAGCTCTAATTCGTGGAGACCCGTGGTTCGTGGAGTTAGTGCTCCCTCAACTTAATCACTCTACGTCTTCTTCCGCCAACTACTGTTTCAAACACCTTTTTCGCTGGAACATCTTCATCCATTCTCACGACATAAACAAATCAGCGAAGCCGATGGTTGTTAATTCGCGGAATTATATCAATGTCGTGTTAAAGCTCGTGCAACTTTAAAAGTTCATTCGTATGCGGTAGTTGTCGCCAACTCATAGAGGACCAAAGATTTTACGAAGAAGCAATTTACCGTAAAAATGAAACATGTATATAATAACTTAGCACCTAGCATTCACAGAACCAGAAAACTATATATCACATATGATATTATTATATAATAAATTTCTCTGCACTATATCTACGGTATATTATATGTTGCATGTTCCGTATATACATTAATTTGCGAAACAAGATGTTTAATAAGAAGAAACAAATTATTTAGCAAAGCAAAATTTCATTTAATGAGCATCATTTTAAACGTACATATACATTATTGTTTCTTATAATCTGATATCTGGTATATTATCGAAAGCAGTTCCGTCCAGATCGGTTGACAGTTTCAAACTACAGCGTAAAAAAAGCTATATACGAGAATGGGCGAAATAATACAAAAAGTGTGAAGTTAAGTAAAGTAAAGTCAAATTTTAAAATACTATTTTTTAAAATAGTAAATGCACATAACAAAAGCATGAGGTGGTATAACCATTCCAGGTGCATGTAAGGAAAAATTAATCGCGTGGGTTCTACTTACATTACCAACCGAAAACATTTTTTTAAGGTTTGCACCAAAAAGGTCACAATAAGTACATAATAAATTGGTTTCTACAGTGAGTTTATATATTTGCGAGTATATATCTTTTTGTCTACCCTAGAAGTATGTTTATGTGTATAAATATGTGTTACATGCCTTTAATTTTTACTATATAATAATTATAATGATCCATAATTCATTTATTTTTTTTTATATTTTAAATACTAAATCAATCGCAACCTAAGGTTGGGAATGTATCTGCTGCTTTAGATTATCACTCAAAATGTTTTTGCCGGTGTCGGGTGGTACAACTATGTTTCTTAAGCTGTCAATGCTATTCCGCAGTTTAGCCGATTGGAATTTTGCTTGCAGTTTTGGTGATCCGCTTACTGAGAACGCCTTAAATTCCTGTTTAAAATCCAAAATTATTATCACAACAGAAAATTTTTAATCAAATATTGTTTGGAACCAATTACTGAACAAATTTATTTAAATATAAAATAAACAAAGTGTTAACGAAAATAAGTATTAAATCTATATAATCGCTTATATACTTAAAAATCTAATTTATTTAAAAATAAAAGTGTGTAAATAATTGTAAAAGTATTTTTTACATGTATAAAAATCAAAATCATATTCAAAAGCCAAAATAATAAGTGGGCTCTCCACAAATATATATGTATCTACTACTGATTAATATATCTGAGTACATATATGTATGTATATTGTGTGTAAGCGATGCCGTGCATTAAATCTTATTGTCTGTACTCAAGTGTAGCATATACAGCACATACAGTACATACAGCATATAAATAAAGATGTATTCCATTGAAATAAGATTAAAGTAAAATGGCGAACAAGTAAACGAGTTGTAAGAAACTTGCTTAGGTTACCTGGTTACTGGTTGGTGAATTAAGTTCACTTCCGGCGGTCGAAGATGACGTAGCATGATTTGTATACGACTGGAATGTTGGCACATCGCGACTCCCGCGCGTTGATACCTTTTCCTGTAATGTGTTAAATGTTTTCGATAACCAAGGTTGCCAGCTATTTCGATTAGTTTGCATTTCAGTTATTGTTGTACTAAGTTGATGATTAAGATCTTGGTTTTTGCATTCTGCTTCAACTTGTGCCAACTTTGCTTGTGCTAACTCCAGTTCCAATTCACGGATACGTTGCGTAGCTACTATAAGCGGATCCAAGGGACCCAAATTAGTTTCATTTGCGTTTCGTGTCAAATTTCTCACGACCTTATTATTGTCAGCCAAAATGTCGTTCGATAGACTTGCAATTGGATGCTCTAGCTTTTGAGCACAGCTCTTGCATTTCGATATAATATTCTATATATAAAAAAGGGAGCAACAAAGTTAAAAAAGTTTACACAAAAATCAAAATACACACTTACCATTGTATCACTTAATGATTCATTTAATGTCGTCATATCTTGTTCAAGACGTTGTATAATTTGTTTGTAATCCTGTATAATGCCTGTGTGTTTTCGTTCTTTCTCTACAGCGCTCTCATTTGCCTGATTAAGTTTCTGTTGAAGTGTATCTATTTCGACTTGTAGTTTCCTCCGTTCTTCACCAAATTTATTTTCATAAATTTGTGCTTCTTTCTCTGCTCTTTCCTTATGTTGTTTCTTTAATAAAAACTCTTCCTCATAATGTTTCAACTTCTTCACTTTCTTATCGCAAGCCATTTTCATAATACGACACGCCTGACTGGAGCTACGACATTTCTTTGGTAAAGTTACCCGAAAATATTTAAGAATTCCCTCAAAGTCAAGTTGCCGAAGATCCGTTTCACAGATAGACAAAAGTGTTATGGCCACTTGAAATAACAAAGGAATACCATCAAGCAGGAATACATCAAGCACATGGAAAACAAAAAATAATGGAAAACGTGCCGTAAACAGAGTTAAAAACCATTGAGATGCATACATATGCGTCTCTACACCGCAAACAAGAAAATGCTCATGTAGTTTAGGTAATTGATCCTTAATTAAGCGATCTAATTGATATAGTCGCAAATATAAAACTTCGAAACCTTGCTTATACAAGTCACGTAAACCATAATCATACATTAATGCAACAAGCACACAAAATGCATCTTCTTCCGGCATCTGCGTGTGAGAAACAAATATATAATAACTTAGAAATACAGTATTACTTTATTTTTAAGACTTACATGCAACAGCAAACTAGCGGCAATAAAACTTAAACCTTGACAGTAGCCTACCTCGCTGTCATAGACTGCATAAGCCTTCGATACCTTGAATAACGCATCTTGACCTAACAATATCAAACAATATCGTTTCAATTATTATATAATTAAATTAATAAAAATTAATAAGCTCAACGCATACCAGATCCCCCGCTCTCCTTGAAACATTTGTGTGCTGGAAATGTTCTATGTATATCCCTCTGAATAACAGTTTCACAGTTTGTTTCCTTAAAACATATTTCCGTTATCAATCATATGAACATACTATACTAGTCTTTAGTAAGTTTTACCTTAGTTATTAATACTTTATACATATCATTCATATCCGTTCTTGCTTCTACTTTAGCAAGTTTTTGCCAAATTTTTTCACGTAAGGCTTCTGGCACACCTAAGCGTACTAAAGCCGCCAAGTTTTTTGGTCGTTTTTCACCATCCCATTCTCTCAGTATTGGATCCCACTCGTCTAAAGTATCTTGTGAACACTCTTTTGAAACTTCTCCTGTACCACTAAGTAAAGGTTCATCATCCGAACTGAATTCATCTGTAGGACATTCATCTTCTATAGACACAATTGAAGAGGAGCGCACAATACGTGACAAATTGTTCATTCCAAACTTTAGCAAATATGATGAGGATTGTTGTGGCTGTTCAAGTATCTCTTCCGAGGGGTCGATCGAACTTACTTCCCAGCTACCTTGTTCCTGTTCAGTGCGCTTAAGATGCAAGTAAAAACGTAATGTCATAGGTCGCTTCGACATAAAATGATCCATAATACGTATCTCATTTGCTGACTGTATAGTTACAGACGTTTCTATAATAAAACGCACAGGTTCGCGTATGCCACGTATGACGATATCCACTCCAACTGTTAAAAAAGTTTTAGATCCTTCTACATTTAACTGCTCGAATGCTTTCTCATTAGCTTTCCACTCTGCACGTATAGAGTAAGGATTCAGACAAAGAGGAGTAAGTGGAGCAGCCACCGAACAATCAGTGGAGGAACTATATCCTGGCAACTGATAATCCATGGAAATTAAATCAATAAGTTGCATATCAGCTTGTCGAACTAATTTTCCAGCACTTAAAAGAACACCAAAACATCGTTCAATTAATAGTGGCTGCAATACTGTTGAAGGTGTTTGTTTTACTGTTATATAAACCTCCTTATCCACATTTGCACGCAATTTGAAGCAGCTTCGATCACGTGGTACAGCAGAATATGTGCTTTTAGTAACTCTTTCACGTATTTCTAATGATACAATGAACTCATATCCAGCTGTAGTAAGTGGATTACCGCTTAAATCTGATGTGACCGAATTTATCATGTTGCTGTCCACCGCTGAGGTCAAGCTACAGGTCATACTGGGAAGATAAGTTTGAAAAGCCTTCTGAAAGCAAGCTATACAAAAAAAAATATACTGGAAATACTGGAATTCACATGCTGAGAAACGATGTTAAAACCTACCACTAACTTGGCTTACAGCTTCTGGTATATGGCAACGAAATACATGACACTGAAATAAAGACTCTCCATGTAGCCAAGTAAAAGCGAAACAACCATTCTCGACTGTTTCTACTGGACCGCGAAAATATAATATAATGCTTTGAATTTCATATGTTGCTATGACTGAATTGCTTTCAGCATCATGTAAACTGCAAAATTAACTCAATAATTATTTTAAAATTTTATCATTGCCTTTAAAAATATGTACTTACACTACTAAACCTTCAGATGTATTCGGTATGGAAATTGAAATTTTTAAGCCTGTACTGGTGCCACTATTTAGTTCGCTCATAATGCGATAAATATCAATTTCCGACTTGGGAGCATTTATATTAGCTGCTCCTAAATATGTAACGCCTGAGAATATTGTACAGCCTTGGTCAATATCTGAAACTTTAAAAAATATATATATAATGAGAATGTATACCAATTAAAAAGCATGACTTGTATATGTATTTACCTTCATCGTCGGTATCACTCTTTTCTGGCTTCATAGCATCGCGTTTTTCCTCAAGATTTGCAGGACTGGCATCAATACAGTCATAAAATACAGAATGACCTACGCGATTAGGTTCGGATGTAGAGGCATCTTCACTTTTAGGAGTGAGTGTGTAGTCTGCATGCCGTGGTAAACTTTGGCTTTTTATATTTGAATGATCACTATTGTCTGGTACCATTAGAACGGGACTAGAAGTTCCTTTTAATGGCAACGTCAAGCTCTTATTTTTAACACTAGAAGAGGAAGCTATACACACAAAAAGGTTAATTTTTATTTTTTATATCTTCCGAATACTGTAACTGAAAACTGAAAAACTGACACGTCTAATGAGGGCGTTTTGATGTTACTATAGCAGCATTTTGTTTGTATTTATCAATTTGCAGCTGTTCTTCTGTTAACTTATTTTATTTGTTTTTATTTTTATTTTTATATTTATTTTACTCTTATGTTTGGTTCTTAATAATAATTTTATACGAGAAAAATTTTGTATTTTGCTGTAATCACATTTCAACCAAATCTATGTTACGTTATATAAATTACATACATATTATGTGAATATATAATTTTATTATGGAAATTATTTTAAAAAATATCCAAAATTGATTCAATGAATTTAATTAATTTGTTTTTGTTTTTGTTCAATTAAAAAAAAATCAATCAATTAAAATTAACTTCAATTTAAGTCGGTGGAGAACATGAGTCATAATTGTTAATATTTACCTCCTGCACTCCTCTCAAGATCTAGGTCACGTAAGGCATCCGTCATTTCGTGTTGAATATCGGATATGTTGCGATTGTTGGAAATGTCCAATGTTGGTGACTTGCACTCCAATCTGGACGGCTCTAAAGAACCATCGATCAATTGTTTTGTTTCAATCGGAGTAACGACGTTACTCTCTGTCACAATTTCGTATTCGCCACTTGTAGTTATTGATTCACTTGAATTGGTACTGAGATTATCATCCATATCGCTTAGGTATATTATGGACGGCGCGATGAGTAATGATTTTAAAACTTATATTACAAAAATATCAATTTGTAGCAAATCCATTGTCTAAAACGAAAATATGTACTATATTATATGTACTTATAAGCACTACTACTAAGATTTTTAGTTAACCATTTCAATAATATTAAAATAAGAATACAAGTTTTCTATAAATTTTTGGTTGAGATAAATTATTTTCTTTACATTGAATCCCCTCTGAAAAATTTTTTGTTTGGCAAATCGATGAAACATAATCACGCACAGGGCGGCTACAGCCTTAGCAATTACTCTCCGCAATCGCACTATTTTTTTTAAAAGTATTTAAGCAAAAGATTACCTTTATTCTTAGTTAAAAGTTAATCGTGAATTATTACATTTATTTGTAAGAAACACAATACCCTTTAATTTTAAGAATTTTCAACTCTTGTTTGTTGCTGTTGTTATTATTGTTTTTTGTTACATATGAAGGGTTGCCACCTTTATTAATTCAAAACATATATACAGAACTAGAACAAAAAAATTTTTCTGTAATATTATTAGATGTATAACATAATATTATATTCGTTGATAAAATAATTTATTAAGATGGTTTTATATAATATTCAAATATTAAATAATTATGTTAAAGTTAAACGTAAAATCTCTAATAACAAAAAATTTTGTACCAGAAAAATTTGATATCAAGCTTACAACACTGCATGAAATTGTCATACGGTACTTAAAAGCAGATATGGCAATTGAATTAACACGCTGTTGATGCATTTATTAGTTTAAAGTTTAGAGTAGTATAAAAAGTATATTATTTATAAATAAAAATTTATAACTATGTGGCCAAGATTTGGGGTAAAAGTTGGAAATAGTACATTATGTATTGCACATGTCAAAGCCGATGGCAAAGCAGAAGTAATCGCAAATAAACAAGGAGATCGGGTGTCGCAGGCGTGTTTATTGTGGGATGGCGAGAAGGAAATTGAATGCGGTTTAACTGCCAAACAAAAAATGGCTTCACGGCCCAAGCAGGGTGTAGCAAACAGTTTTCAAATGCTCTTGCCCGAGGACAGTTTGAAAGAAAAACTCGAAACTTGCGCTAAAGATATACCATGCGAGTATGATTCAACCATCCACAAATTCATATTGAGAAGCAAAATACCAGGCGAGGACGATGAGAAAGAAAATACTAAACAATTGAATGTTTTTGATATACACATGCATTTGTTTAAAGCTGAACTTGAGTTAGCTAGACAGTTTCACTCTGATATTGAACAAAAACCAATTGTGGTGCTATCAATTCCAAGTTATTATCCAGATAAAGCACGTGAATTATTGGCACAGAGTGCGGAGGATGCTGGATTTCATGTTGCACAAATAATTTCAGAACCAAGTGCAGCTTTATTGGCTTATAGTATTGGTGAAACTGATATATCTTCAGAATCAAAATATATATTAGCTGTAAAAAGCGGTGGTCTTTTTAGCCATATTGCACTGTACCAAGTTCGTAACGGCTTTTATACACAACTGGACTCTTACGGTCCTTTCCCAATTGGTGGTAAACAATTTTCGGAGGCTCTAGTACAGTTTATATGTGAAGAATTTCAACGTAAATACAAACTCGACCCACATGAAAGTCGACGCTCTATAGCAAAAATACGTAATGCAGCCATGAATTGTAAGCATATATTAACAACACTGCCTTCTACTCAAATATATATTGATTCTTTGATGGATGGTATCGACTATAGCTCGCAAATGTCTCGTGCACGTTTTGAAAGCCTTATTCAACCTGTTATAAGCACTTTTATGCAAACATTATCAGAATGCGTTGAAAAAAGTATTAATGAACACAGCAATATAAAAATCAACGCTATCGTGCTACTGGGTGCGACAATGCAGATACCTAAGTTACAGTCCGCCATTGCAGCACTATTTCCAGATGCTATGCTTTACAATACATTATCGACCGACGAAGTTGTGGCGTTAGGTTGTGCACGACAGGCGACTTTCTTGGTAGACGCCGACGAACAAGAATTAGATATAACAGAAAATAGCCATTTCGCAGAAGATCGAATTACGATTTGGCATAACGATGAGGCAGATGCAAAAATTTTAATTGAAAAAGGAACCATGCTCCCAAATGCTACGAAAATCGATATACAAGTTGGTAAAGATATTGAAAATATTACACTTAAATGGCGCTTGGGAGAAAATGAAGTTAATGAAACTAGCGTTATAAAACCCACAGATGAGGGATTGCTGCAGTTTGAAGCTGACACTTATTACAATGACGAATCGAAATCATCAGTGATTATGCTAAATTGTTTATAACATTTATTTTAATTATTGTTTTAATCTTGAAAATTAAAATAAACTTTAAATAGCTAAACTAATTAACTAATTTTAAACACAACTTTTATTTATAAAACTATTTAAATATAATTAATAAAGTGAAGCATAATAATTATTTCTAGAATAAACTTAATTTTTCCTATTGTAGGCGTGGGAAATGTCATCTATTACGTTTTAGTTATAAGTAACTGTTCCTTCAGCAGATTTCTAAATTGACTGAACTATGACATCGATCGATCACCCCACGTTTCTACTTATTATTTCTATTGTTAATTTTTAAAATTTTTAAAATTCCATTTTCTGATCGCTAATCTCAATTGCTTTTGATTTAAAACTACTTTCAAGTTTTCGCAGAAACTCTTCAAAAACCACAACCCCTTTAAACATGCTAGTTTTTTTGTAGTCTTTGATGCGGCTTTTGTCCTCGGTTTCTTCGTTACTTTTGGATTTATCATCAAAAGCACTAATTTCCTGTAGCAACTGTGCAATAGTCGGCACAGTGCAAGGATTAAATTTAGCAACAGCGCTTGCACTAAATGGAACACAAACTTTGCCCGTGGATGGATGTATGCAAAAAGGTGCTTTAAGCAAGTGATTCATGCCTTTGGTGACATTAATATCCAAACGGGGGTATAACATTGCTAATTGAACTTCCTCAACTATATGTTTTAATTTACGGCCCCATATGTTTGCCGTACTAATGCGCATTGAATTTGCGTATCGCACAAAAGACGACCACACCGCACGTGAATGCGCTCCGTCATCGTGTGTTTTTCGCAAGTAGTCTTCAGTGTCTTTTCTAGCCTTCTCATCAGGAATAATGTGCAGCAGTGTTGCTATACCCTTAGGAGTGCTAAACAAATTTTGATCTTCAATTATAATTTCTTCAAATAGAGCTTCTACAATCTTAAAGGCACGTTTAACACTATGATGCATCCGATCACCTATATGTACACGCGATATAGTACCATCATTCGTACTCGAGTGAGTTATCAACTGCAAATATTCTGCCACTGCCGAACGACTACGAGCATCCAAATGTCGAGCAGCAGAATCACATACCCAAGCATGAATTCCGCGACGCCCAGAAAACACCCAAAATATGTGTTCGAAACCAAAATCGTCACGTAATGCAGCATCCAGTATACGAACAGCGACAGTCATGAATTTCCAGCATTTCTGGCACACATTTGCTTCATTGCAACATGTACGCACATCATCATAGTCTGTCATATCAATATCGAAAACTAATTCTCGTTGCACAGGATCCATTGCCATAAACATAGTACGACGATTTCTTGGCCTAAGTGTTAAAAAAAGACCAATAATTAGTTTCAAAAAAAAACTGATAACAGTGAATATAATTACCTTCTATTCATTACAGCACCAATGTCAATTTTGTGGGGACATTTCTTGCAAATATGTTTCTCCATGTCACTTTGGGTCTCATAGCTTATATAACGCCTATAGACATCATCAGGTAAAGTAAAAGAGAATTCTCGATTTCTAAAGACATCTTCTTCGGCTATTGAATAAACAAATTTTGTATTGTTTTATCAATGCAAATACATATGGACATAATACTTACACAGTCCATATGATAGCCATCTGTAGAATGGTTTATGTGGAAACAGGCGTTTGTAATATAAGGGCAACATATCTGGTAAAATATTTATATCATATTTTATGACATCATCGCGCACTTGCTTGTCTGTAACGGATTCGACTGCACTTGAAGGCATGGCTGATCTGTAGTTAAAATACCAGGCATTGAAGAATATAACAAGAACATAACACCAATATAATATTAATTGTTTGGAGAACCAATTAAATGTTAAAGTAAATATTTGATTATTTGATTTATTCAAAAAAATAATTTTATTTCTAAATATTTCTTACGCTACAATAATATAAAGTTTTTGCTTATTTAGAAATCATATTTAATTCATAAATTAAACCAAATAAACAGATCAAACAAGATATTTAATAATTCTAAGTAATTTTATCATTATTTATTTAGGTTAATAAAATATTATTGAAAATATATTTTTTGATTATATATAACACACTTAAGTATAATAAATTCTACAGATATATTGAGGCGAATGTCGTTACATAAGTGCGACTTCCCGCCAATATTCTCATATATATATAGTAGTTACATAATGTTACGCAATTAAACGACAAAACGCTAAACAACATAAATGACGCCATCGAGGTTTCCTCAAGCAACAGTCAAACGAATATCTTGCATTTTATGCTGTTGCCACAACTGTTCTGGCTGCCTGGTGGGCGCTGTGGAGTAAAGAGTAACAGAGGCAACATGATTATTTCCCATTACTTCGAAAATTATGTCCTGATAACCATAGCAGAATGTAGATCCGAATGGATTTGCAGTATTTGTAGAGCCTACGCGATGTAGCACAACGGGTCTCTCAGATGGAGCTAGGGCACTACTGATTTCATCCCATTTAGAATATGCTGTAATGTTCACGCAATCTGGGGAGTCAGTACACATTTTTGTGTTGGAATCTAAAGCACGTTCGGCATATAATTGAAATTGGAACTCACAGCGGTGGTACATATTGAAATTGAAATGTCCAGGATAATTAGTGTGTAGTATGAATTTTTTGCATTGCTGTGTGCGTGCGTCGAACAGAACATCTATACCAAGTGTAAAGTAATTGAAGAATATATCACTGCGCTTACTTTGTGCTTGACGATTTACATTTGAGGAATGTATTTTCATTTTATCTTCACTTTTGAAAAATATGCGATTTGGTGCACCTAAGTTCATAGCCACATCTTGGCAGCTATCTCCGAAGAGCACTTCCTTAGTGAAACATTGTCGTCGAGGTTCCAGCGCACGTCCGGACCCTTCAGTAAAAAGCTTAAGTTTTAGACCTTTAGTACTTCCAAGCACAGAGCGTAATACTACTGCAGAGTCCAAATACATTTGGCGATGGTAACATGCAAGCGGCAGAGGTGGTGGCCGAGTTTCTGCAACGTTACTGCCTGCATATAATGACATTTTGGACACAACTGGTGAAGCACCGCTAAGAAACACAAGCGAACCCAATCCATGAGCATATCCTGCATGTAATTTGCTATCAACTGGAAAATAGAAACTTAACCCACGAAAATGTAGGGCAAACAATTGTTTAGCAGCATCATATACACCAGGATGTGTAGCACCAAAAGAGTGTTCAATTTGCTCGATTGAAGGTAAGACTTCAGGTGAGTTGAAATAAACACCGCCATACTTAAGCTTAACCAATTTCATGTTAAACACCTCTATTGTTTTTAGACGTTGCACAACTGGATCAAATATCAAGCGTAGTCCATCTTGAGGAAGATTAATTATAACATCAACGCCTAATGGATCTGTTTCAGAATAGAGCACTTGCACGCCCTTAATGATTCCAACCTGTGATTGTATAATGGCAATAGCTTGTGAAAAATGCATTCCCAAAACAAACTCCCAGGCTTCACATCCCAAGGATATCTCTGGTACAATTTCTAAGTCAAGCATTTTTTTTTTAACTGCAACCAAAAAACTCATTGAAATTTTTTGCTTCCCACTAATTCTTAAAGAATTTACCTTAGTATAAAAGCTATTTCAACAAATTATTAAATAATGAAGCACTTTTTAAACCACAAATTTTTGCTTGTAATATTTGTTGCTTTTCCTTTTGCTCTTGAAATAAATAAAACGCAAAAATATTTCTTTGTGAAAAAACAGGGTGGCAGAATACGGAATACTTAAAAAGCCTACTACTATTTAACACATGACATGCCAAAAATATTGAACTATTTACGTAGCAACTCAGTTTACTCTCTTTTGTATCAAGGACTTTTAAATTATTAACGACATGTGCGACTTCGAGTAAATTGAGGTAAAGTAAATTAAAATTTTCTTGGGATATTTTGCACTGCACTTATGTAAATATTTATTTACTTATTTATTGCACTTATTTATTATTTTTGGTTAAAAGTTTTCAAATTTATTTATTTATTTATTAAACATCTTATAAAATATTCACAATGGTGATATCTAATTTTTATCTAATTTACCCTACTCGAAATTCTAGTGAATACCAACATCCGCTGCCATACATAGTTTACTATTTCCCTCAATTTACAATCAATTTACTCGAACTTGCACAAGACCTAAAGAGCCTTTTTATTGCCCACCATCATCGTACAAAATGTATCGTACGTATACTGTATATAAACTTATTATTATTTTCATCAAGCTGTTAAGTCTGTTATTCACTACAAACTATTCACATTACGTTTGTGAACCATGCGAATGTTGTCACTCGTGCATTCATTCTTTTTGATAAATCTTCCATGTTAATACATGTAAATCAATTTTATTACAATTAAAGCATATGGAAATTGAAATATTGAATAATGTAATTAAGGTAAAGTAACATATGCGCAATATATTCCCAATATATTTTGTACTATAATTAATTGTCATTCATATATCATCATATATCCTTGTTGCACAAAATACCAGAAAAACTTTGATTATTTATACAACAACCACAACATAATGTGCACTCATCCATATAACTATCACTAATATATACATGAAGCCCGAAAATTACTATTAATGTAATTCGCATGATTTTAACTTAAATCTATCAAGTGTTTTTAATTATTTCAATTAAAATCTAAATATATATCACGCAAAACCCCTAACAAATGATACAAATTTTAAGTACAGAAACGCACTTAATATCATATATTTTGTGTAAAAATATTAATTCGAAGAATTATTTACACGTTGCATTAATTTACATCATATGTTTTATGCAAAATAATTTACAATATTTACATATTTATTTTACAACACTTAATAGCAGCATTTTAGACCAGATACAACGCTGTAAACTCTGTTACACACACTACAGAGTACACTTACAACACTGATAAAGCAAACATTTCTTTTATATATTGAGTTTCTTAACATCTCTGTTTAAAACTTTAAGTAACTTTTGGCGGGAACAATTACCTTACCTTGATATTTCTGCGCACACTAAAGTAACCACAATAAACTAAAAAAATATTATGAATTATATTTCGCGCCGGAAAAATGTCTACTTCAATATTAAACTAAATTATTAAATATTAATCAAATTAACGTAGCTTTTATTTTATTTTATTTATTTATTATCACTTCTGCTCACATCAACCAGTGACTATAATCTAATTTTGACGTTCTGAAACAGTGTTGTGAAAACGAAATGAAATATCTTAATAAATTAATATCAGTCAATACTGTTCCCGTATATTTCATCAAGTAAAAATCTAGTGAAATTAATTATAAGAATAAAATCATAAATCCTCACGGAAAAAAGTGATTCACGCACAAATTACCAAAAAAAAAATTTTTCAACTAAAAATTTCGTAAATCAAATGTTTTTATTCTCACTCATCCCTTTACTTTTATTAAAAGACACTGCTTTTATACATTATATATTTCTAATTATTACCTCAATTACAACTACAAGTTTTTGAATTTTTATTTCGCAATAGCATGTATGTAATTTCTTATGTTATGTAAGCAATTATAACTGATCAACAGTTTATCAATTTTACTTTAACAAATATCGTTTTACATTAAGAAACATTTCGCTCTTAAAACAGCTCTGTCAATACTAGTTTCAAGTAAGATAACTGAAAGCAATAAAATTCAAGTAAATTTTTACGTAAATTTCACAAGTACGTACTGAAACTTATCTTTTATTACTTACGTCACTTGTTTAAAATTAATTACATGTGATTTCCCAAAATTTTTTTGTATTAAAGTTATCTAACCTATTTTCAACAACTTTTCAATATATAGTGAACTTAGTTACTAAAGTAATACAAAATCATACTTTCAACATAGTGTCTTCAGTGCGATTATTACAAACAGTACAAATAAAATTTGAATCTGTAGTCATGTTAGCAGATAAACAATAATAACAATATATATGCCCACAGCCTAAATGATGAGGAAGTGTAGGCCTCTCTTCACAATAAACACATACTGAAGTCGCTGTTAATTTAGGAAAGCCTATTTTATCAATTCGCTCAATGTTTGTTTGTTGTCCAAATATAATTTGTTTACTTAATCTATGTATTTTACGGAAGTTTATTATTGGTAATACTAAACCCAAAATTTCCTGCAATATATAATTGATTATCTTACGTACTTTCGTTAATGTTAAAAAAATTTCTAACTCACCATAAAACCACCCCATAATAATTCACGAGTTAAGTATTTATATCCAATGTCCCTTCGTTGATTATTTCTTAAGCTTATATAGTCAAGACCAAGCAAGTAATCAATTAACGTTGGTCTTCTTCCAGTTTTTAGAAATCGAAAAAAATTTAGCACTGTTAATACTAATGCAGCATTTTCACCCCACTCAACTGATTTTTTAAGATATTCCATACGAATTGTTGACGATCGAACAGAAATAACATTTTTTATATATTGCGGCAAAACTGATAGAGCAAAATGCAAGCATAACCGACAAATTGTGAGTCGTTCACTATCATATGATAACACCAACAATTGCTGTCCAAACGTTGAAAATTCTCTTCCGACAGAGCCAAACCATATTGCAGATTGTATTATAAAATCCAATTCCGGTTGGATTTTAAAAAACAAAGTAGGCTACAATTTCACATAAAAATTATTAAAATCAATATGCTTAATAATTAAAATTGAAAGCACCTGCTAACAACTTACAGATATAGCTTGTAAACTCTCAAGTAAGTTTTCACGTATTAGCCTTGTTATATCTTTATTTAGGTGTAGTGCGTCAATCTACAAAACAAAAAAAAAACAAAAAATGTAGAATAAGTTTTGTTTGATCATTAAAATGTTTACCTGATTAACTCTGGGAACATAATTATTTTTCGTCGTCATTGAACCGTTTGTACTCTGCCCTTATAGTATCAAAATATTTACAAATTAATTGTCGGCATTTCTTAAGTGATGCCACCCAATTTATTTATTACATTTCTATCAAGTGTACTTTGACAAGTCAATATATTGCAATACATAGTGAAAAATATTTCATAACAATTTTTCAAATACATTGTCGTAGTCAGTTATAGTATGCTTTCACTGCTGACTCAGTAAGTGTAACTTTATAAGTAAATTTCGTTAACCATACAAAGAGCTTCCGTACTTTTTAACTTACTTATAAAAACTTATTTTATTTATTAAAGTAAATCATTCTTATTAAAATTGGAATAAAAATATAGAATGCAACCTTTAAGAATAGAACCTTTGCAATATTTGTTATATGTCTTAAATGTAAAATGTAAACAAACAACAGCTGAGTGGTAAACAAACGCAATGAGGAAGTTAGTATTTAATAAAATCTTTGTTTTATTAGTTGAATATGTAATGGATTTGAAATATATATATGTACATAAATGATTTAATATATCAATTATATAGTTAATTTTTTTGTGTTATTCATTAGTAACTGCAGTTTATTTAACCAAACAGAAGGTCTCTTAGAACTTTCAACATACTGTCTCACTCATAAAAGCACTTTCACATAGAGTATACTTACTGTATGTGAATGGAAACAATAAAAACGTCTAAACAAATTTTTATCACGAATCACAATACTTTATATCTGTATAGTTAAATTTTTCAATTCAATTTGATGTTGTAAGCTTTTTATATTGATTACATATCACAGCGAGCATTATAGAAATTCCACGTCAAATTACAGAACCTAAGTATCGTAATCTTTTAATTTTTGAAAATTTCTAATACAAAATACGAATAATGAATATTTGAAAAACTGTGTACCTTTTATTACAGAATATGTTATTAAAATCTAACAACTGAGTATAAAATATTTGTGTTCAATATGTAACCTTTTCGCAATATTGTGCACAATTTAGTGAAATAAAAAAAACCAAAAATAATTATAAGTCTGGCATCATTGTCTAATTTTAATACTGAAAAACCTTACACCTTTAGGAGTTTGTGCAGAATTTTTGTTTATTACGCATTGTAAACAAATCTGATGTCGCGCATTGTATTGTTTGGAATACTATAATTATATTTAGTGTACTATTGTGTATTAATAATATGAATTCCCCAAATAATAATACGAACAACAACGACAATGCGGTCACAAAGCAACGCAAGTCTACAAAGTCAAATTCTACATCAAAATCTGCTATTGAATCTAGGGCTGCAGAATTGGCCGATCTTATAAAGAAGAAAGCTGAAACATCTGTATGTTATCTGATTTGATTCGATTTTCTTCATTTCATATTCAAATTTGTAGGAACAGTTAGCTAACTTGGAGCGACAAATATATGCTTTTGAGGGATCCTATCTTGAAGACACTCAACTCTGTGGTAATATAATACGTGGTTGGGAACGTTATTTAACTTCAAATAAAGCAACAAATTCAAAGGCAGATAAGAGAAATCGTAAATTCAAGGAGGCTGAAAGATTATTTTCAAAGTCAAGCATTACTTCAATGGCTATTTGTAACCGTCAGTATATTTGTCGAGTGTAATTGACAATTACATTAATTTACATTAATTTTCTTATGATTTATTTTTAGCGGAACGTGCAAGCGAATCCGACATTACAAACGAAGATTCTAGTGACAATCAAATATCAGTTAGTCAGAATACAACTACTCAGCACGATAACACCGTTTCTATTAAGAGTAGTGGGAAAGATGATAAAGCCGGTAAAATATATGAATTAGTAATATGTGAGTGTTTTTTCTTAAATAAAATATATTTCAGATCGCGCCAATACACCTCAACGGGATGTAGCAAAAGATCCAAGTACACCTACTGGTAGCTCAAAAAATAAAACTACTCCTAATACTAGCGTCAGTGCAAAGAAAGGTGGTCACATTAATAAAAAAATTAGACATCGGTGATTTAGGGGGCGGCCAAGGCACAATTCTTAAAAGCCCAAGCAATGCCCCAAATCTCAGCATAATAAAAACAGTTTTTAAAGTGAAATTTCTTAACATTTCATTCTACATTTTAAAATTTTAACTATTCATTAATTATTAATAACAGTTGTATATCTATTAAATTTAATTCGTACCAAAAATATGTATTTATTGTATAATTATTTTATTGGAAACTTAGGTATATCGTAGCAAACAGTTCAATGTAAAAATGCGTATGGAATATTATGACGTCGTATACACAAAATACAAAGTGTTTAGATTAAAATACTATAAAGTATATTACAAATCCAATTACTAATAACGTTATCGCCATACCCACTAACATTATATATTTATCCTCAGAAAATCTGCGTTCAATTAGTTTCATTGTGTGATTTGATAGTCCTAAAGTACTTCCTATAGCTAAAATTCTTCGTTGGGCACCTTTTAAAGTTTCACGTTGATTAATAAGACTGCCGAGTATGTTTCCTCCTGTAGCTATCATTTCGTCCACGCCTTGATGTGCATTTCCTAATTGACTATGATGCTGTAAAGCATGATCCATGTCCAAACATGTTTCGGGTGCACCCTCAGTGCTGTTTGCTGTAAATCGATGACTTAGTAGCTGCTCTCGTTCAGACATTTCATTTAATTTACGTTGACGTTTTTCTCTATACAATTGTAACGAGTTTTCTAAATGTCGTACATCATATTTAAGTTGGTCTACGCGCATTTTAGCGCTAGGTCGTTGACTAACTGGTACCTTGTACAATAATACATCAAGGCGGTCACAATTTCTAAATTAACAAAATACTTAGTTTGTATTTTTTATGCTACTAAGTTTGGGTTTTAATACCTGTATAAAACTTACGTTTTTACTGTTGTAATTTGCGTTTGTATATCATTTTCTACTTCAAAACTCTCTTGGCTGTTTAGTTTTTGAAAATTTTTTTCGATTTCTTGCAAAACTCGATTTGTTTGATGATATAAAGCTTCCATTTTTATTTTATAATTTTGAAATCAAGAATTTTACCTAAATTAAAATATATATTTAATAACAGCGTACTTATTTACAATAATTTTAATGACGTGTGTCTATTAAATATTTAGTTCATCAGTATAGAAATATTAAATAATTTTGAGCAAGTGTTGTAAAGTGCAAAAACAAGTTTGTTCAAAATTATAGAAGTCATACGCAAAAATTTTATTTTTATGTCATATTTATATATTTATGTATGCATATAATATATTAGATCATTTAGTGCTACTTAATAATATATATCTTAAAAATTTGTTTATTGAATATCCAGAAATAGTCTATAGTATAGTGAACTATAAAGTCGCATATACATATACATACATATATAAAGTGAATCACTCATATAATAAAAGCTAAATAATTTTCAATATTTTCAAGATTATTTTTACTGCTGTCAAATGACACAAAATAGATTAAAGTTAAGTTGTTTCAAATAATTCAGTAGTCTTTGTTATTATTATTACTTATAATCTGCAACTACTTTCTGTTATTATATTTCTTGAAGAAGAGTCAAAGAACTTATCTCATATTTCATTGTACGAAGGCTTTTTTTGCGGTGGGACAATAATATTATTGTATAAATATACATATGCATATCTTAGAAATTGGCAATCTCTTAGATTTAGTATGGCAGCTCTTAAGAACACATAGTATTTATACTACCACCTGTTTTCATGTTATCAAACAACTCAAAGTCTAAATACCCATTATAAAGTAGTGCAAAAATTTTCATTTTTTATTTCGGATTTAGGCAATGGCATCTACTGGTATTTTGGTGGTATCGAATGTAAAAATTCTAGGCAAATCATTACGTAGTATAGAAAAGTATGTGAATTCACTATACATTCATTTAAACATTCCGGACAGTCTTTCGCAACCAGTGCCTGCTTGGGGACGCTTAATTTCTCAGTTATATATTGATAGTCAAAGTTATTTTAATAGCAATAATGTCGACATGAAAATACTTGTTGGTCCACTGAAAAACAGCAATCATCTTCAAACTCCTAAGCAAATCGACATGATATTTTCGGATGCTCATTTTCCGGATATTTGTAATAATTTACGTAAGAATCTTAACATTAGCAGCGATTCAATATACTTGGAAGAAGGAACTATAAATAACATTTCCGAATATCGCTGCGAAACTGATGCAAATAAAACTTACGACACAGTTGTTCTTGGTGGTACATTTGATCGGATACATATTGGACATAAAATATTTTTAACTCAAGCCGTTCTCAGAGCTTGCCGCAGGCTGGTAGTGGGTGTTACAACATCAAAAATGACTAAATGTAAGTCTCATACGATATTGTTAATAATAATCAATCAATTACATTATTTGAATACATATGACAATCAAATTTTAGCAAAAGTACTACCTGAACTTATTTTACCGGTGGAACAACGCATTCAAGAAGTTAAGGAGTTTTTAATAGAGATCGATTCTACATTACAATATGATATTGTTCCTATTGATGATCCATATGGACCGACTCAAACTGACCCTAATATGGATATGATTATGGTGAGTGCCGAAACATTACGTGGTGGACAGAAGGTTAACGAAATCCGTTTAAAAAATGGATTGAAACCTGTTGAAATATATAGTATAGATGTTGTGGAAAGTAGTGTTGAGGATGGTCCCAAAGAACATAAAATCAGTTCGAGTAATACACGAATAGATTTACTTGGAACTCGGATACGCGCACCTCAGGTGAATATAAATATATGAATCCTCAAAATACTATTGAATAAAGTAAGAACTTTCAGCACTCATCTGCGCTTCCAGCTGAACCCTATATAATTGGGCTTACAGGCGGTATTGCTTCGGGTAAAAGTAAAATGGCCGAACAATTGCAAAAATTTGGTGCTGTTATATTAGATTGTGATAAAATAGCACATGAAATCTATGAACCCGGCAAGGATTGTTACAAAAGAATTATAGAATATTTTGGCAGTGATATAGTTGATTCAGATGCAGTTATAAACCGAAGCAAACTAGGTGCTATTGTTTTTAGTGATCCCATAAAATTAGAAGCTTTAAATAACATTGTGTGGCCTGAATTACTATTAGAAGTTAAGCGACGAATTTCTGATTTGTGTGAGAGGCATCAATGTCAAGTAGTAGTAGTTGAGGCTGCTATACTTTTAAAAGCTGGCTGGGAGTCAGATTGTCATGAAGTATGGTCAATGATTATACCTCCCGAAGAAGCTGTTAAACGAATAATGCAACGTAATCAACTTAGTCAGGCGGAAGCACTAAAACGCATAGCCAATCAAATTGATAATTCTGAAGTTGTTTCTAGATCAAATATCGTTTTTAGTTCTCAATGGGATGAAAGTTTTACATGTAAACAAGCGGAAAAGGCATGGAATTTACTTATGAATGACATAAACAAAATTAATAAGCCAAGCATGTTATGATGATATACATATACACAAAACAGAGCGTGCCTTTATAACTATATAAATATTTCTTTATTCATTAGCGTTTAGTTTGGTTTGGTTTTTATTGTTTTCTAACACCGAGAAGATTTAAAACAAATATATTTATGAAATCAAATGTTATTTTATTTAATTTAATGACTTTCACCCTTTTTACCGGCAACGCGCTTAAAGTCAGTCATTTTTGTTGTCATTAGAGGTGATCCAATAAAACCAACAAAGTCGATTTGTGTAATTTCACCACCACATTGATTATTTTTAACAAAAATCTGCAAGTTTTGAACGCTTTGAAACTTAACATAACGCAGGTTAATTAAGTTTCCGTTTTCTAAATCCTTTGGAGCCAAACTAAAATACAACAATTAAGTTTGTAGGAAAAAATAATTGTAATCTTTACTTACGATAAATCTTGGACGCTTGTCATGCCTTCTGCGGAATCAAAATCGATAGTGCGTGGTTGATTAATAAATAATTTAATGTCTTTTGGTCCGACTTGTGGAGGAGCTTTAATTTTAAGTGAATGGATTTTCACACATTGGTTAAAGGTAACTGATAAAATTAATTGTTCATCACAATCAGATTGTAAAAAGCCACCTTCAGGCGTTAGACAATGCATTAAAGTATGCTCATCACATTCATTTAAACATTCACACTCTTGCTTAGATATAAATGCATTTAAGTCCATCTAAAAAATAATTATTGAGAACATACACTACATATAACATTAGTTATATTTACAAGGCCTTGTCCATAATCTTCGTCACATTCACTACTACCAGACATATGCTTTGTAATTTTTGCTTCCAATGCCAATAGATCTGCTCCCTGTAAACGATCGACCTTTGTCTGTAAATTTACGTTATTAAATTTTTGATCAATTATTTACTACATTGAATGTACTAGCACATACCCTGTTTTTATAAAAGATGAAAGTGGGCATAGCAGAAACACCCTGACTTGCAGCAACATCTTGGCATTTATCCACATCTACTTTAAGGAAAACTCCCTTCGGGTATCTTTCAGGAAACATTCCAAAAAATGGTGCAACGCGCTGACATGGTCCACACCTAAATTAGATCATACGATATATTGAACCATCTAATATACACAGTAATATATAGGTCTTTACCAAGACGCTGTAAAATCCACTACTACTAATCGTGTCCCTGCGGCCAAAAGTTCAGACTGGAAATGTGCCTCATCATTAATCTCACGTATGCTCATTTTTTTTTCAATTTTTGATAAACCACGACTTTTTTAATATTATATTCTTAATAAACGAATGACTCGCGAAATTACGATGCTATTACCTTTTTTTGACAGCTATTAAATATTTGACATATACAGATTCGTTTAATGCATGGTTTGTTTCTTGGCTAATTAACCATTATGCCCGTTATAAATGCGTTCGTAATGTAAAAACAATGTATTTGCTATGATTGTGACTTTTAAACATATTTATTTTTTATGTATATTAAATTACGTACATAAAACGTTAATTTTGTTTGCATTACATTATTGTGCATAAGAAAATATTTGACATGAAATACATAACCACAGCTGCTTGTATTAACATTAGTTTCATATAAATAAACATATAGCGATAATTGCTCAATTAAAATTAAATAATAAAAATAATAAAAAATAAAGAAGAATAGCAAAAATTACTTGAATTTAAAGTTTTATAATTAAATTTAAAAATATTAAATATAATAATAAATGATATAAATGTACTTTTTTTTTTATTATTTGTTTATAAAATATTTTCAAAAAATAAATAAAAAATTATATAAATATTAAAAAGTATACATGTTTATTAAAAATATATAATTTTTTAATAATAAACACTGTACGTCTTCAGCAGCGCGAGCATTATATTAGTCTTATATGTCCAGCACATATTACTTTTTACAAATTTTTCCATTTTCACAAATTTTATTTTATATAAAGAAAATTTTATAGACCAAAAACATAAGCAACTTTTCGAGCGAGCTGTCAATCGAAAGATATTCTCAATAACATATCTTTATTTTCGTCTTTCGAAAGACAAAAAAAAGCTTTCAAGATAGTTTTCAGAACATAAAACATCTTTCGTAAGATCTTTGTGATTTAAATTGCTCTGTTAATCAATTTTATCGCATATATGTATACAGATCATACAGATCAGTATGCATTTAAGTTTTTAGGTTTACATATGAAAGTGATATAACGATACTTAGTTTTTTTCCCAATGAATGTGAAAAATGTGTATCAACTCGATATTAAGTTTAACTTCAATGTAATACAATCCCAAAATATATATTCAAAGTAACGCACATATATATGTATATATAAGAAAAAGGTATATAAGGTAAAGATAGAAATATTAAATGTATACTCTCAATAAAAAATTGCTTTGAAAAAACCAATTTTTTAGTAATTAGTTCATAAATATTAATTCTCATTTATACCAAAAATTTTTACAAATGGTAAGAATTATTAATTAGTCGAAGAAAATTATTTCTTGTTTTCACCAGAAATTTTTTTAAATGATTAGAATAAAAGAATTAATTAAGATCAGACTTTAACAAAAAAGTCTAGTCTTCATACCTTATTATGATTAATCAAATATAACGTACTAAATTCGCATTGCTGTTAACGGTTTTCTTACTGAAATGCATTAACATAAAATATTTAATTAACGTTTGTGATATCATTATATATTACATTAATCAATAAATAAATAAAAAATATGTATTATTGTTAATGATTTATTACTGTTAATAAATAATATTAATATGTATTTGGCTTTCTGTTATTACAAGAACAGTGGACATGGATGGGCTGCCTTTAATATGAAAATTGAATCAGTTTGAGAGATATTTTTTTCAAATCAATTGTTGTTGTTTTAACAAACGTATTGATTCATGATAACTTGAAAACTGAAAAATTGTATACCTAAATGTTTTCTAAAGCAACTGTAACGTTTAGTTGTTAAAATGACCTCTACAAGGCCTCATTTCTTTAGAAATTGTATATAATTTATCAAATTGAAAATTTTATGTGAAATTTTTATATGTACGTATGTATTATAGAAAAATAATAATAAAATGCCGTTAAATTTATATAAAATTTAGAAAATAATGGTTATTTAATTTTTATTACAGGCTTAAATTTCACATAACAAAATCGCTATTTTATTTATAGAGTAACAGTGTTGGCACAGTTTATATATATATACATGTATATATAGATATAATTGTATAGATATAAAATAGATGTGTTTGTCGATAAATATAGAAAATAAAAAACAACATAGTCGCATATTATATTCGTAAATATTCAACAATGAAATATATATAATTTATTACCATATTTATTAAATTCAATTTTAAAATGTGACCCTGAATATTAAAATATCTATTTTTATAATGTGGATAGGTTTTTAAAAAAAATTGAAAGATATAATTAATATTCAAATATATATAAAGTTCTCTTTTATTTTTCTCAATTTGTTAAGGTATATGTTTAAATCATGTTAGATTTAAAATATATTTATTAAAAATTAAAAATATTTAAACATAGATATTACAGCGTGATAGAGCAAAAAGAGGAACCAATATGGATGATAATAACTCTCCCAGTTAGCGCTGTAGGTATATTTATAATTGAGAGCAATTATTTTATTTAATTGTACATATTGTATACAATATGAAATTTAACTAATGTTTTATTAGATAAAGCAGTAGTTTATATATTTAGTTTTAAAATAAAAAATAAGTTTTCTGAATTGAAGTCAAATTGCAAGATTTTAATACTATAACTCCTTTTTGATACTGTGCAATCAATCCTTTTAAAACTATATGAATCGTATAATACTCTGGCATTAATTAATTTTGTTGGTTTTGTGGGCATAACATCAAATTCAAGTTTTTGCGAGTAAGTACTTTCCTTAGAGCTTGCAGAGTTTTGATACAAATAACAACGCAACAGCCATTGGCCACTCCTTCAGCAGGACTTTTACAAGTACAACCTGTACTTTTAGTTTGTTGTTTTGTTGCAGGCGGTGTTGATATTTTGATCTCCGGTTTGGTTATTTTCGTGCTGCAACACCCATTAATACTTTCATTTTGTTTATTATTATTGGAACAACAGCTTGAAGAATTATCTACTGGCTGCGCTGAATTTTCAGTGGCAGTAGAGCGACTGCTACCACAACAGCCACCACTGTTACTACTCATGGAAGCCAAATTTTGTAGTAAAACAGCGACGTCTTCAACGTTTTGATTCATTTCGGCTTCTCGTTTGCTGACGCGCTTTTCTTTAATTTTTGTCTTATTACAACAATTCGATCCATTTGATTTTATTTGGGCAGTACAATTTCTTTTTTGATCTTGGGATTGTTTGTTGTGACAAGGTTTGTCGTTTGAACAACCACCTTGACAGTATTTCGTTTGGTCGCATTTACAATTGGTACAGCTGCAAATGCCCGCATCTGCAGTTATTTGTTTAAGTGTTGGCTTATTGTTACGCAAATCGACCTCAACCAAACCCGATGCATCAGCAGGAACTTGCTTAGCTTGATGCAGCGTTTCTTGCAATAAGCTCGTGTTATTGTCAATGGTCATTAAAATGTCGTTTAGTAGCGATTCCGTTTCCATTTCATCTGTTTCGCTATTATAGTCAACATCCTTTAGTAAATCTTCAATATTTTCTTGTATAGGGATTGATTCATCAGATTGTGTTGGTTCCATATTGTAATCATTGGACTTTGAAATATTGGTGACAATATTTGAGTTGTATTTCATATCAGCATCTATCTCCATAACTGTTGCAGGCAACTCCAATGCATTTTGTCTGTTTTCACAATTGGGGTCATCATTTAAATACGCCAAGTAATCACATGGATCAGACGATATGGGTAAATTTGTATTGAATGGATTTACTGTAGCAATATTAGTTTCACCTATTACTGAAATCTCTGGGATGGCACTTACATAGTTTTGTTGTAGATCGACGTAGCTTGGCATTTCTGTAGGTAATGCAACGCATGCAGACTCAATACGTGCAACTGGCATAATTGGTTTCGGAACAAGCACTGCTGTATCTACCCAAGGTGTTGGTATTTCTTCTTCAGCCGCATAAGCTAATTGTAACGCTTGTGATCGTTCAGGCAAAGGTAATATCTCCAGTTTAGGAGATATTTGGCTATATTCATTATTTGGCACTTCTGGAAGTTGCAATGTGTAATATCCATTATTTGAAAAGTCCACAGTTTCAGATTTTATATAATCTGCAGTTTTGAACTGACAAATTTTGTTTTGAATACTTTCAACGTTTACGAATTCATCAGTTTGTTCTTCTATGAATCCACTACTGTCGCTCTCAGTTTTGAGAGCCTCATTAGTTATTGTAGTTTGAAAACCTTTTTTGTTAGCCTGATGTATAAATTTCTTTGGTTTGTATTTACGTTCTTTGGTGTTTTTGTTTTGAATTTGTCTTTGGTGTGTTTTTTTATGTGATTTAAGACTATGTGAAGTGCTAAATTGTTTGCCACAGTTGTTTTCTTCACACGGATAAGGTCGTTCTCCAGTATGTGTACGAATGTGAGTCTTTAGATGATGCGAAGCGGTAAAAGATTTACCGCAAGCATTTTCCTGGCACTTATAAGGACGAAATTGAGTATGAGTACGCATGTGTTTCTTTAAATCACTTAGAGTTGTAAAGCCTTTATGACATTGTTCACAATTAAAAGTTTCTCCGTTATGTAGCCGTAAGTGGGCATGCAACCTAAAGGAATGAAGCGAAAATTATAAGTAAAAGTTTAAAAATTTGAAAATAATAATAAAAATAATTAATCAATTGCTCCACAGAATTGGATTTATATTAATTTGGAAGTAAACTATTTAAGTTCATCACAAATAATATCGATACTTGACTTAAATATGTACTCTAAAATAAAGGAACAGTTGACGGTTAACAGTTCATAGCACCAAAAAATCAAAAAGTCGAAAGAAAAACAAAAACAAAAATATTAGAATATAAAATTTAAGTGCTAATTAACTGCACTAAAAATGAGAAACAGTTCCTGTAGAAAACTTTTTCAATGTTTAACAAATTTTATGATAGTTTATTACATCAAAACTCAAATATTTAATCAAATTAAATATTTCGCTTTAAATAAATTATTTTACAATTTAATAAAAAAAACAAATTCTTCATTATGATATTTTTCCATCTAATTAAAGTTTATTTATCTTCCTGATTCTGTTTTTTTAAAGTACACACCTAAATGATCCTCTGATCCCCGTAAGATTTTAATTCACCAAAACCCCTAAGATGTGAAAAGATTTCAGCTAGGGGACCATAAAGGGCCCATTCCAATAACCAAGAACAAATAGGGGAAGTTAATAGACTTAATATTCAATCTGAATCTAAATTCATTTCAGCCATAGAATATTGGCAAAAGTATAACAAGAGAGAAAATTGTGACTGGTGAAAGAGTGGGTTCTTATGAATGCTTGTTTTTAAAACTCTATTTTTTTTTATTAATAGCTCTATCGTATAGATTATATATGTATGTATATGTTTAAAGAAAACAAAAGTAGTTACCTGTAGCGTGTATTAAATGCCTTTTCACAACCGCCAACATCACATTCATAAGGTTTAACTTTGGTATGTACTCTTATGTGGATTTTGAGACTGTATGACGTTAGAAACGCTTTTCCGCAACCTTCTTCGGTACATTTAAAGTGATATTCACCTAAATTCAATTATTAATGCGTATATTTTAATAATTCTTGTAGATTTCATTTAAATATTTGAACTGACCCTTGTGCGTTTTCAAATGTGTACGAAGATTCCCAATGGTACTATAGCTTCGGTTGCAATTCTCATAATTGCATTTGTATCGTGCCAGCGATTCATCCGAGCTCTGAGAAGCATTACAAAAGGATTAATTATTTAATAAATTTTAGGAAATATTGGTAATGATAGAGAATCAATCAGAAATAGTTTTCGTATACTTTCTGATTTTTATAGGCAGACACCAATGTCAATATCATGCATTACAGAAGTCATACTTAAGATTACACAGAAAATATTTAGATTAAAAAATGATTAAATTGATCAATAATATGTTGGGTGTTGGGTGTGGGTGATGGGTGATTATTCATATTTAACTCAGTTTAAGTGGTAAGACTTAAGCAAATAAAATTCCAACTAATTCAGCAATTTATTAAGTTTTGTTATGACCGTGCGTATGCGTGAGCTGTTCAATTTGTTATTACTCAGCCGGCTTGAAGCTCGAAACACATGTACATATGTATGTTACTTATTGATTTATTGAATGCGATCTGTACCTCGAAATTAACTGTTGTTTGAGTTGTTGTATCTGCTTTCAGTTTTTTGTGCAAGGCTTCGGGACGTATACATAATGAAAGGTCGTGTTCATCTGCCTCATTACTTATTTTGCTGTAACTAAAATCCGTCAAATAATAATATTGAGTATAAGTTTAAAATTTTATTTCATATCTTTGTAATTCATATGCATAAATGTCTTATATGAACATATGTATATATTATTAATTTATTATATTTTTAATCGATTAATCGATGCGATAAAAAGTTTTATTGTGTAAGTACGTCATCGAAGCATTAAGCTTTCAATCGATAGTAAGCACGAGCTGCATTATTTCATTTTCTCATAAAAGGCGCACTATTATTCTAGTTATTTTTGCATTTGCAATATCTGATTTCATAAAAAAAATTTAAATATGTGTATAAATTACTTTAGTTCACTGTTATCAATACTAGAACAATGGAACAGAAATGTATCCTTCGATTTTTTATGCATTTTTTAATTGTCAGTTCCAGTATTAGTCAAGCACCTTAAAAACTACTGCTTTAGTTATAATATTTTAAGTGGAAAATTATGGAAACTTATTTATTATGTACAAAAAAATCTAAACTAATATGATTCAATCATTGAATATTTCTTTATAAACTGTTATAAGATTTTTCGAGCAATCCCTAAATGCCTTACTAATCATATTACAAGTTTAAATTATAACAAAGGAAATGTGGAATTTAAGATAGAATTACTGGCATTAAATATATATACACATTTATTCATCATTATCATTTAACGCAAAAACCTAAAATGAATTTAAGCTTTCTTCGTAAACTTTCAGAGAATATATCCTCGATTTGTGGTTGATGCCTTCCAGACTTCTTATGTCTTTATCAATACAGTCAATAAGACGAGTTCTTTCATTTTTGGAGAATATAACCTCTATTTATAGTTGATGCCTCCCAGTTTGTCTTGGTAAGACTTCTTATGTCTTTATCAATACAGTCGATAAGACGAGTTCTTTCACTGTGTCTTATATGCCTAGAAAATACTTAAAAACTGTTTCTAGGCTCAAATTGCATCTATATGTACTCTCTGCTATACATTTCAACATATACAATTTAGCATTTATCAAAATATCTTCAGAATTTTTAAGTTCCAATAATTCTTGATTGCTTTCTGGTATGCAGTTTCCATACGTGTCCACAATTTAACATAAAATATTTCTGTTGAATACATCTAAAAAATATTTTAGAATTTTGGAAATATTCACTTAAAAATTACATACATCTGCAGAAATTGACGTTTAAACAATCAAACAGGTTACGATTATCACTACTGAGTACGATGTGCAATAGACATCGTTCCTAATCTTACATGCTTTTTGTACGCCCTTGAGAAACGTAAGTTATCCAAAGAATAGTATGGCAATCAATACGGTTAGAACTTTAGGTACAGCTAAGCTTAGAGAGAGCTTTATTTTCGTCACATCGACAACAATAGGAACATCGTAATAGATTCTGGGCTTAAATTGCAATGATTATTATTCATTTTACAATAATCTCAACAAGCCGAAGTTTTGTTTTTTGTGCAGTTATATGTTTGTTGACTTATTTTTATCATGGGTATCGAAAATGACAATTTCTAAATAATTGATAATAATTGATCAACACCAACATAGAAAATAATATAACTCGAATAAAAGGATACATTGGCATATAAATAAATCACCCTATATACTCATAGTTTATGTACCATGCGAAACTTGTTTTTTAACCAGTAGAAAGGAAAATTATTTACAATATTTGAGCAAAAAATATTTCCTAAAGTATTTTATACTATAGAAGGCAACATGACCTATAAAGATTGCCTCACCCATTTTATAATCCGTTTTTGTTCCCAAACAATACCATTCTCTTTCACATTTCGTTACCTATTCATATACTAAGCCAAGTATTCATATTTGTAATTCCTTTCGTGTTATCTGTAATATAGATCTCCCAAACCACAACAACAACGTTAAGATTGTTGCGTATGTACACTCCCTACAGTCTAATATATTGATACCTGTTTGTATCCACCTAAATAAATATCTTGCGATGGCTAGAACTTGATGAGTTGGCTTTCAATACGTAATAAGAGCCAACAAAATTATTACCAAAACACATTATGTTGTGGTAATGCATAAGAAGTTGAAAGCTGTGGGAGACAAAAGCTGCCGCAGGTAATGACCTGTACAAGGATGTGTCTCCAATGATAATGATGATGATGAGATAAAAGCATCTCAAATGATCACGTTTATATAATATAAAGAAATATTCTTCAATTTTTTTTTAATTTTTTCAATTTCTTATTAATGCTAATGACATGAAATTCGGTATTTATAATTAATAATTAATAACATGTTAAAGAGTTTAGTGAAAATCGAAAGAAAATCTGTTCATAAATCAGAATTTAAAAATAGCAAAAATTGATCTACAAGTTATTTTAAATATTAAAAATCATTTAAGAATATTAAACACGTTATTCACTCAAATTAAAAATAGATTTACAACAAATAAGAGATTTTAGTTTGGTCGCACTATTTTCCAAGCACCCTGCTTTTTGGTAATTAAGCATAGTTTTAATTTAACCTAAATAATTAATAATTAATTTATACAAAATTACACGATTCTTCCATAAAAAGTGCGATTCGTAGTTTGAATTGTCTTTCTTTTAAAAAACACATTTAACATAACTAACAAGGCTTATTAACTAATAAGACCGTGTGCGAGTTCGAGTAAATTGATGGTAAATTGCGGGAAATAATACATTATGTCGATATGGCAGCGAATGTTGGTGTTTATCAGAATTTTGAGTAGGGTAAATAAGATAAAAATTAGGTAAATTAGGTATTACCATTGTGAAAATTTTATAAGAAGTTTAATAAATAAATAAATAAATATTTACATAAGTGTAGTGCAAAAAATACCTAGGAAATTTCAATTTAGTTTTTCTCAATTTACTCGAACTCGTACACGACCTAAGTAAATAATTTAATAATAATAAATTAATTCCAGAACTGGTCACACATTTCAAAATTGTAGCTATTCTATTTATCTATAATTCATTCCGTAATTTCGTAATATTCCGTAATTTTAAGTAATTCTGTAATATGATTTCTGTTTGGGTTGAGATGTTGCGAGGACCTTATTGGCATGACAGCAGCAATGCTTTATTGAAAAATTTGTAGCAATTAGCAATCGAAAATTTACGAAAATTTTTAAGAGCTTTATTTGTAATATTCGGATCTAGAAATTTTTTCAATAATATGGCAAATGTTTTCTGTTTTCGAAATTAATTTTGAATTAATTATGTGTGTACAAATGTATGTACTCGAACATACATCTTACTGAGTAGTGGGCAGCTATGGCTATGGCAACAGATGAATTTAAATTGTGTATCACACCTGCTGCAGACAAAATCATATATTTATTTTGTTTATATTTGATACACTTATATGATTTTAAGAAAATCTTTGTTATTATAGCAGCAGTTGATGCAGATGATTTTTATAGATACACACATGACAACCAAGTACAAATAATAACAAAAATAAACTGTTTCTAAATACAAATTGAATGCAAAAAAAAAAACAAAAAACAAAAACTAACAAGTATATATTATAATAAATATATGATTACTAAGCAAACTAAAACTCCGACCAAAAAACTTTTAATAATACAAATTAAAATACAAATAATTTAAACTGCATAGAATAGAGAGAGAAAATCTTCACTTATTAAAAAAGAAAAGCTAATATAGAAATAACTATTTACAATTGTTAAAGATAAATGTAAAGCTAAAGGATATAAATTAGATATAATAAATGCATTACTAATTGGACTAATTAAGGGCGTTTCTTCACAAGGAACTGTACATACAAATAAAAAACTAAAAGCAAGCAATGTTCTTTGATAGCGTAAATATAGAAAGATTAGTAAAATTAATAATTAGTAACCAGAGCATCGAGCAACTATTTTTTAATACGAGATGAAACTACCTTTCGTTAGTGACATATTGGTTGGGAACAGTAGACGCACTGACGGAAGAATTTGCAACTGCAGGTGCCGCTGCATCAACAAAAAACCCATTAATTGTGTTAAACTTCGTTTGATTGCTATCACATACAGAGTGTGCAAAAGTCGGAGCAGTTGTTACCACCATGACTGGTGGCCCGAGCTGTTCGTTCTTGAACTCATATTCAAACTGTATGCAAATATCGTTTTTGGCATTCAAATTACTAAATGTCGTAGGCATAATTCTTTTTTTTTCATTTTCTTCTAGATGATAATGAGAAACTAATGTTGGTAACGATTTGTGTGCAGATATGGATGATAATGTAGAAGGTGATAGTGACGGTGATGACATAGGTTGTATATCTGTTGTTAAAAAATTGAACAAGAAGTCTTCATCTGCTTCGATATCTATATCACCGATATCATAGAAATTTGTATGTGACGCATCATCGTCTAGATCTAAACTTAATCCTAAATTGTGAAGCACCTGTTGTTGTGTTATTTGATCCTGATCCAATGTACCGATTGGTAAGTCAATGTTCTCAATGCCTTGCGATTGTTGCAATGTGATTGACGAATTTGAGGAATCAAAGTCAGATGATAGCGCTGCTTCTGCTTGCAAAAAGTCATTTTCTTCACAATTACCGCTAATAAACTGCGTTTCCATTATTTTTATGTATATTCTTTTCGATTTTTTTATATCACTTATCAGCAAAAAGCAAAAAGATGTATTATTTAATTTTGCATTACAATACGATATAAAATATAAATTTAAATAAGTATGTGCTAAAGAACACTTGACAGTTTCCAAAGAAGAACAACGAATGTGATAAAATTCGTCGAAGTTAAGAAACAAGTCAAAGAGGAAATGAAAAAACACAACAAACAAACCCAAATTGCTGTGCATTAAATCATATGTTTAGGGATGTGTTCAACAACTCGAATGAAACGAACAAAACAAATACATAATTATAAAGCTAAATTCTATATACAAAATCAAATAATTTGATATAGACAACATTAAATATTTGCAATTTTATATTTATAATATAATAAACATTATTTGTTATATGTGATCCTCTACAAGGATGTAAACAATCACTTGCATCACTTCACATCATCATAATGATGTCATAAATATACACATTATTGTCATAATGTTATGATTTGTCACTGCGATATATTTTCATTTATTATCTTGAATATTTTTGAATGTGTAAATTACAAATGTGACAAGTGTAAATTTCTTTTTAGTTGTAAGCAATCATCTGGTAATTACAATAAATGTTAATAAAACATGCCAATCACTAATTTATCATATTTATGGCCAGTTTTATAATTCAACTTAACCTTTAGTGTTCGGTATTGTGCACTAAAGCGGCACTTAAAATGCAAAAAAATGCCACATTAGCACAAATCTTCAGTTTAGTACGCATTGTAAAATTTATATTTAATGTCACATATTTAAACAATCTAACGTTTTGACAATATTTCAAATTTCCGTTACATATTTAAATAATATAGCAGTAGTAAATACTATAAAAATTAACACAGCAAATGAACAACATTTGCCACGCTAAATCAATATAAAATTAGGTCCAATAGTTATAATATAATACTACATAATTTTTGAAATTTGATAGAATTATTATTTCTAGTGCTAAGCCATAACTGTTTACTATCTATACCACGTTCCATAATTAGTAGAAAAAATCCATACTATAGACCACGCATATAATTTGAAAAATAAACTAATATAATTTGAAAAATTAAAATAAACTAATTTGAAAATTAACTATTAGTTAGTACTTAAATAAATGCTGGTGCATAAACTGATAATTTGTTAACAAAACATTTGTAATGTATGATGTCCACTATATTTGTCTGAATTGAAATGCATACAATTTAATATAAGCGTTAGAGATTACCTGTAGCATGTCACCACTTAAAAAACCTTGTCTTAAAAATCAATACAGTATTGATAATAGACAAAATATGTATATAGCATAAATAATTATGCTGTTAATAATTGCATTTATTTTTAAATCTATATACTTAGCCTTTTTGTGAATGCAAGTCTTACAATAAATAAATCTTTATTATTCACAGAAATAGGTATTTAAAGTAAATAGAAGATATCTTTTCTTGATAAGGTTACCCAACATTTATTATAGTAATCAAAGATTAAGATATGACTCATAATAATACGGCACGTTTAAATAAATAAATGTAAGAAAATACATTACACGACAGTCCTAAAATAATCATGTTCGATAAATTTTTTATTATTTTTAATTAAAAAACCACATCTAATTACGATTTATATAAGATTTATTTAACACACACATTCCATATACATATTAATACACAAGTATTTTATACCTATATTTGGTTAGTTAACTTATTACTTAGTTGGGATAGTTTTTTTTTTTAATTTTATAAGTAAAATTTATTACTTATATTTGATTTAAGGTAGTGTATGATTTTATTAATTTTAAATACAATTTTTCTTGAATTTATCATCTACTGCTAACAACTTTTTAATATTATACATTAAACACGTTACATTTCATTACATAGATATACATAACATATGTGGGTAGATATTTTATACTAAGCTCTTATTTGTGTACATTTAAATTAATTAGCTACTATTTTCACTTTGAAATAAAAGGTACATTCGTTTGTTTCACTAACAAGAATTCCTTTTACATATTTGTTGGTAAAATGTCTGGAATTAAATATTTGCATAATTCTGTTTCGTTATCAACAAATATAACTTTTTTTGCAGTGTTATCATCCAGCCACTGACGTATTACTGGCCATATTGTGGAAAAAATTCCTGGAGAATTTATTATTAAACATACACCCAGTCGTTCTGGGTAATGTTTGCTCAGTAGCCAAATAAGGTTTTTAACCAATTGGTAGTCCTGAAAATTTTCAAATAAATATTTTTATAAATACTATAAATGTGAACTTAAAATTTATTTACCATGCAGGAAGTGCTAAATCCAGCCAAATCGAAAACAATACACAAGCTGTCTATAACTTCTTCAAAACATTTATTACTAGCTTCCTCCAGGCAAAAAACAATAAACTTAGTAAGCTCATCGATATTTCTTTCTGATGTATTGTGGTTTTTAGCTGGAATGTATACAACGGGACGACCCACGCAATCTCTGTGCCTTAAAACAATTGCCTTGTCAGCATATTTTTTTATTTCTTCACAATTTCTGAGGTTTGCAACACCATATTGTTCACGCCATTTATTTGTTTTAAGTACAGCCTTTATATATAAATGTCATTATTGTATATACTAAAAAAATTCCATATATTTTGTTTTTGCTTACCTGAAAAGCAGCATCTGTAGTTTTAAATGCGCGTAAATAACGTCTTAAGGAATATTCGTTATGATACTGTTTTTGATCTGCTTCAACGATGAGTTTCATTCGCTCTTTAAGATCTTTCAAATCACTTTGATTAACGGGATCAGGTACTTCGTTAGACATATTGTATATATAAGATATGTTCACAAATTATGTTAATCAAAATTTTCTTATGACGAACTGTATTCGCAATAGTTACAAAAAAAGATTATTACTATCTTTCTTTCTTATCGTCTATTGTTTTCCTTGTTTTTGCCTAACACTTTTTTTCTGATATTCTTAGTGCAATGGCAATATACTCTTCAACTGCAAGTAATATAGGTGAATTTCATGTATGTACGTTTATATAATTATACTACACCACATATATCTAAAATGTGATTTTTGTAGTAAAATAATTATTATTTGTTTGTAGAAATAAGTATTTTTCATATTATATCGCGCTGTTCACATTTTGAGTACGTACTAGAAGTACGATATAGAGTTCTATGTTCAAATCTCACTTAGTTTTGATCTAAAAGCACACTGTAAAAATATATATAGTATATGCTTATAAGCTTTATCTTATATATAGAATTGCCTCACTACAGAATTTACATCTAGCTTACAGCTATAGCTAGATTAACCTAATCTAACTTTAGAATTTTTACATTGTACATTTTGATAAAGTAAACAATTTTTGACATATTACAACTTTTAGCTACTTTGTTTTTGAATGTATTTAATTAACTTGTTTCTTCTATTGGACTTACAAGATTATCATTGACTTTAAGTTGTGCAAAATGAATTCGTAATAAAACAATTTTGATGTGAATAATTCTCAGCAACTAAAGCAAAGCGATAGTAAATATCGCTACAACGGTCTACACCACACAATAAAGATATACAAACTATAAATGCTTTGCCATGTTATGTGTATTTAAAAATAACCTAAATGAGTATAATTTATATCAAACGCTTGCAGTTAATAGCAACTAAATTTTATTATAAATGGTGAATAAATTTATTAGTGTGTAACAATTTTTTCACCACACTTTTTTATGTTCAGTAACATGCGCTCATTTGCTTCATGAATTTCACGCAGTAACTATATAAACGCTTTTCAACACTAATTACATATATTCATGGTGGTGTTAATCTGCATCCTCGTGTTTGTCATCAGCGTATTCTAAAATTGTATTTAAAATATTAAACAGTGTACACAATATAAAATATAAATTTTTTACGGAAAAATTATTGTTGAAGTAATGAAATACTAAAAAATAATACTGCATATAGTGAGAAACTAAAGTGAATTGTGTTGTACCAAAAATAGTACTAACAAAGCGCAGAAACCAAACTCGTTTTTTTTTTGTTTTGTGCGACATTCATTTATATTTTTCGAAAGAACATAACAACTCTTCAAAAATTGTCAAAATATTTAATTGATTCATCATAGTGTTTTGGTTAAGTTATATATATTTAAAAAAGAATGGCCGACGTAAGCGATGCCAGCGATGTTTTTGATTTGGAATTGCACGAGGAAGAAGTTGCTCCTGATTCAGATGACGATAAAATTGAGTTGGACGTAAGTTTTTTTTTCAATTATTGTTAAGAAAAATAGTTTTGGTGGACAAATATGTTAAAAATTTTATCAATAAGTCAATATACTATATAGCTCATTGCGGAGATAGTCTAAAAAATGTTCAAGGTTAGCCTTCAGTCTCTTATTAGACAATGTCGCTCGTGTGTTTTTAAAATTGTACAAAATTATCAGGTAGCCTAGCCAGCCACATGCTAAAAGTATTTTCATACTTTATTTTATACTTTGTTATTATATCAAAACAATATAGAGCATTTTTCGTCAAATTTTTCATAATTTTGATATATATACAATGAATAATTAAAATGAATAAAAATCTGATATGTTTTATATATTGATTTAATGTTCGTCTACATGGTTAAACCATGTCTTCTACAGTTGAGGTTGCATTTCAGAAAACTGAATTCTCATCATGGATGGGATATTTTGGAAACTGAATTGCTAAATGATCATTTAGTCATTCCAATATTTTATTTTAATAATTAATATAATATTTAATAATTTAATATTTAAAAGAGTTGAAGCTGATATATGGTAGATTTGGTTATCCATATGTCCACGAAGAAAGTAATAAAGGAACTTTTATACTAAAGTGAAATCCAATTCAAGTTTTACTTAAACTTAAACATATGAAATTATAATACTTGGAAATTATAACCAATTGTTAACCAATATTTTCCAAGTAATTAAAAAATGTGTTTCTTGTCCGTCACATAAATATATTTTTTACGTATTCTCTTTTCCAAGAAAAAGCCTTTTATTAACAATCAGTAGTTAGTAGCAGATACAACTGGCTGGCTGAGGAGAATGATTATACATAGATCAGTACAATCTACGTACATACATATCATTTTCAACGATACCATATGGACATTAATCTTTTATAATACATTTAAGCTAAACAGTAATAAACAGTATTGTAATAAATGCTTTTTATTGTAATAAATGACATGTGTTATAATATGAATTATGATAAATGCAATCCAATTGTTGTTGCAGTCAAATTATAATAATAAATTTATTACATTTGAAATAAACGGTTGCGTTTACACTCTCAATGAGATGAATCAGCACACCTAATTGATTTGTATCCGACCTAATAAGTTTGTCTCAGATTTAATTGATTTATGTATACGATGAAGAGTTAGATTGGAGTGGCGTGAGTTAATAAACATGTCAACACTACCACAAGGTCATATTTATTACCCATTGTGATACCTTCAGATTCGTCGTGAAGTCGTGAAGAGCTACACCAAACGTTGTTTCCATTATTATTCCTTGTTGCAACATTTGGTCTAAATCTTTTAGACATTCAACAAGTCAACGTTATCTCTGTTATCTCTGACAGTTAGCGAAAAAACAATGTTTAAATATTAAATTCATTTAGTTTATGGACATGGTCAAAGACGAAAAAAGTGATTAATGGGTTTCTCCTTTTTCTCATAACACTTCTTGCACAATCGAATTATCGATATACGACACACTTAAAGTAACGGCGCCATGCCCGTCTTATGCATGTCCTTCGAGTACATTCAATCATCTTTGAACCATTGATTTAGATGACAATTCTTGAGTTTGTTGTAAGAGATCCCGAAATGAATGAAGAGCAAGTATTCTAATTTTAAAATCATAATTAGATTCAAAAAAATATCGATACTCTTCGGTATATACTCTATTATTTTTTTCTCGATATATTAACATATTTTACAAAATTTGTAATGCAATGGAATGAATAAAGAAGATAAACTATCTACATGTTAAATAATATTATTTGAAAAGATATCAAAGATTGTTTTTCACCGCAGTTATTTTGTCGAGGTGTTTTTATTTACAAACTGCTATTAAATATATAGATTTGATCGTATATTTCAGTAACATGTATGAATATATGGCTTTGCATATGAAAACATTGTATTTTTTTTATATTTGCCAATGATTCTAAAGCATTTAAATCTTATCAAGGTTCTATTCACTGATAACGAAATTTGATGGCGGACATGGCGGTATGAAATAAATACATGAAAACCTAATCCAACAAACGATATGAGTCCACGTTTACTTTTGAGTTATTTGGTAAATTTAAACTTAAGTATTTATTTTCATCAACATAAGGGCTATGTTGTTTGGCTAAAATAACATCAGTTAAAACACCTTTAAAAATTTTAATATACAAACGAAATGCATTCCTCCCAGATTTTTTCGTTATCATTTTTTGATTTAAGCAAACACAGTTTTATTAGTATAACGTGTGGATTTTCTCAGGTGTCTTAGGGTCATGTAAGCGGTGTTGTGGATATTGTTTATTATTGCTGTAGAGTAGACGATATTCATCATCCGAGAGCTATAAATTATTAAAAAAATGTGTTAATTGGTTTTTTCAACTTATATTTTTAGCTACAATGAACTAATGTATACTCGTCCATATATATGTAAATATACTCATATTAAAATAATACGATTAAACTGATAAGTAAGCAATCAAACAAAAAAATATATATTTTATAAGCACTTATAATATTAGAAATGATAATAGTGTAAAACTGTTTTGTAAATACTAAAGCACATTTGTTATATCAAATTTAGTTGGAAGTTTCAGATTACATTAGAATTTTTATAATTTTATAAATTTTTTTTGATATTTCTGGGTGAAATAACCCATAAAAGATTAGGTGCGCAGGTGCTTAGGTTAGGTCAACACAGTGATCTTAGCGATCTAGCTTCCGGTGGTCCGTTGTGTATATATACGCTTTACGCATCGTTCTCACTTATGCAACAAGATCCATTTAAGGATGCAATAGTGGTTTTTATAATATTTATTTTGATTTTTTGGAATTTATCTAGGGCTTACTAGGGCTGTACGTATTCGGTTTTTGGAAGTATTCGGAGAAACTGATTAATCGGATAGTAAACGAAGTCTCCAGAGTTGAAAAAAAATCGGATTTTTTGTAAATCCGGAGTCTTTTAATAACCGGATTTGCGATTACTATTTGCAGTGAAATTATTCGGAGACTTGAAGATGTATAGCACTTCTTTCATATATTTCTACAACAGCTAGTCTTTTCATCTTTGTAAGACTATATAATACGGGGATTTTCCTAATAAATTACTTATCATCTTGTTAATAAATTGTTCATGTGCTTAAAAGAACTTCGTTTAGTTATAATAGTTTAGTCAATCGAGTGGTAATACTTATACCCTCAAATCTATTACAAGGTACCACAGATAGCATAAGTTCCTTAGTCTTCGGGTTGGTAAACTCCATTTATATGACCTTATGATCATTATTAACTAGATTAATTAAATATATAAATATTTCATCAAATTGTTGCTAATTACTGTGTTCGTGATATTACAGTATTTGTTCAGAAGGCTGATTGTAAATTAACAAAACTAAAAAAAGTATCTTAAATTGAATTTATTTCTTTATTTAATTATTTAAGATTTATACGAATATTTTCATAAAAATATTTAAAAATTTCTTTTTTTCACATGCATAGTCCACGAATTATTTTTTTTAATTATTTAACCAGTGGCGGAGTATAAAATTAGGGAGTCTGTTTGAAAAATATTTTAATAGAGCCCTGTGATTATAATAATAAATGCCACTAAAATAAGTATATTCACTAGCCAAAAAAAAAATGTATAAAATATGGTGCGTGGGTAGCAAAAGTCAATTCTACGACGCAAGCGTTCATTAATAAAAGCTTGTAGTTTTCGAAATAATTTTAGTTTCTGATGCATGTTTCGCTGTCATAGATTAGAATTGAGTTTATACATGCTTTAAATATAAGGGATATTCACTTTGTCTTGCAAAGTCAATGCAAGAATGCTATACTAAAATGGCAAGAGTGCGAGAACATATCTGTTGCAGAATTGCAACGTCGAAATGAAACAGCTGTTTTTGCATCATACCACATTCACATAAGAAACAAGAGATGTCAAAACTGCTGATTTTTTTTCCTTTCTTCTTTCGTTGCAAGCATATATACATATGTTAGGTTTAGGTGATGCATGATTGCAAGCAATTGTAAGGAACTTTGTCCATGTATTTTGTTGTTGTTCATAGGAAGCACGCTCATTCTGTTCATTTCGTGCATCTTGCAATGAGTTTGCAAGACAGAGTGAATATCTCTATAATAATTTTAATACAACTTGTAAAATTAACTGTTGCTATGATAACTTTTTTTCTGTATGTAAGGCAGTCAGGACGTCTAAAACAACATGCAAAGCAGAATGGAGAAAGCTGGTTGATGCAGCTAAATCTCCGAGCTGTTACGCTGATGATGATGATGAAGGGAGTCAGTACACTGTCAGGATATTTAAAATATTGAACATTATAATACATAAATCTGTATAGATCCGCACATATTTTTTCTTGTGTTTCTTGTGCCGTTTTTACTTTAAATAATATAAAATAATATCCCTAACATTATTTATTAATTTTGAACAAAAATTATAGTTTATTTGTTTATAAAAAATGTATCGAGCTTGAGTGTTATTGATGTTTTTTTTTTATTATTTTAACAAAAGTCAAACCAGATGTTTAAGTTTATATAAAACAAAATATTAAATGACGGAGTTATACTTTGTCAAATACAAAAAAATTTGTTTTTAACTTAACAATTAATTTTGGAGTAGTGACTTGTAAATTTGTGCCAAACCCTTTATGTTGCTCTTGTAAATTAGTTGTTGACCAGTTGAAACATCATTAACATAGAACATTCTAATATTTTCCCTTGCTGACTATTTTTACTTTTCGGAATTAGGGGTATGGTTCATTTGAATGGCTGCAATGTTTTTTAGTCAATCATGGATCATGTTTCTGTCCACCGATTCTCGTTCGAATTTATTTTTAGTTGTGCCAACAATTACCTGTTGATATGGTCCGTCATCTCCCACAAGGGATTTCAACAAATTATGTTGATCCATGTAATCTATCCGATTTTTGTTTTGTTAAATAAATTTTTTAAAGTATTTTTGTTTTTAGTGCTATATGTTGTTGGATAATTTTTGGAAAAACTTGAAATGTCGGCCATTCCTTCTCGTTCTAGTCGATTTTTGCTATTTTTATAAAAGATTTTATTATTTCAGTAGAGAAGTTTTAGTTAAGGTGTCAATAAGAACTTTCTCATACTAATTATGCAAAATTGAATCGATAATATTGAATTGAAAACGTTTAGTTTATTTTCAGGCTAAACCTTAGAGAATCATTTATAGTTGTTATAGCTGCAGTTGTTAGTATATCTTACACCTCATTATATGTGTCACTATATAGAACTACAATATGTCATTAGCATATCTTAGATCGCGTTGCTTTTGAGTAACTTTCTAATTTATGCCATAACCAAGTTTAATGGTTCAATACATAGAAAACGAGGAAGTACAAAACCCTGCTTGAATAAGTAATAGTGCATATTTAAAATAGTGTTGACTAACATGAATTATTAGTGTCACTTTAGAGTGGAGTAGAGAGTGGAGATCTCTGACTATTTATTTTTCACGAGTTAAATACGAAGGAGTGAATGAAGGAGTGAATTATATTCATTTAACGGTTCTATGATGCCTACTTGATTGATGCTCCTTGATGAGCTTATCTAATGGTGTGAATATTCGTAATAGACTAGAGTAAAGGTTTTCATTGTTAAAACATATATTCTCTTATTTACCATTAATTATTTATTGCCTAATCCCTTAAAAAAAATTACTCTGGTATTAACTTTAATACATTTTAAATACAGATTAGTATTTTTTATTTCATGAACTGAGTCATGCTCTCAACAGGAACTCAATATAGACCTCAAAAATGCTTGAGTTTTGTGTGAATTAATCAAATGTACATAAAGCAATCTCATAATTAGTTTATAAAATTTTGGGCTTGAGGTGAACATCACAATTAAAACATAAAAATATACATATTCACACAGTGCAATATGTGCGGACAAGCAGACATGTCTGAGATGATAAGGGATTTTTTAATAACAGCAAGAAGTTGATGATTTTTGTTTGTCCTTATCTTAAGTATATATATACATATATAGTCTATAATATAGAAAAAAGTTGAATTTGTTTTAATTTTTAATTCAGTATATATATCTACAAGTAAAAAATATATATGTTATACCTATTGTGTATACATATATTCGGTGAATGCTTTTCTTACTTACTCATTCCTTGGTGTTCTTTTTTAATACTTAATGTGGATCGATTATACTTTTTTCTAGCGCTTGTTATGTTAAATTAGAAAACGTAACACAGCTTTTTATTTGATTTAAATATTATCTGTTCGTTTTTTGTATAAATTTCCTGTTCAACACCTTACTAAAATAAAACTCAAGCATTTTATCTGCTGAATTTTCGTATATACAAGTATTGCACACATTTAACTGCTTAGTTCATTAAAAATTGTTGTTTACCTTGAACATAAAATATCATCTAAAATAGTCTAATTGTATTAATTGTATTCAAAATATATTTGAATCTTTGTTGAAATAAAATTTTTTATTTTATTAATGTTAAGTATTTTTATTCATCCCTTGAATGTCATTCACCTTATAGATAAACCTTGAAATTTTTGAGAACTAATATACATACACATATAATTTAAATTCTTTATTGCTATTTGTGCATATAATATTATTATTAATTTATTTGCATTTATTATGTTTAGTTGTATACATTTATTAAAATATATCTTTATGGATTGTCGGAAAAATAATGTATATATAATTAACGAGTACAATGGTTTATTATTCTTTTCGTATGAAAAATCTACTAACATAAATTATCTACTAACATACTACATACAGTCAGAAGTCTAGGCCCGTCCATATTTATGTCAATTTTAAAGTCAACAATGACTTTGAGCTACAGCTTTACAAATTGGTTATACATAAATACAACTAAGGAGCGTGCGTGGTTCTCGCCTTTGTGTATCTTTGAAAAGAACACGGAAAACTTAACGCAGCAAGGAATTGGCATTGCTCCCAATTCTATTTTTAAGATGTCATTAAATGATCAAAGAAAAGCGAATGAAAATGTAAAAATGAAATTTATTGGCTTCTTTGTATACATAATATTACTACTTGGACAATTAATGCGTGTGTTACATAAAATATCTTTAACTAAAAATATAAGTTCAATACAAATTCTTATATTACATACATTCCTTCTTTCAACCTAATTTATATGTAAACGAATATTCTCAAGTATATCATATAGAAATTAATCATTAATATTAGTTTTTATATATTATTAATTGATATATTTTCTTTTCAGGTTGATATAGAACCAGAATTAAGCATACATATACAACAGGAGTAAGTATAAACGAATTTCACTACTTCTTCTTATATTTTTATTGGTCTATTAATGTCTATTGATGCAATATGGAATTATTTGCTTTAATTTAAAATATTTCTAAGTTAAATGGATAATAATAAATTATTATTATTATTAGCAACTAGAACTTACCATAATCTAAGATCCATCATGAATAGCTTAAACTCTGTGTATTTGGGTATTTTGACACTTAAGGCTTAAAGCGTTTGCCTGCCAAGAGCTGATACATATTTAATATGCTCTAACCTTTTAATACCCATTGCAGAAAAATGACAGACATCAATATCGGAAAACCTGAAATATTTACGTGATACTGTAGATTACAATGGTTTGTAAAGTAGCCCGAAGTAGAGTCCTCAAGTCTATACTGCTGAGTGAAATCACCTACTTTATATTCCTTTTGCAGTGATGAGCTTTTAGGTTTGTTCCGCGAGCTACTCGTAGTAACTTTGAGTAACACTGTGTATACTGTGTAAATATTTGCGCGGCCCTGGTGTTCTCACCAGACTTTACAGCATCCATGGAAATCTGTATAAAGAGCGAAATTTGGCACTTTATTTATGTTATGCTTTTAGTTTGTACTTTACTTGTGTTTGTTACTCGACATCGGCCTATATTATTAAACCAGTAATCTACAGATCTCCTCTCTGTGTCTTAAGACCAATTTATGGCATGTTTGTCCCTCTTTTGAATAGGTTATCCTATTTTAAAACATTCATGACCTTCATATCCTGGGACCTGGTCTAATACAATATTATTAACATACCCTAACATATTGAGAAGGTTTACGCAATCATTTGCCATTTTTCCATCAGCTTGTATGGTTCTTATTATCCTACAATATAATAAATAATTTTGGTTGTTATAGCAGAAGAAGACAGGATGCATAAAAGAAATTACAAAATACGAATATATGGGTTAGGATTAGGATTAGGAAGGAAGTAAATAAGAAAAAAATATGATATTAAGAATGAATAACTTGAAAGGTTTTATTAATATCTTATCATTGGTTTTGGTGAAGATTAGGTAAATATATAAACGCAACACATCAGTCAATAATACGGATGACTAACTAAGAAAAACAAATATTTTCTGCGAAAAATCGATTTTACTCATCAATATAATCTCCTTTAAGGGCAATACAATCATTCCAACGCGTCTTTTACTTCTCGATGCCGTGCTTGTAGAAGGATTTGACTTTTACCTCAAAATAGGCTTCAGTTGCATCAATTACTTCTTCATTTGAGATGAATTTCTTACAGGCTAGCATTTTTTTGAGATCAGCGAATAGCCAGTAGTCGCTGGGGCCAGATCTGGACTATATGGTGGATGAGGAAGCAATTCGAAGTGTAATTCGTGCAATTTTGCCATCGTTTTTATTGACTTGTGACATGGTGCATTGCCTTGATGAAACAAAATTTTTTTCTCGCCATATGCAGTCGGTTTTTCACAATTTCTGATTTCAAACGATCCAGTAATGCCGTGTAGTAGTTACTATTGATGGTTTTTTCCTTTTCGAGATAGTCAATGAAGATTACACCATGTGCATCCCAAAATACTGAAGCCATAACATTCCCAGCTAACTGTTGTGTCTTTGGACGCTTCGAACGTGGTTCACCGGCTGCAATCCACCCAGATGATGATCGTTTTGATTCCGGAGTGAAGTTATGGATCCATGTTTCATCTATTGTCACATATTGACGCAAAAAATCTGATTTATTACGTGTAAACATGGTCAAACACTGCTCTGAATCATCAATACGTTGTTGTTTTTGATCGACTGTGAGTAAACGCGGCACCCACTTTGAAAAGAGCTTTCTCAAAGCGGGTGCCGCCTTTTGATATCTTTACGGTCTACGGCCTAAGCTATCTCATGCAATTTCAATTTACGATCAGATATAACCAATTTCTGGACTTTTTTATGTTTTCTGGAATAACCATGTATGTTATGCACTCGCCATTCGATACAATACCCATTCGAAAAGTGTATAGACTTTAAAGATTGAAATCTTTCATAAATGACTTGATAGAGCTGTTATATTATTGTTAAGTTAATCAACTTTACAAATTGGTTCTCTTCTAATTGAATGGAAGAACCTCGCTTGCACAAATGGATGTTTGAAACTTCTATCTATAAAGTGCTTAGTCGTGTTTGGCGAACGACGGTGTCTTATTCGTCGTATCATAATAGGCCAATATTTATGCTTAAGTGAGCCGTAATGCACTTAAAATCACTGCTACTTTTGTTAAGAGAAGATGCACACCAATCAAAATTAAGTTTGAGTATATAGTGGTGTGATGCATTGATGAAGGACGTTTTGGGCCATAGTGTTAAATTGCAATTAAGATATTTTTTTGGTGATATATAAGATAACAAAGAGATTTGGTTACAATGAAATGAAGTTTATTTTAATAACAAAAAAAAGCGTTAGATATTGAAATGGTCGAGAAGTGTTGGAATGAGTGCACAACTCATAAGTGAAGTAGAATTTTCTCTAAAAGTTCTAATTGTTCAAACTAATGGAGTAATTAATCACAAAACAATGTGATCTTCACGTGGTCTTTAGTTTGCCTAGTTCCTTGGAGTTTCAATCATTTTTATTCTACACTTATTAATTACTCAAAGATATGAACGTAACCCAAAGTTTACTTCAGAAAACATCACTCTTATACGAATGATATATTGGTAATAAACTTACTATATTATAAAGATTATAAATTATTTTTATATTATATAAAATTGTAAAGATGTAAAGATTATAAAGATACTTTATACGTTTTATTAACGAAAATCATTAAATTTCGCAAAATAAAAGTCTATCTAATTAAGGTCGTGTGCGAGTTAGGCTAAGTTGATGCTAAACCAAATGGGAGATTTTTTGGTATTTTTTGCTCTGCACACATTTAGCCGTTTATCAACACGTATCGACACATCACTACATTATCGACACAACTTAGAATTTCCCTCATTTAGAACGCAACTTAGCCTACCTCGCACATGTCCTAAAACTCATAAATATACACTGGTTAATAATTGGAATTTCTCAATCGACATTATATCGCAACTGATAGTGTGCAATTGGCACTGCATTTACTTCTACTATTTAAATTCTACTAATTCTTCAATAAAACTGAGTCTTTTGAGATTTCAAACAAGCAAAAATTGCAAAAGATATTCCACAATCTCATATTTTAATAACATATTTTTATATGGGAATTAACCTTTAGAGAAATGCATTATATTAAGTAAAGCATAACTAGGAGCCATCCATAAAGGATAGTTATAATTATAATTGTTATAATAATTAAGTATAATAAGTGCAAGGATAATAGTTATAAAACCTGTAGTTGAAATGATATGAAATGAGACTAAGAAATATTTTTTTTTATTTTATAGAGCTGAAGGTCTCGAAACAATTCAGCTTTCCGAAGAAAATGTAAATCCAGGAAAACTCAAACTTGGTCCAAAAGATTTTGAATTAAAAAAAGTGCTTGGAAAAGGTGGATATGGTAAAGTTTTCCAGGTAAGTCTAAAACAATTAGTATTTAATATTATTGAATAACATTTTTAATGTCGATTTAATAATTGTATAGGTCCGAAAAACTGCTGGACGTGATGCTAACAAATACTTTGCTATGAAAGTGCTTAAGAAAGCATCAATAGTCACAAATCAAAAAGATACTGCACATACAAGAGCTGAAAGAAATATTCTAGAAGCTGTCAAGGTATATTAAAGAATAATAACTGAGTGTAATTATAACGAATAACATAATATATATTTGTAATTTCAGCACCCATTTATAGTTGAGCTTGTATATGCCTTTCAAACTGATGGCAAGTTATATTTAATTTTAGAATATTTAAGTGGAGGTGAATTATTTATGCATTTAGAACGAGAAGGTATATTTTTAGAGGACACTACATGGTTAGATAATCTATGATTTGTATTTATTTTGAAATTAAAATAAATATTTTTTGTTTTAGTTTCTATTTAAGTGAAATCATATTGGCTTTAGGACATTTACATAACCTAGGTATTATTTATCGCGATTTAAAACCTGAAAACATATTACTAGACGCGCAGGGTCACGTTAAATTAACCGATTTCGGTTTATGTAAGGAGCATATACAAGAAGGAATAGTAACTCATACATTTTGTGGGACTATCGAATATATGTAAGTTAATTATATTTTTTTTATTTTTTTGAACACGAGTCATATTGTATATCATTACATTGCAAATGCAGGGCTCCTGAAATTTTAACTAGAAGCGGACATGGAAAAGCAGTTGATTGGTGGTCTCTCGGTGCACTTATGTTTGACATGTTAACCGGAATGGTAAGTACTTAATAAAATATATAAAATTGTTGAACGTTTAACAATAAGGATTATGTACTTTAGCCGCCATTTACTGCTGACAGTCGCAAGAAAACAATTCAAATTATTTTAAACGCTAAACTAAATTTGCCAGCCTACCTCACACCAGATGCTAGAGACTTAGTACGAAGACTAATGAAACGCCAAGAACCACAAAGACTGGGTAGTGGTCCAGAAGATGCTGCGGCTGTGCAAGCACATCCATTCTTTAAGCATGTTAGTTGGGATGATGTATTAGCGAGACGTTTAGAACCACCAATAAAACCAATTTTGGTAAGAACATTTAATTAAATATAAACTGTTTATAAAATATAATAGATTTTTTTTATTAAGATTTGATATATCTTTAGTATATTCAAAACAATAGAGCTAGTGCTTTTTTAATTCTAGTTAAAGTTAGTTAGTTAAATTCTAGTGTTAGTTTGTTAAAAATGGAATACTTCCAGAAATGGAAGATTAAAAGTAACAACGACAAAACCAAGGCTATGTTCATATCACGAAAGAGACGGCACCATTCTCCAGGAGTGAGCGTCGGTGACACGGAGATACGGTGGGAGGAAAGCATAAAATATCTAGGGGTTTCTTTTGACAAACAGCTTAATTGGTATATACATATGAAATGCAAACGGAATAGTTGCTCTAAAATTTTACATTTCCTTAAGCCGCTGTTTAATAATAATCGCTTCAACTTCAAAAATAGAAAATTATTATATACTCAAATAATTAGGCCAACACTACTGTACGGATGTGTAACATACAGCAAAGCCTCAAATACTGCCATAAAGCAATTACAGATAGCACAAAATCTGGCTTTAAGAAGACTAATTAAGATTCCTTGGTTTATTAGAACAACAGACATGTATAGAGATCTAAGAATCGACTCGGTGAAAAAATATATCAAGGACAGAGCCCTAAAATTATTCGCAAAAGTTGATACGCTGCCCAACCCCGCCCTAACAAACCATAAGTCCACCTCAGGACGCACAGGAAGATATGCTGATCTACGGTCCGTCATCAGTTAGAAGATAAATAAATGATAATGATTCTAGTATAGTTAAAGTTTAATGTGGGGCAGGGATAAGCCCCCCAGCTACAAAAGAGTAAAAGTGTGCAATAGCACTAACTCAAATCACAACAACAACAACTATTATATTTTGACATATAATATAACTTTTGACAATATTTTAGGGGAACATAATTTAAATTTTGAATAAATTCAAACCAATAATAATGAAAGTTTTAGCTAAAACGTATTAATTTCTTTGTAATTCCATAATATATAACTAATAATAAACCAACATAAATAACTTACCTAATAAAACATTATATAAATTGATGTTATATAAAAATACATTATATTGTTTTTATGAAATGTATTATTTATATGTTGTGGTATAAGAATTAGAACTGATTTGTAATTTAAATTCGCATTGGATCAGTGTACTGCGATTTTTTATGCTTCAAAAAACTTGTAGTCGAATGAAATATATATGCCAAATCAAACCCATATATTTTATTGTTTGAGTTCGGTTGTTCTCTCTTTCCCTTCTTCTTTTTTTTTGTCGTACGTAACTATCAAATAATAGTAAATAGTAAGGTATCTTAATATTTGTCTTAATAAGTACATTTTAACTCTCTGGATTTCTAACATAGTAATTGATTTATTATTATTATTATTTTTGTCACATAAATTATTATATATTATACACCTTATTTATTTATAGAGAAGCGAAGATGATGTTTCTCAATTTGACACACGTTTCACAAAGCAAATACCTGTAGATTCTCCCGATGAGAGAAGACTTAGCGAGAGTGCCAATTTAATTTTCCAAGTAAGTAAATCAATTTACTAAATTTATAATAAATTTATATTAAATATGTAATATTTTATCAATAAATATTCATATATTATTATTATTATGGCAACATTGACGTCACAGTTTTGACGTTTGTGTTTCGTGTGTTGTCTGATGTGTAATTAATGTGAATAGCTAAACTGCATGAATTGTGAAATTACAGAATAAAGAATAAAGTTACTATCCTAAAAAAGATCGATTTACTAAAACTTGCTTATTCACATAGTGATAAATACAACAAAATATAATACAGATTTTTAATATTTATTTAATAATACTTAAATTTTTAATGAAATAAATAGTTATAAAATATAAATATCGCAAATAATTCTACATAACAGTTCAACATATTTTTTCATTTATCGATACGGAGCTGCATTACATTGAAAATGTGGTTCCTTGAGGGGTATTCCAGTTGGACCATCAGTGTATTCACAAAAATTTAAACCAATTCGCCTAAATGGATGGCATTTACTCTTTGGATTGCCCCATTTTCCTTTAAACGATAACCATGTTGGCACTAATGAACGACCTTTTAGTGATATATTGATAAGTAAAAAAACTTGTTAAAATTGTTAAAAAGTTATACCAAAAGATTTAAGGTTTTCATAAGTTATGTCTACAGATTTCCATGTCTTCCACGGCGTGCCGAAACCATTGATATCGTAAAGTCGGGCTACTTTTACAAAGCGATGCTTTCCAGGCGCAGTCCAAAGACCATGCGAACCCTACAGAAAATAAAATAGAAAAAGAAGTTTTTCATTTTCATTAATATGTATATGTAATATATACCTTAGCAGCAAAAAGTACAGGATGGTTGTTAAACGTAGTTACAGTTTTTGGAAAATTTGGTCTTTGTAGAATTCCTTTACGAGTTTCTTGTTTTTTAAATTCAAATGATCCCGTTAGGCGATTGTAACTATAATAAGCACCTGCGTCATGTGCAGAAACATACATGGCTTCAGGTTCTGTGCCTCCATTAAAAAATAAGCTCATATGCTCCCAGTCGCCAATGTGACTACCTATATCTTTTCGCCTTCCCAAACAAAATCCATACACTGCCGGAAATGGTATCCTTCCTAATGGGCCCAATTTAAGCGTACACATTGTTTTACCCTGTACAATATATTTTAAAATATAAATTTTTTAATATTAATTTTTAAATTGAATTGTATTAAATTTTAATTACTTGACTATATGGATAAAACATCCAAAATGTCACATGAAATGCTGGGACATTATGAACTTTAGCTCGATTCGTTTTAAAATCATTCACAGAGTTAAAACTGTTATCGATTTTGATAGTATTATCAAAATCGTCATCACCAGTACTAAATTTAACATTATCAGCTAAATTTGCTATGAAATTATTCACATTAGGCACATTATTGTCTGGTCCTGTAGTTGTGGGACTTGAATCAATGGTGTTATCGTTATCGACAAGATTTTGTTGTTCTTCACCCATAACTAATTCCAAAGGTGTAACCACATTAGATTGTTCTATATTTAACGGCAACTGTGGTGGAATATATGTAGCAGAATGATCATCACTGTTTCTTCGAACTCTTTGAAATACTGGATATAATCTCGATGATCTTTTTGCAGTATTATTGCGAATTTCTGAGGGATCAATGGATACTGGTATATATGGCCCACGTGTACTGCTTATGGGTGCTATGAATTGTTGTTGTGTCTTAGTGTTTTGCACAACAACTGTTTCAGTTAAAGTTTCATTTTGCGTTAGAACAGCGTTTGTTTGAGGACATAATGTTACGACTGCATATATAGGTACTGGAGATTGATTAGGATTACGACCATAAATAAATGAATTTTCATTTTCTAATAGTTCCTCTTAAACAAAATTATAAAAATTATTTTTTTTTTTAATGTTATAATAATAATAACATATCTTACCTATTTCTGCATTTGTAACTAAGTAAGCTTTCTCTGAAGTGTCTCCTACGGGCATTCCTGGTATGAAAGTTTTACCCTTATCCATTGGATGTACGTAATTTAAAAATTCTTCTACGCCAAGTGGCATAAATTTTTCTTCTGGAGCGAGCCATACAACTGGTGCCCATTCTTTAATAAGCTGTTCAACTAAAAATAAGAAATACCTTTTTAGATAATCATTTAAATGATATACTTAAGAATATCCAGAAAATAAAATATTTTGAGTTATTATGTTATTATATATCATACTATATATACTATTATATATCACAATAAAAATAAATCCTATATTTTGAACTATTTTAAAACGATTCGCTGGTATGTTTCGTGTGTTAGCTAGTGATTATCTTATTTTCTACCTTTATTCATCTTTAAAACATTTTTAAATTTACTTTACTTGCTTATTATTTACTTTACTTTCCTATTATTTACTTTACTTTTCTATTATTTACTTTACTTTCCTATATGCAATGATAAGCACTTTACTTTGTAATTCTGGAAGGATATTTTCTACTGTTGTTTTAATTTGGCAACCGTCGAAAGGGGGTATATTGAGCGGCATTTATAAGTGGCGCCGGTATATAGTCCATTGTGAGGACGTACCACTGTTGAAGCAGCCCTGTAGTCAGAGTGGGATACTATTGATGATCGTTGGGAATGAATTGTTGGATTTATAATGAGGATGGTCAGTTGCTTGAATAGCTAGATAACTTTGTAAAATGTGGTGAGGCCCTTACACATTGAATTTTACTGTTCGTTTTATTTCACGAATACGTATATATTTTTTATAAATAACATACTTCTGTCATTCCAGCAATGTTTGAGCCTAGTATAAAATGTAAAAAGCATGTAGTAATAGTGAAGAAAGGCAAGCAAATTAGATTCAGCAATAGCGTTCAAACCAGTTGCAAATTGAATATATAAAAATAATAAATTAATGATTTAAAAATTAGTCGTTGATTTGTTTTGGAATTACCATTATTGTGTAACATACATTCAGGATTTAGTAAAGCTGTGTTCCTAACTACTCGACCCGGACCAGTTGCAATGCAATAATATTTAACCTAAATCATAATATGTGCCTTCACTGAACCACATATGGGAACTGTGCAATTCCAAATGCATGTTGTACTTTTAATTTTAATTTATTCGTGGAATATATGTATGCGTATATGTAATAAAAGTGATGTGCATACATAAATTAAAAATGTTGTTTAAAAGTAGTTTTTAAAAATATTTCCTCTTGAGGTCATACTTCTGCACTCAAACAGTGGCTTTTTAAAGGCTTGTTACGACGGCCTGATCAACTTAGATGGCTATTGCAATATTTCACTGAAAAAACTACATTTTTAAAGTGTTACACATTTCATTTATTTTACTTATATTTTATTTTAATAACGTTTATATACGCTTTTATTTATTTTTTTTTTTTTTTAATAAAACTTAAAGATTTCACTTTCTACAAATTGATTGTGTTCAATAGTGGCGGCACCTGCTAATTTTTTTGGTATGCAATTTGCAAAATAAAAAAAAAAAAATTAGAAAAGCGCCCACAGGTTGGAATCTTGCAGAAACATAAAAATTCACAAGTAGCTGAATTTCACCTTCAGTTATAAATTAACTTGACTGTTTTTTTTTGAATATTATATTTACATTTACTCTTAACTTTATAATAACTGCATTGTGTAGTAAATGAATGATACCAAACCATACCTACATCTTTATCTAATGTTGAAAATCCTCCAAAACCATTGCGTGTGGTGTGCGGGCCAGTATTGGTGCTACTGATGCTGTTGCTACTGATATTGCTGTCATCAATGAAAGTTGCCGATGCTGCAGTTGATGAGCCTATTTGTTGCTGTTGCTGTTGTTGTTGTTGTTGTGTTATTGTACTTATACGTAATTGTTGTTGCAATTGCGGCTGCTTCTGCAGCTGATATTGTAATTGTGGTGCAACTGATACCGAATTGGTAGTATATGCCATCGTGGTGGTTGCAAGTAATAAAATTAAATAAATGGGCATTTTCAAATTTGTTGGATGTTTTTGGTAAAATTGGGTTTGTCGATGACGATGCCGATGCCTATGTCGATGATGTTGACGGTAGTAATTTGACGACATTTTTTATTTGATTTTTTTACTATTATTTCTCGTCGTATTTGAGATTTTATTGTTTATTTATCTGTTCAAAATATTTTTAAACATAAATATTGAAATTAAAGCTTTTTATTTCTTTCCAAATAATCAATTAATCACGCTGAAATAAAAATTTTCACAATTCGTATATTAACACTTTTACTATATTATATATAATATATAAGACATTTTATTTAAAATATAAATTTTTATTAAAATAAAGAAGAGACTTATATTATTTTCTTAATGTCGATGAAACACTATAAACTATGATAATAAAGAAAGTGTACATACGAAGATTTAGTAAGTTTTAAGATTAAAAAAAGTAGTGATAAAACAGTTTTGGGAAAGTTAACCGATTAACCGATACAATTCTGTACAACAGAGCTTTATTATAGGAGTAATTGAGTCATAATCAAGTCTAAGATGTGTAATTAGAAGCTTCTTGATTCTTATAACTTTAAATAGACATCTCTTCTCAATCACCTTAACCTGTGCCACAATCTTAACAAGACGAGTTCGTATAGGTGATTAGAAACACGTTAACAAAAGATATATTGGTCTTAATTTGAAAGGCTGAATGCCGTCTACTTGGTGAGGAGGGTTATTTGTTTCCACACATGATCGGTTCACAGTGCTATGCTTCAATAATAATCTCTCATATTCTATTTCATTGTATCGGGAAAAATTATGTGAAACACATGTGAAAATATATACTTTAAAGAAAATAAAAATAACTTCTAAATAATAATTTGACCGTCCGCAATATTTACAAAATAATGTAATTCTTGCTCTTTGTCTCCGTTTGCTTTAAAAGGATAAAAAATTCTTTAGATGGATTTTACTTTATAGAACATGAAGAAGTTAGTCACAGATATCAATAATAACTTATGTAGTTCTTGTGAGATAACTCGAGTTATTCAAAAAATGTTGATTGGGTAAACATATAACATATATAAATGTTTGCTATCACTGTTATATATGTCGTCACACATCTCGAATCAATATAATAACAGGATAATATATATAATGAATCTATTATACTGTATGTTTATTTATATTTCATCTTCATATAAAACATCTTCAGGTACATTTTCTTTGTTTCTAGGCTGGTGTAAATATGTAAAATGCCAACTAAAGATAGAGACGTCTAGTAACCGGTTGGGTATCTCATAATCGTACACTGCCCAATGTTGTTAGTTTGATTATTTATATATAATTTTTCATACCTTCCTGTGGATTCATTTAAAAGACTATTGTATCAAGTTTAATTTATTTACTGCACTTTTAATAGATTACACTTTTCAATGTAATTATTCGCTATATTGTTGTCATTCTTTAACCAGTTTGAATATTTACTATTTTGTTTTAATAAATAATAATATATAATGCGTGTACATTTTATACATTTTTTTTTTGCAACATAAAATTAAAACAACTGCCAGTCCATAAAATGTATTTAACATTTTTGAAGCCTTTAACAGGTTTTTATATGTTTCAAAGGCATTGATATATATTGTTGTTAATATTATTTACGTTTTCACCATGATTTGAAATCACAACCTCCACATATATAAAGAGTTTGTATAAAATTTTCAGAATTTAGTATGAATGGCACGTTTAGTGATTAAAATTTTGATATCTCCGATCACTTATTGTTGATGTATGTAACAAATGAAACTACGAGTTTGTTGAGTAAGGTCCGCATTTAAGTCTATTTTGATTATCTTTAAACAAGATTGAATATGATTTACTGACTGAAACTATAAGTAGATAAACAAAAAGTGTTTTGTATGAGTAAAGACTTTAAGTTGGACTTCTTAATTGCGCTACCAACAAGACAAGATGTCTGTCTGAAATGATAAAATGTTATCTCTGCCTAGGGAGATGTAAAACTTTTATTCACAATCTTTGTGACGGTCACGCTTTTTAATTTAGGTCAAAATAAGAATACTGATCAGTCTTCGTTAATACTGCTTTTAAAGAGTAAATGAATGTATGCTGGTTCAAATGTGTATTTTAGTTTATTCAAAGTAATTTGTAGTAAATCGATCTTTAGAACTGTTACATAATTGTGACACTTTTATTGATATTAATGTGTATATTTAATCTAATTTGAGCACTGTATGCATGCGTGTTTGTAGTGAAGGGGTTTACTTCGTAAATTATATGAGTTCAAAAATCACTTAATCACTTTAGTACACGACATATCAATTCAATGAACTATTTATTTTTTAAAACACTTAATTTATTGCATTTATAACTGCAGTGTCAAATGACATTTCTATCTATCGTATTTTATCGTATATACTAATCTATGTTTTTTTTAAAAGGGGTTTATAATACTTTTACAGTTTTAAATTTCTTATCTTATACCCATATTATATGATTGTATACTGATTATCTACTTAAGAAAGATTCTTCACATAGGTTGAAGTGATTGGCATAGAGTGGCACTCATAACCTATTTATTCATATTACTAATAAACAAAATTTTCATGATCAATTATCATTAAAGCAAAATTGTTCATTAGTTTGCTAATTATATATACAGTAGTCTGAACTCAATCAGTATTAGTAAGCGTTTGTCACATAAAAAGTAAGAATGCATTTTTTTTAATAAAAGACAAAAATATAACAAAAAATCTCTCTTTTTATTTGTGAAAATCATTAATACCCATCCATAGCTGTAGTATTTAGTATCGGTTTAAAAATAGAACATTTACGGTGTTCCCAATTTAATATATAAAAAAGACTGCGGCACGATCACACTATTTAGTACGCAGAACTGGAAACACAAACTCCACCAAAGGTACATGTGCTAAGAGCCCAACCCGCTTCTGATTCTTTCTTGCTTTTATTTTCTTTCGCGCTTTTACTCCAAACTTGGCCGAGAGCGGTATTATTGGCTTACGACGAGTTTGTATGAACAACTATAAAGCATAGTTTAATAGTCGCGTTATTAATGTTTTCTTTTTCTTTTCTTGTCTGTGGTAAACATTACATTCACTGTGGTAAACTTATTTATGGCAATCTACTTTGTGATATTGTAGCATTTTTTAATAATTATTTTTTAATGTGCTTTTTTCTTCTATAAATATTATGATTATATGATTATTCTTTAATTAGGAATACAGCCACAAAATACTTCAAGTTGTCTATTTCTGTATTTACTTGCATGCACTCCGCTGCGAACTCTCTTCTCGCGTTTTAGGCGCGATTTCTGAAAATATTTTATCGTACGTTTCGGCTCGATGGATCCGTACCGATCGCGTTGAGCGTATTTTGCAGACTGTTTAAGCCAATTTCTTTAAGTTCGCCATACGGCGGCTTAGCAATTTGTTTTCTTTGTTTTGGTTACTTGTTTGCATTTTTAGTTAAAATTTAATAAAGCAAAAGAAAGCCAACACTAACAACAACAACGACAATAACAACAACAACGAGGTGTTATTGTAATGAGTACCAACTGTTTGAGGATTATCAAGTTTCGGGTTTTGTTAATCTGATGGTGTGAGCTTGCTTTTGGCTGGTTTGAGGCACACGTCGTGAATGCCTCAGTTGTGCATTTTAGAATAAGTTTTTTTTTTTTAAATTAAGTATTGAGAAAAAGCAGAAAAGAAATATTCGTTTTGTTAGTAGATGACACATATAGAAAGTAGCGAAATCAATAAATCGTGAAGGAGTTATAAACATTTTGATTATTTGTATACATAAATTTTTTTCGCTGTATAAAAATATAGTCATTCAAAATAAGATTATAATATTATAATTAAAAAAATTATATACCACGTTCTTATTGGAGAGAACATAAGTTTCATATAGATTATATATTAGATTTAATAAGCTTCAGAAAACACGAATGTTATTTCTATGAACGTATGGAAATAACGATCTTGTTAACCTAACGCTATGGGTGCGAATAACTACTATCGCCTGGTTACTGATTGTGTTGTTTGGAAAAAGTTAGCGAAGAAAACAGAAACTCTTAAATAATTATAATATCGGTATATATAAGATTGTTCATAAATATATTTTGTTTTTTTTTTCTTGAAAATTAAAGAATACAGTGAATAAATAATTCATTGAATTATCTATTGTCTATTTTAGTCCAAAACCTTTCTGAGAGTTTTGCTGATAAAAACTGGAGAATAATCTGTATGCAGTATATCGCTGTTAGCTTTCGTCAAGTAAATGCCATTCTTGCATTAACTTGGTGAAACACTACATCTTTTTTTATAGATTTATTCTGTTTTTTTTTTGTAAAAAAAATCATATAATTTGCTCAACTAATAAACAAAAGATTCTTTAGAAATCCTAGCAAATTTCAATTTTTTTTTTTGTGATGATTATCGTCATTCGATGCCTTTTGAATCAATTCATTTTTTGTACTCTATGATTTCTCTTACGTTTGACATTTTTGTAGACAACCCATTTCTCATCCATAACTATGAATGAATGATGCATTTCAAAAATGGATCATTTTTTAACACTTAAGCGATTAAATTACAACTTTCTTTCCGTAAGAACATGTGGAACCGTTTTTCTTGCTTTAACAGCATTTAATTTCCTTTTCGATAGTGAAAAACAAAAATATGTCAAAAATTATAGTTCTTTCATTCCATATTTGATGGACTTGCAACTTAACTAAAAATTATTGCTTACTGTCAAAACTATCGAAATATATAGTGATTATGAGGCTTATTATGAAGTTGGTTGATTTATTTAAATATCACAAATTCTTTACTATAAATTCTATAAATTTTTCAGAATAGAAGTCGTATTTTTAGTCAATTTTCTGTTAGATAGTGAATTTCTACACTTTGCACACTAGTGCAGTGTTATTACGACCATAGAACCCATGAAAATATAATTAAAAGTAAATAAACTAACAACTCTATATTTTATTTCCATATATTTTCGTATATGTTGCGCTCAAACACCATACCATAGACCCATAGACCATACCATGAATCTCTATTGATAATAGTAATTACTGATCATAGAAGGTTCTACAGAAGTCTTCCTTTAATATAAATGTCAATTATAGTAAATTTTTTTCTATGAATGGAATGAGAAATATTTTTATAATCGGATTAACGTATCGTTTTGATACTTGTTTGTGATGTTTTCAAACACTTTGCATTTTTTAAAGCGATTTCAATATGTTGTATATAATGAATACCTTTTATTAATTAAAAGCAGTGCAGTATTTTTGCAAAATTTAATAATAAATTAATTTTCTTATGTAATCATAAATATTTTTTTTTCACTGTAGGCAATGTCCCATCTTCTGTGTATTTCCTATTAACTATTTACTATTTACTATGGTGTTTATTTGTTTTGATTGATGTGATTTATTAATATTAATTATTATATTTTTTATAATGAAATAATGAAAAACTTGACCTCAAAGCACATTTTGAATCGAAACTTTGAAAGAAATTGTTGCGCTTGGTTATTTGTATTACGTGACCCTGGTAAAACGTAGACGGCCGCAAAAACGCCGCAACTGCAAAAACGTATGGATGCCATCCATGCTGTACGCAATGTAAATAGCAAATTTATGTACAACATAAGACATTATGCAATTGTGCCGTACAGTACGATAGGCTGGCTCAATGCAATTTCGTTTTACATAATCCACAAAACTGACAATAAAAAAAATTATTTTTATTAAATAAAAACAATATAAAATGTAACAATTAAATTGCTAAAGATAGATAGAAAACGGGTAATAAAGCTTACGAACGAAATACGTACATACGTACTGCAAATTTTACGCAAACCGTGGTTAATCGCTTACTCTCTTCAAGTTCAATGCTTGAATTTTATAAACATTAAAGAATACAGTGTTCTCTCGTTATAATACCAGAACGTTAAACAGTTGTATAACTATTAAAAATATATATGTAGTCATATGTAGGAGTTTGTGATTTATCAAAAATCTGAAAAAATTAGTTAAAAATATTTACTTTTTATACTCCTCACAGACACATAGTAGTGTAAATGGTGTATATTAATTGTTTATAGACTCTATTAGTTATATATACTATTTTAAATTTCAAATATTCAGTGGAATGATAAAAATCTCAGAACACACCTTTGCTGTGATGTAAAATTACGTAATATTTAATTTAAAGATTATATTTCTTTTAATAAGTTCTGATGTAGATGTGTTTTTTATCTTAAAATTACAATCATTTGTGGGTTATATGATATAGTTACTATTATTAAAGTTATTGGTAATTTCTTTACTTGTATATCATATATTTTAACACCAAGTGTAATTTGAAAAAAAGCTAGATGATATGAATAATTCATACATATGGGTCATTCTTTTACAAATCGGACACCTTGATCTCCGATTTTATATCTCAGGTTCTATAAATGATAGGAATTTGAAATTTACTGCGTTTTAAAGATAATTGATTGTACTTTTAAAAAATTGTTTAAACTATTCAGATTGTTCAATCAATTATCTTTAAAACGCATTAAATTTCAAGTTCCTACCATTTATAGAGCTTGAGATACATCCATTGAAAAATGTGTGTACACAATTTTTTTTTCCGAGATACGGGTCTTCTTATTTGATGAAAGGATCTCATAAAAAAAAATTTAGCCAAATCGGCGATTATGAGGCCAATTTTTTTCTAAAATCCATCCGGTTTGGAAAAGAATGACCCATGATGGTTTATCACTCGATTATTCCTATTTCGTTACTGTCAAATTTCTTATGCTTAGGAATTTAGACATTACCTCATTTTTGTTTGTTAATACAGTTATCAGATTTTTTTTTGGCTCCAGAACAACAATTTTAAACTGCTGTTTAGCAGGCATAGCTGTTTTATGACCGTAAATTTCCAGATGGTAACAAACCGAAACTTGTTATATTATTTTTATTAGCTAACACAGGTATGAGGTTTTTGCACCTCCAAAATAACTCGAATTTAGTACAAGATTATTAGGATTTTTTAGGTTCCTGTCTAAATGAATATGTAGATATGCTGCTACTTTTATTTTACCTGTTAAAGTATTCTCTAGTACAGATTTTGCACTAAGAAACTGTGAGGAAAATTCGAATTCGACCGACTGTAGTTAAGTACAGTCGAAACAGTTAAAACAGGCTAAGTCCTTGAAACAGTACGAAATTTTTCGTATTTAATGGTACTTAACCATCGCTGACCCAAATACATGGATAATGTGACTTTTTTGTAAATTACCTTAAAAGAGTAGTAAGCAGAAAAACTTGAAACGTAGAAATGAAAAGTGAGGGTTTAATTACTGGGTACGTTTATTAATTCAAGTTTATAAAAATATTTTTTTTCTCAGTATTAAATTTATTATATATGTATATTGTATAAGACCACTAACAAAACTATTAACACAAATATTTTTCCTTTTCATTTTCTCAGGGTTTCACATATGTAGCTCCATCTATACTAGAAGAAATGCAACGTGCTAATCGTATGCCCGCACGTTCACCACGTCGTACCCCACGAAATCATGATGGATCCTACAGATTACAATTTCCTGCACAAAGAGCTATGTATGCACGCGCAACTCCACCGCATCTTCAAACTTTTGCACCACGTCCGTCGCCTCAGGATGAAATGATGGATGTACAAGGTTTGCCGATTGTGTAGTCGACTTATATAAATTGCTATGGATGGAAATTTTGTGTGTGAGTGTATGCATGTGCGGATTCGTATAAAAGGAAAATTAAAAGGGGAATTCGGTATAATCGCCAAAAAAACTACAACAGTTATTAAGTTTAAATATTTGAAAAAAAAGAAAAGATTTAAAATAAAAAAAAGTATATATGTATAGTTACAATAACTGCTTAAATTTTTGGTTCTCGATTTTGTTGTTATCATAAAAAAATAAGCAACAACACTATACTAAACTGTTACTTCGATAGTACTATTATAAGTAAAATAAAACTATTACATATTAACTATAATGATTTAAAAAACAAAAAAAAACTATTTTTACTATGAAATATAAGAAGCAAATACACAATATACAATGAACTTTTAATTAAAAATGTACAACTTAATAAAAAACGATAAAATTTAAAAATACTGACTTAAAGAAAAAGAATAAAGAATTTGAGCGAATTAGTGCCTGCCGATTGAAATTAATTAAGTATCTAATCATCTGTTAATGAAACGAAACGAGGCATCACAGAATACTTATATATAAATATTATATCGCTCATATCCTTTGTATTATAAATTTAAATAATATTTTTTGATTAATTTTGATTTTTTGATTATTTATGATATAAAAGATATGAATAAAAAATTTCTATTTATAATATAATTTAAAAAACTTAATTAAAAGAAAACTTAATCAAACGATATATTACAAAATTCTTAATTGATGATTTTAAATATTGAATTAAAAAATGCTAAATATTTCTGTTGCATTTAATAATTAATGAGAATTGTTTATAATAAAAATACGTATTGACATGTCTACAAGTTGCCATATCAAGTAATAATAATAAGAATAAAAACTAATTTCACTATTAACAAAAATAATTATTTTATCATTTGCTTTTATGCAGTTAAACTGTAATTTAAGTTTAACTAAACTATGTTAAACTAATTATAAGTACAACATGAAATACATTTTTTCGTTTCTTAATATACATATATAAATATTAATTATTCTGATAAATATACTTAACAAAAAAATAAATAAATAAATAATAATAATGCTAAGAATTGACTTAATTGCAACAAAAGTTTTCAATTAATGCGCTTTCAATATTTTTATTTAGTTAAGAAATAAGAAATATTTAAATAAAATTCTATAGCATAAAAATTAATTTATTATTTTAATAATTAATAATTCGTGCAAAACTTTAGCCACTTAACAAATTAAAGAAAAATTGCTAAAAACAATCTTTCTGTTGTAATTAAAGAAAAACACAAAAATGTGAAAGTGTAAAATGACAAAATAAGGCATTTCTTCATTAATTTCAATTTTATTTCAACTTTAATTTTTGTTCAACTTTTTCTTAAATATCTTCTACATTTTATAATGAACATATTACTGTTAATAAAAAAAAATTTATATATATAAAAACAATGAAATTTAAAATTTAAGAATATGAAAAAAAAAAAAATTTCATTATTTTTACTTCTAATCATTTATGTGAATATTTTTAAACAATTTTTTTAATGTGAAAAGATTTCAAAAAAAAAAATTAAAAATTTTTGTAAAAACCCTTGTTTATTTTAAAAAAATATTCGAATATCTTACAAATGAAATTTTAATTTAGAATCCCACATTAAACTTAATATTAATGATATTTGAGGTACACAGGAATGGCCGGGTACATATCCTTAACCCACTCATCAAGCACAACGGCCAAGGGCTGCTCGCTTATCCTTTTCAATAAGTTTACAACAACAACACATTTTATTAACAAAATTAAAAATGATTAATTATAATTATAAGATAATTATGATTTAATGCTGTGTTATAATTATATAATTATAATTAAAATAATATAATAAATAGGTCTATTGTGACTACACTACTTAAAGTAATCAATTTCTTAAAGAATTCAATTTCTAAATGTAGCTTTTTTAGATACTGTAGTTCAAAACCATTTGGTGGCTAATCAATAAATTAAGTTACAATTGGACTGTCAGCAGTATTGTATATACAGTAAACCTTTAAAAGAGGTACATAAATGAATAACAAGACAATGCAGAACAAATAAATAGAAAGAGATGGGGTTAGGTTAGTTTTCAACTGTTGCGTCAACCCTACAGAGACCTTAAGGAAATGTCAGTAGAAATTAGTGGAAAATGTAAGTCGTTCCAATATGTAAACTGGTCGCTTCTAGAATCTAACATCAATATTTCATTTTTCTATTGGTTATTGTGTATGTATATATATAGAATTCTAGAAATAGATATTCTATATATATATATATATATATATATAAATATTTCAAATAAACTAGCTTTATAATAATAAATATAATATTTTAACATATTTTGATATTGTGGTGTACCATCAAAATTTTGCTAGTTACAGTTTCAGTTAAATTAAGTAAAATCTAAATTAAGTAAAAAATAGTATTTATTTCATAGATTAATGTTTTTATTATTTATTGCAAATATGTGCTTAAATTTTATATTTTTAATTAATAATATTTATTTAATAACCGTAAATATATGAAATAAATACTATTATTATATTTTGCCTACATAAACTAAAACATAAACTGTAGGTATATGTATATACAATACAATAAGTGTTCAGAGTTTTCAATATATTATTACTATTATTATATTACATGGTTGATTGCTGTAGCCTATTTTAGACAGGCTCAGCGGACTGCTATGGACTGCTTCTTGAAGCTTTATTCTTATAATATTTTGCAGTATGAAATATACTCAGTCTTTTTAATAAAATTTGTAGGGTATTTGAATATATTTTTAAGTTATTCAGTTAAATTTCTTTATAATGTGAAAATCAATTGACTTCTTCAATTGTTAATGTGATAATCATCACATTAACAAAAAATTACTTTTACGTCATAACTATTTTTAATTAAGGATTTTATTAAAGTCAATACTAAGGATTTTAAATTTAAAATAAGGAATTATGATGTGTACGTTCATTACATAAATAAATATAAGATATGCATAAGTGTTTAAAAAAGTTATTGTTATAGTTTTTTTTGCTACAATTTTTGAAAAAACGGAAAGAAATATAACTGAAGTATAAAATATGAATTAAATACAAGAAGAAAATCTTATTTTCGTAACAAACAAAATAATTTTAGTTTTACTTAAATATCTTACTACAAAAAAAATTATATATCATAGCATTTTCTTGTGTAAGAATAACTAATAATTAAAACAGAAAATAAACAACCATATATACAAATGATTGTTTCATAATCAAAAGGTGCTAAACTTATTTACAAAGTTTATATAATAAAAAAAATTGAAATATAAATTTATATACCTCAAAAGCAATTATTTTTGTTCAAAGAAGTCGTAAAATATATTGTAGAAATTGTTGAAAAATAATTAAACATAATACAATTAAAGATTCTGTTTATTGTATATTTTATTTACAAATAAAAAATTCTATTTTCATTTTATATAAATTTTAATTAAGATTAAGAAAACCAAAACTTAAAGCTTAAATTAACATATTAAAGAAAAATTAATGATAGTTTTTACTATACATAAGGGAAATGTCTTATTTTATGTAGAAAATTACAAACAATATATATAAATTATTTGCTATTATGAAAATGAAATTATTTTTAATTATAAAATGTATATTTTAAATAAATAACTATACAAAATAAAAACAAGAAGAACAACCACTGCCTTTCGTTTTCAACCGCTTCAAATTAAATAAATTATTTATTTATCAAATCTCATATACAATAATGTAAATGAATTAAATATTTGTAACTAAATGGACACCAATTTAACAACAAAAAAAAAAAAAAGAAAATGTTTTATAATTTAAAACAATAAAGTACGTATAGATTTTTTTTCACAATTTATACCAATATTAATATTGCAAAATTAAATAGATTTAAATGTAAAATGTAAAAATTATCATTTTAAAAAGAAAAAGAAGAAGACTTGAATTTTATGAACTTAAACAATAAACATAGAATTAAATTATAAAAAATAATAAGTCACCATTAAACTAAGTCCGAGTAACGCCATACTAAATCCTTGTCCAAAAACGATCCACGTTAACTTTGTACATAACTAAAGCGCAGTAGGTTTAAAAATAAAGCTATATATATATGGTATGTACATACATTTCAAAGAAATTTTGAATAACTTATAATACACCTACCATGATATATACACGCCATTCAATCAATAAAAAATAAATGAAAGTTTAAATTATCTGTAAAGTAAAACATATATGCAGAGATAAATCTTATAATAAATGCTAATCATATATATAAAAGTGGTGCATTGTAATCATATTTATATGTAAGTTTGACAAGATAGCACTCTAAGAACTTTTTAATATTGATGTAAGTAATTCATCCCAGTCTCTTATAAATAAAAGAAGATATTTGTAAGACGATTTTAGATTGGAACTTTGTATCGAAAGTAAAACGATTTTTTGATATTTTGTTTTATTGGTTGGTAGAAAAATAATAACTGCTATAAGTATAGGGTCCGCAAAGAATATTTTGGAGATAATAGAATCATCAATTTATGGGATAAAAATTATATTTTTTACCATAATTAATTTAGTGTATTAAAATACTTAATAAAATTAAAATACTTAATTTTATTGTTGTAAAATTTTGATTGATTTCGAAATTAAAATAAAAACAATTTTTTTAATTTTTTTTGTTTTGTAAAAGACTTAACTTCGAGATATTAGAATTATTCAAATATTCTTTATACATAAGATCGAACCAAAATCGAACTTCTTGGTTCGATCTTGGTGGATTTCTGTAACGAATACTTTATTATGTTCCTGATTATAATTATAATTATACATAAAAAAATATTTCATTTCTATTTAATTAAACGTTGAACTGATCGTTGAGTTAAAAATTAATTACGAGTATAATTCCAATTATTTAATTATCAAATAATTGTTTTGAATGAGAAATAAAAAAGTGTTTTGAATATATTCTTTCAAAAACATGCATACATATATATACAAAAAATCATTTGCACAAATTAAGCAATGATTTAAATGATAACCTTTAAGTATTGGTTTTACACTGTAGTTGGTTTTATAGTATGTTTCTTTAAGGATTAGAAGAAGTCTAAAGATACTTTCCAATAACAAAATTTCAATTTTTGATAGATCAATTTACATTTAGATTAGTTTTTTTTTTTAATTTAAACAAATTTCCAAAGTAATTGCATATAATTATATAATATAATATTATATTATGCAATATAACAGATACATATAACAGATGCATATAATTACATATATAATATAGCTTATAATATATTATTATATTATATAACTATATATAATTACTTGTATAAAACATTGGAAAGTAAGGCATAGAAATATTATTCATATTGATTTCAAAAAGAGTAATATATCATAATAATGCATAAATAGTATAAATATATAGATAAATATATCATAATATATAGGATATATAGAACTAATATATAGAACTCTCTGCATTTCACGCACTTGCAACAATCAAAAACTTCAAGATAGATTCAATATTTTTTTTTAGCTGGAACGACATCTTCCATTCACATACCATGCTTCAGCCAGCATATCCATTAATTCTTTATTCGACCATCGTAAACCATATTTACGAGTAACGTAGATAGGACCAAACAATTCTATACAATGTATTTAAACCTATTTACATAAAACGAAATTGGAACTGTACGGAGCAAACCTCTCTAGGTGCACTACCTTCATTTTGCAACGTGTCATTCTATAACGCTGTAGTTATACGTCTATCGCCATCTTGTGTGCCCAATACATCAATTTGTCCCACCCAGGAACCTTCTGTAAAATCAACAGCAGTATTATAACCCATTTCATGGATTCCTTCACGTATTTTTGCTTGAAATGCATTATCCGCATCATCATTATATATGCCCAAGGTGAACCACCTTTACCATGATCATCTGGTGTGTAGTTATTACGTACAAAACGTTGGTCTTCAGGTCTACGGAAATATGGTAGCACATCGTTATAACTCAAAGTTGGATTACCACGATCATGCCAATCTCCACGTGTACCAAGTGCATAGATTATAGCATTCACGCCACTTGTTCCACCTAACATTTTACCATGCAAGCTTTACCATGTGGTTCAGTGTGATATTGCCAATCTCAGTTTGCTTGTATTGCCATATACCAACCGACAAACCCTGTAACAATAACAGTAACAAATTCGTCACAATATGTATGTTAAGCCTTTAACCGCTGAATATATTCAGGACACATTATCCGAACTTTATTTTGTATCTATCAATACAAAATGCAAATGAATCGAAATAACTAATGTGGTAATAGAAATATAATTTATATACATAAATATATATATACATATATATATATATTATATATATATTATATATATATATATACATATTTAAAATATTGTATAATGAAAACGAAAGCAAGTTACAAGTCATAATATTAAGAATTAATTCTTGATTAGAAATAGAAAAATGTAAAAATTAAAATGCAATAAATGTTCATTTTAACAACATCTGAAATCAATAAAAATAGAATATATCTAATAAAAACATTATAAAAATCCTAATATAATAAAAAATAGGCAAATTTACAATGTAAATTAGCATAAGGAAGGAACCCTATTTTTATTATAAGTGAAATATACAAAACTAAAAAACAAAGCAATAAAAAGTCTTGAACTAATCTTTTAGATCCCAGCAAAGGAACTGTTGTAAGGATTCAAAAACCAAAAAGCAAAAAATAAAATAAATATAAACAAAATTCTAGTTAACAGACAAATTGTACATTTTTATATATGTAAATAATACAAAAAATATAAATCTTAAAGCTAAATGAAAACTGAATCTAAGCAGGAAAAATAAAAAATAAAAATAAAAAAAAAAAACTAGAAAAATAAATGATTAGTAATATTGTGTCTTCATTTTGTAATTATAGTAGTTAAGAAATTTTCGCGATAAAAATGATAATATATATTATATTGATAAGTTCATGCTACAAAATAATAAAATCACTATTAAGAATATAATAATTCTATAAGTTTCTGTAATAACGTAAAATTATTTGTAAGCGCAATTAAAATACATTGTTTTGGATATATGTGCGTAAAGTTACAAAATATATAGAATAAATATATTATAAAATTATTAAAAAAATTAAAGAACTTGTTATTTTTACAAACGTCTCTTCTAAGAAGTAGACACACCTTTGTTTTTGGATTCGAGTATTTACCTAATTATAACACAAACTGGATTGCTTGCATATCATTCACTTATCGGTTCGATCTCGGTGGATTTCTGTAACGAATACTTTATTATGTTCCTGATTATAATTATTATTAATTATTATCGAAAGTCTCTCAGGCAGAACAATCAAAACAATTACTTAGTCGTATTGAGATTATGCTATATACTTGACTATCCGTGTTGTGGAATGAGTTCCGTTTTCGATGATAGTCATACTCTATGTCTCTTCAGTTCACAAAAGTTATACATATTAGTAATGGCAATGATATAAATAGATAACTTGATTTTGAGTAAAATCTTATCCATTTGAAAAAGTAGGATATGACTCCACAATATTAAGAGATTTCATTAATGCAAAAAAATAATAATAGTAAAGATTTTTACATGCTTTATCAAAGCAGTCAAAACCATCCTTAAATAACTAGAAACTAACACTGAAGAACGTAACACTGAAGAAAATTCTAAACTGTGGAAATGTTTAATAAGATAGATTGGCATCAAAAATATATGACTCTGACTAGTTGACTAGTTGGACATATTATTTGAAAGAAACTTGACTTAACTAATCAACATACAGTCAAAGTTCCATAACTCGAACTCTTATAGCTCGAATTCTCTATAACTCAAACCAAAAACAGTCCACCAAAGTTTCAGAGAGCAAGTTATATACAATTCTGCTTCCATAACTCGAATTTCTCTATATCTCGAACAAAAATTTTGTTCCGTGCCGATATGAATATGGGGAAGGTGCATTCTATAAGTCGAATTTTTGTTTTAAGTATAAATGCATTTTGCTGTTAGGGGAAGTCCCTTTTTCCAAACCAAATGTTTAATATTTTCTTTCTTATGTTGCTTCTTTGTGCAAATGCCAGTCGCTGGCAGCGTGGTTTAAAGTAAATAAAATAACTTCCAATGCTACTCTTAACGATTATATTCAGCTTGACAATGATATTTCTACATATGACGATATTATTGAGCATTTAGCTCTAAATTACTGGATCCGATTCTAAGTACAACGGAAAGTGATGATAAGGGTTCGGTGGATGTGAGTGTTCATTAGTCTTCCAAGATTGAAATAGAAGGCACATTCCAAGTTCTGAATTTATATTTGCAAACGAATGATACTACAACTGATGATCACTATAAGAGTATGAATAAAGTGGAATATCTTTTTACTTAAAATAAGAAAAAAATTAAAGTCCCAAATCCTAATTTCTAAATATTTTACTTTACTATAACTTCTGTGCTTTATTTGATTGCAAATAAATAAATATATATACATAAAAAATAAATAAAAAAATTCTCTAACTCGAAGTCTCCATAAGTCGAACCGTTTCTTTGCAAAATTCGACTACGAGTTTTGAAAGTTTGACTATATATGTATATACTATATAATATTGAATAAATTTTATGTTATTATTCGCATATTTCGGTTTTATAGAATTGACATTGAAAGTGAAATTAATTTATTATTTATGTACCATGCCAAAATATAAATGAATAAATAATTATTTAGAATAACTGTATGTGTTCTATATAGAATGCATATGTATTTATAAATTTATATAAAAATCAATAAAAATGAATAACTTTTACCTAAGTCTTTATGCTTCGCTTTCTTGAACATACATTTTTTATGTTATTTTTGTCACAAAATAAATTTTATTGGTATCCAACATAAAATCCTCTAGGCAACCACTTGTCAATCCTAAAGATCGATCAAACTTTGCCCGAGTTACTCGTTCTACTTAGCATAGACATTTTTAAAAATTTTCTACATTGTCAGAAGAATTTTTATGTTAACGACAGACGTTTCATATAGTCAAGTTTAATTTGCTCGAACGAAATTTTAATTAAAAAAAAATTATAAAATATTGTCATATAATATAGAGCATAATGTTACCTAATTGGAAAACCACTCGTTTAACTGGGCTGGAATTGACTGGGAAATATTTAGAACCTCGAGCAAGAATACCTCCGAAATATAGCCATGAGGATTGGACATATAATAACAATATTAAATTTCGTATTACCTGCGATCAAGAGCGTTTAGCAGAACGAGTTGTAGAGTAAGTATGAACTGTAGGGTTTAAAAATATAATTATTGCATGTACCCAAAAAATACGTGTGAATATTTTCTATATAGGAGATATTATTCCTACAATACATTCTTTGAATACATTTGTATTTTTAGATGTGGGATGATTTTTTAAATTAATTCTTTAATTACACACATATATTGATGGTATTTCAAATATTAATTCACTTTCCTTGATATCTTATCCAAGAGAATCTCGTCGCACTGTTGATGAAAGAAAAGATACCACTAAAAATTGGCAACGTGAGGTTGAACACCATTTACGTGAACGCGCGAGTGAGATCCGTTTCCTTTGTGATGAACTAAATAGACAAAAAAAGACTGCCTTACTTGAAGATGAAGCATTATCGGTTTATCGTGATCGAGTTCTAAATGCTATTGAGTTTTTAAAAGAGAAATCTTTGGCCATAAACCATCGTTGCTTGTTACTTCGAGAAGGACGAATTGGAGTGGACTTATGCGATGATGAAGTGGATCGAGAATTACGTCAAGAGTTAAAAGTTATTAAGGGTACTCAATGTTTGATGGATAAAGTCATTAAGGAAGCAACTGAGCAAATCCGTATGCTTAGATCAACGATGTATTTATTGGATAAAGACTTGGAGCAAAAAGATGTATCTTTGCTAATTGATGAGAAGAATCTAAAATTACGTGAGACTCAACAAAATCTAGGTGTTGGACAAGATCTCACAAAGCACAATTGGTTAGTATAAAATTCTTTTGATTTTATTTATCATGTTATACAAATATTTGTATTTAAAATTAAGCCAATATACTTTGCATGAATGGGAGCACAAAACTCATCAAAATTTGGAGACTAATTCGAAGCAACTTAACTCTGCCTCACAACTTCGTGCTTATATTGATCTTATATTGAAGCAATTCTGTGAGGACATGCAAAATCAAACTGATCGCACAAATGATGCATTTGAAAGTCGCATTAAAGAAACAAAATACGTTAAGCAATGCTTAGAAAATAAGCATAATGACACATTGCATCATATCGAAGAAGTACAACGCAATATGCAACAGTTAGAAAAAGAAATAGCAGATGCACACCGTTCTATGACATTGTGCCAGACTCGTTTGAGTAATCGAGCACGACGACCTGGTCTCGAGTTGACTTGTGACACTGTACAAGATGCTCTTTATCACGAACTTGAAGCTTTGAAAGCTACCCTATGTAAATTGAAGCAAAACCTTATGGAAAACAAGGCCAGTCTTCGCTATTTATTGCATGTCCAATTGATGCAAGAGGAAGAGATAAATATAAAAGCCAATACTATCAAAATTGATGAAATAGATTGCATGACTATACGCCAAGCACTTAAATATCAATCGTTTTAAATTAAACAGACACAGACATCTTATACAAAAATTCAAAGTAAAAATTTGTTATTTATTCTATATGTTAGATCAATCCGGCAATAATTATTTTATTATTTATTGAAATACATTTTATTTATATTTTGTAGCTTCAAATTTAATCAAATAAATGTTCTAGTGCAAGCGTTAAATAATCATTCAAAAAATAACAGCTTGACCTACTAAAAAATGCCTTTTGATAACATTCATTTGTATATAAAAATAAGGGAAATATAAGAATACTAAATCCAGGCAAGGTTTGTAGATAAAAGAGGCATTCAAATTATATTATAACACATATATAATGAAAAAATAGTTTATATTATGCCAACGGCTCATGCAACACTTGAGTAAAGTTTGAAAATTGATTTCGGTGCATACATTTTTGGTCTCGGCTACATTAAATGAGTTGTGCAGATTGAAAATTTGTAAACTGAACTCCGCTTGGTTGGTGTGTGCATTCTTGGTATACACAAGAAATCACAAATTACTTATAAATTTAAATTTTACTCACGCATAAAATGATAAGTAAAATTTCAATCCATTTTTAAGTGTAGCAAACTGTGTGAAACTGTTATAAAAACGAATATTCATACTCAACTTTACGCAAGTGTGGCATGAGCAAATACCGTTTGTATTCGTTTGTAAACATGTTGAATAAAATCAACATATTTTAGGTGGCAACACAAAATAATATAAAATTCTTTGTTTTGATATATGACAGAATATATATGGAAAACATCATTGCATTGAATTTGATTTCATATTTTCTGAAAATATCAAAAACTTAAATAATTAATTAAAATGAAAATATATCTTCTAAAAACAATTAAATTGAATAGAAATAATCCAGAAAAAAATTTTTCAACAACTGATTGTTAACTTTGCAAATATTTTTAAAAATAAATAATTTACTGGTTATCGGAGTTGCTTATTGTATCAGCAGTCTCAAAGAAGGTAAGTTAAATAAACCAAAATTATGCTAATCCTTAAATAAGCGATTGAAAAACTTTTGAAAAGATTACGTGATTAATTCTCTGTTGATGCAAGTTAAATAAAGCGATACATTTATTAATTAAATTTTTTTTCATATAGTCCATAAAGACATGTATTGAAATTAATTCTACAAAAACAACTAAAAACTATTTATATTTTATACATATTGTTTTTAACATCGTTTTTATATATAAAGTAATCTTCTTTTGCAATATCAGTAGTTTTAACATTGAGTTTATTGCTGTCAAATTATGCTTGCGACAATGTATGCAAGTGTAAATAGGTAAAATGTGTTCGCATGTGTGTGTTGCGGTTGGTGGTAGCATTATAAATATTTTAGTACAAATTTTAGACCACATTTTAGTTCGTTGGCAGCTCATTTTCACTGCATTTTGCAAAATGTCTGCGAGTGTTAACGGCATACACGTAATATTTGTTATTAATAAAATATACATTGGAGCATAGAAAATACCATAAATAGTAAGTTAAAATTATATAAAACTTTTATTTCTTTGCAGTACTATACTTTACATGTGTTTGTACATCTAGTATTACGAACCTAATTTGTTAATTTTTCACACATTCAGAAAATGTCGAAAAGAGCCGCAGATGACGGAAGTAGTGGCACAAGTGCCGGATCGTCCGGCACGAATATTGGACAACCACCAATAAAAAAGGTTCATTTTGAACCACATCTCATTGGACCCGTGTCGACGTTAGAAGAGATGGACATAAAAGTGCTTGAGTTTCAGAATAAAAAACTAGCTCAACGTATTGAGCAACGTATGCGTACGGAGTCGGAATTAAGGCATCGTATTGAGCAATTAGAGAAAAGGCAAACCCAAGATGATGCTGTATTAAATGTTGTAAACCGGTATTGGAATCAGTTAAACGAAGACATTCGTGTTTTGCTACAACGTTTCGATGCAGAAACTGCTGATGAGTCTGAAAGTAGGAACCAACATGATAGTACAACGTCATTTCTCACTCAACTATCCACATGGGATAAAGAAGAATTGGATGATAAGTTAGCCAATAGAGTTCAAGTGTCGAAACGAGCAGTTGCAAAAATTGTTCAAGTTATTGATCGGATTATGCAACGTAACGAAAAAATTACTGATGCTTTAAAAGATACAATAATAAGCGGTGGTAATAGATCAGGTAAAACTGAAGTTGAAGATGATGTTGACAGCAGTACACAAGGTAGTTCTTCTATAGATGAGACGTTAAAGCAAACACATATTGAAATTATGACTGAGAACACCAATTTGCAACGGTTAAACACAACTTTACTTGAAAGATATCACAACGATTCTCTAAAATTAAAGGAATGTCAGGACAAATTAACTGCCAAAGAAACTGAAAATGCAGAACTTAAAAATCAGATCGATGAACTGCAGTATGATCTTGAGAAAATACATTGCAGGAATGATAAACTAGAGAACCATTTGGCGGAAGCTATAGAAAAACTAAAAGCTTATCACCAAATGCATGGTGATCCCAATAAAAACTCAAGTGCTTCTAAGACTGCAACACCGACTAATATAAATAGCCAACATTTTGAAGACTTACAAAAGGAGTTAGAAGAATATCGTGAATTAGCTAATAATCGCCTACAGGAGTTAGACAAGTTACATTCTACTCACCGTGAAACACTTAAAGAAGTTGAGAAGTTAAAAATGGATGTAAGTCTATTTATATTAAAAAAATACTTAATAATTAAATTAAAATTGTTTTTAAGATTCGTCAACTACCGGAGTCAGTTATAGTAGAAACTACAGAATACAAATGCTTGCAATCACAGTTTTCTGTTTTATACAATGAGTCGATGCAAATCAAAACTATGCTTGATGAAACACGTAACCAACTACAATCAAGTAAAAACCAGCATTTACGACAAATTGAAATAATGGAAAGTGAAGAGTTAATTGCCCAGAAAAAAGTACGTAGCGAAATGATACAAATGGAAGGTATGCTCGAGGAGATTCGAAAAGAATACGAAAACCTACGTGTTGAATTCGAACAAAATATGGCAGCAAACGAGCAAACTGCACCAATAAATCGAGAAATGAGGCATCTTATAACATCACTCCAAAACCATAATGGCCAGTTAAAAGGCGAGGTGCAACGTTATAAGCGAAAATATAAAGATGCTTCTGCTGACAATGTTAAGGTGAATTTTACATATTTTTTTTAATATTTAAAATATCTGTCTTAATCGAAGTTGAGTTAAATAAATTTAGTGATGTCCCTATCGCGACATACATGTACAGAATTCAATCCACTTATCCTGCATGGCTTATTCTGCTTATATTAATAATTTAATTACATTATATTATATTATAAATATTGCATAAATAATCCATTTTTTCTTTCATTCAGCATTTATGTAGTATATTAAACATTGTAAAGAGTTTGGGGATTTAGTCATAAGAGAATTAGAATAATAACAGAATATTTAGTTTTACTAACTAACTCAACTTTACTAAGTTTTGTTCAAACAAACGTTTTTGTTCTTGTTATTGCGTTGGATCTCTAAGTAGTATCAAATTAGCTGTAAAATTTTAGGGAAGACCATTTTTTATTGATTGTTAATGTATTTTTTACACTTACATGTACATAGAAAAAATTTTACCTTACTGTTAATTTAATTTTTTTTAACTTCTATTGGTATTGTTGAACAATTACAGTAAGTCTAAGGTCTGATATGCTGATTTTTAATCTTCTTCAAGTATGCTCTTATTCGTCTATGTTTCGTCGATATATAAGAATCAAACTCGTTATAATTGCTGCTATTTAAAAATCTCATTTAGGAACTTATTGCAGAACTTAGACAATAATTGCATTTTTCTTTCAAATTTTTATAATATAACTTTATATAAGAAAACTAATATATAATTATATTTTCAGTTGCGTAAAGAACTTGAAGATACTTTGGTAAAATTAGATGGTACTAAGCAGCAAGGTTTACCGTGCGATGAAATAAAACAAGAAGGTATGTGTGTGCTTAAGGAGGAAGCATCTTTACTCGGTATTGGATGCACAGGGCTAGGTATTAGTGATATGAATGCACCTCTAAAAGATGAGCCGATGGCATCAAATAAAAGTAAGAAAGTGTCTAAGTCAATATATAACAAGGCATAATGTTAAAATAAATTTGATATTTATTTTTTTAGTGGAAGATGAAAATGAAGATGACTGTCTTAAGGATTCAAAAGATGGAATAAAATCAGAAAAATTATCACCATCCCAAAGTGGCGATAAGAAAGACATATTAACAGCTGGTGGAGTTTGTCAATCAGCTGGTGCAAATGCAAATGCTGCTGGAGGTGTGAGTATAAAAACGGAGAAAGATTCTAAAGAAGCTCAAAAATCAAAAGAAATGAAGCTCGCAGAATCGGAACTCGTTAGAGACTACAAAGCTCAATTAAAGTAAGTTTTTGTACTTATTTAAGTGTGTTATCTACCCAAAATGTAGTAGTAAAATATAAATATTGATTATAATAAATTTATATTATAATTTATTTATATAAAAGCACAGAAAAAAATATGTATAAGTCAACTTCACTGTTGCATTGTATTGCAATATTTTTTTTTGTGAAATGATTTCTATTTATTAAATATCAGAAATGAAGTATATGTTTCTAACAATTTTAGTTTATATTTACGTATACATTGATGTGTGTAAATACTGGCTTATGTTAATTTGAATATAAATAAATATTTTACTTTCAGGAAAGCTCTGAATGATCAAAAGGAAATGAAATTACTTCTTGACATGTATAAAGGTGTTTCAAAAGATCAACGCGATAAAGTACAACTTATGGCAATTGAAAAAAAACTACGTTCCGAAATAGAGGAATTGCGGCAGCAACTTAAGAAAATACAAGAAAGTAAACGGGAAGAACGTAAAAAACTAGCTGATGAAGAAGCATTACGTAAAATAAAACAATTAGAAGAACAAAAGTATGAGCTACAAAAACAAGTAGCTAATCAAAAGCCGAACGATAATGCTTGGGGCGGACCAGGAGCTCCTAATTATGCACGTCCATTTGTGGGTTCCCATGAGGAGGAAGCATTGTTAAATGAAATGGAGGTTACTGGTCAAGCGTTTGAAGATATGCAGGAACAAAATTCGCGTCTAATTCAGCAATTGCGCGAGAAAGACGATGCCAATTTCAAGTTGATGTCTGAACGTATAAAAGCGAATCAGTTGCATAAGTTATTACGTGAAGAAAAGCAAGTACTTGAGGATCAAATGGCTACACGTGACGCTCAAATAGAAGCGATGCATATAGTGCTGCGTAAGCTGGAAGAAAAAGAACGCATTTTACAGTCCACAGTCGCTACTATAGAAAAAGAATTGGTATTACGTCAACAAGCCATGGAAATGCACAAACGTAAAGCTATAGAATCAGCCCAATCTGCAGCTGATCTTAAATTGCATTTAGAAAAGTATCACTCGCAAATGAAAGAAGCTCAACAAGTCGTTGCTGAGAAGACCAGCTCTTTAGAGGCTGAAGCTTATAAAACAAAACGTCTACAAGAAGAGTTGGCGCAATTCAAACGTAAGGCCGAAAGAATGAAAAAGATTGAAATGGCCGGCACCACCATTGACGAGGTTATGTTAGAAGAAATTCGTGAATACAAGGAAACACTTACTTGTCCATCGTGCAAAGTCAAACGTAAAGATGCTGTACTTTCGAAATGTTTCCATGTGTTTTGTTATGACTGTTTACGTACACGTTATGAGACTCGTCAACGTAAATGTCCAAAATGTAATTGTGCTTTCGGAGCTAATGATTACCATCGATTATATTTGACATAAAGATACAATTTACATTTTAAATTTTATATATAAGATTTTGTGTAACTTTTTTGTTTAATGATTTTAAACAAATCGCTTATTTTATTAATAATTTCGATTTTATAATTTTCATTTTTTATTATTTAATAGTTTTATTATTTGATTATTTATAATTTAATATTTTTACAAGAAAATATTTTAAAAACTTTTTCAAAGTACAATTAGTGGGTACTCTTTTCTTTTTAAATAACATCTAAATTACTATGTAACCTTTTTTTATAAAAAAGATATTCTGTGCAAATTCTTAAGAGTAATAATATATATAATAATTATATATATCATAACTGTAATTATTTTCAAAGTATATATCTGTTTATATCTATTTTTTAATAAGAATGTTGATTTAGATTTAAATTAATTTAGTAATAATTATGTAATAAAGTGTTGGATAATAATTTGTATAATTTAACACAAAAAGGTTTTTAAGAAATATATAAAGATTACACAAACATACATTTTCTTGAACTGAATAGGTTTTCAAATTTATAGCAATGGATAATTTTTGATTTCGTACAAATTGAAGCTAATAGAAAAAGTATACAAAGCAGATTATGTTCTTATAAGAAGGCCTGGGATTTGTTAAATGTATAAATAAAGATAAATAAACTTTTTGAAAACAGGTTCTATGATCCAAATTTATTTATTTTATTTGTAGTATTGTGATTCATATATGTGAAGAACGTATTGTGATTCGTAATAACCGTCTTATAACCTTCTAGGGGAATCATCTGATCTACAATAGAAACCTTCAAAGTTTTGCTGGGTTAAAACTGTTTTCAGGTTGACCAATACTTCAAAGTAGAAATATTCTCACTTATCTGGAAAGAACCGTCTAATATGTGTTACAAGTGTTCAACTGTATATTATTTATTATTAATATTATTTTTACTCAGTATTAATATTTATTATTTAATTACATTTACTTTTAGCAGTTTTACTGTTTACATCCACAAATTGTATATGTGATGTGACTATTAATTAGATTAATAAAAGATATGACATTTCAATTAAATATTAAGTTTTTTAATGTGTCTTTAATTTATACCTTTTTGTATATCTTCGTATATTTAAAATTAAATAGAAAACGCATTTTAATCATAAATTTTGTGATTGTGTAACAGTGTAATTAAGCTGGCATTGATGTGTCATAACAAATTATGTAAATTCTATTGTTCGAAATAAGATTTTAATAAGGTCATGTCGATTTATTATAATAAACGAAACGACTAATACTATTACTCATTATGGGACCTCATTAGCACAATTTTGTATTAATTTTATATGAAAAATGTATTTTTGGCGTTTGTGTATACGTACTATAATTTTCTTACATTCATTTTAAACACAACCCAACTCATTCTTTCATCCATACCAATAATCACATTGAACACGTGCAATAGAGAATATAAATGATTTTCATTTGAAATAAATCTGTCTTTTGTTTAACATAATTCATATCGTAATAAATGCCATTTATTACAGTAAATAACATTTGTCATGATGTAGGTTTTACCTTAAGCATATAGTACAATAAATGCAATTAATTAAAATAAAAGACATTTAAATTAAAATAGGAATTTTAAATAGTGATGGTAACCTTAATTCAAAGCGGTCGCTAATATTAAGCCAGTACTTGGCAACAATCATTAAAACGTTAGCAGCATGTTGACAGCGTGTATAAAAAGTAATAGTAATTTACTGCAATAATTCTGTATTAAGTTAATTAAGTGATTACAAAATACACTACATAAAAAAGTGAGGCTTATTGTAATTTATTAAGTTATTTGTGATTTTATACATATTTGAATACGTTAAAAAAATAAAATTAATATAGCATTTACGGTTGATTAAATGTTTATAAACATCGAATATGTACGTGTTAGCAACTTTTCTCTGCACGCACAGCAACAATAGGGAAATTATTTACTTCAGTTTCATTAAAGCCGCCGTGGTTGGTGTTGCGAATGTCTTGTTGCGGAGTGTAGGTGATTGTTAAATAAAGTTGAATTTTACAACTTCACTGCAAAAAGAAATGATAATATTAATTAATCATATTTATGAAATTAGTGTTTATGTTGTTGCCATTAATTAAAATATTGAATGTATTTGATACGGAATAATAATATTAGAGAGTGAAAAGAAAATTTTTGCATTGCCATTTCGAATTGATTTTTCCAATTAGTAAGATATAAAAATTAGAAGAAAATACTGAATTTAAAAAGGTGATATGATAAACATTTTTAATATTTATTATATTTCAAAATAGATATACTTTTTATTAAGTGCACTAAATAATCAAATATTATTTTGAGACGTTTAACTAAACTAGCCTCCTCCCAGATAATAGCAAGTAAAACAGGATCAAACTAAAATGTTGCATGGCAGTAAATAAGAGAATACCAGCAGCAGCAGCAGCAGCTGCTGCTGTCCCTTCATATTGGCAAGCCTACGTATATTAGTTTATATATGTATGTACATAAAGTTCGTACATAAATTATTTCTTTATGCTTTGCAAAATTTATTTATGTTTTTGCAAAGGCGGTATTATTTTCAAGCATATTTCTTTTACTCTAAAATTGTCAAAAAAATTTACTGTTGAATTGGGAAGAATTAATGTGAAGTAACCCTCATTTCCTTCTCTTGATCAACTCTGCACACATAAACAGAGTACTGTTTTTATCTAACCGTTATTGTATGTGTAATTGTTTCAGATACATATGTATGTATATAAATCGTTTATTTACATGGTTTAAATTAATACATTTTCGAACAAATAGGTTCTTGTTGGAGTGGAAACTTCACTAAATTTTTATCATGACGTATTTACGAGCCCCGATTTTTATTTTCTAAATAATGAACTCATGTTAAAAATAAAACTCTGCCGCAGAAAAAAGTAGAAGAAGCGAGAAGTTTGTCTAAACATCTTGAGATGTTTATAAACACAAAACCCTACAATGAAGTTTCGTTGACAAGTGAAAAATGTGAGGAACAAAATTTTCGGTTGAGTTGATGTGTGCCCGCATTTTGTGTACTTTTTCTAGTGCAATTTCAAGAGCAAAAATATTAATATCTCGATTGCCTCAAGCAAAAATTATACACAATAAAAGGGATCAAACGATAAATAAAATCCGTTAACATAAGAGTTTTAAATTTGTATATAGTATATATGATGAAAGTATATGTTAGAACAGGGCTGTCCAAAGTGCGGCCCACGGGAAACATGCGGTCCGCGACATGATTTTAATCTGCTTCATTTACGCAAGTTTTCTTTTGGTGTACTGATAAAACTATATTATTTTATTTTTATAGTATAACAAATGAATGAATATAAATTTAATATTATAACCGTGTTTTTATTTCTGTCGAAAATAACAACGAACGTATTTATTTGTTTCTGCGGCCCTCCAATCTGGACAGTGATTTGTATTGGTCCGCGACACATCTAGTCTGGACAGCCCTGTGTTAGAAGATAGAATATGTTCTGTTGAATTCAGCTAGTATCGAACTATTCTATAATTTTTCAGTGTGGGTGGACAACATAGAGGTCAGTCTAACCGGCTGACCTGATTAGACTGACAAGAAGAATTTTAGTATCAAGAAGTATAGATTTTTGCATATCTTTCTTCTGTTATAAGGTTAGTCTACTTTATAAGTATGAATAGTTGTATATTGATGCCCATTTATTTCGTTAAAAAGTTTTATTGCTTAATCCATTTTTGCTGATCTACGTGTATACCTCTCAGGTTTTAATATTTTCTATATTCTGACGCATCTAGTTTCTAGTTGTTTAACGGTGCGTTTGGGTGTTTTCTGAGAATTCTGATATGTAACCATATAGAGGAGTACATTTGCTGATCTGCATCTAAATCTATCGCTGTTAACGAGTGGATGATGAAACTGCTTTTGTTTTGTCCTGATTTAGCTACATTTTGAATAGTAATCTGTGAATAATATAATATTATTTTTGTGACATTATTAGCTAGTGTGTAAAGATTTTGTACAGTATCGATGGAAATAGAACCTCTATAGGTCCTCTAAAGTTCAGTAACTAAATTGTTATTGTTACTGTTGTAGTCTGTGTTATTACATCGTTCGTAGGAGGTATGATGTTAAAATTTGATACACTTACACAGTTCAATTTAGGTTATTGAAGATCTCAATGTAGCTATCATACAAACTGAAACTTGGAATTGTTATCCTAAGCCAAGAAAAATAAGTACCAGAAAAACAGAACATGTAACCATTATTTGATTCTTTGTGATATAACCAACTCTGGTCGAATAACGAATTCAAGCGTTTTAAAAATAGTCCAGAATCCGGTAATTTAGAAATTCGTATAATAATAATACCGGATAGCGTTTAGAGCATCCTTCACAATAGCTTTATTCTCGGCGATACAAAGACAAATAACCACACAAAAAATGACTGAAAGTCTTGTTCCCTTTCAAACAGAGATGACTGTGTATTATTTCAGTCAGATGGATATCTTAACCTACACTGCTATATCAGTAAAATGAATCTGTTTAAAGTAACATAATGTCGATTCTTCCCAGAAAGGAAGAAGACTTATACTCATATTTTTTGTGACTGTGCCGGCACAGAAGCTCCTATTCCCAATCAATGTTAAGAACTCTTCAACGAGTGCTATTTTGACCTTCGTTTGAAAGATTGAATATCTTCTGTTTAGTTAGAACCTGTTAGTTGAACGTCAAAAATTCTATTATGATCACAGAAGTCAGCTCTGCTGATAGCCTCAATCTGTATTATAACCTATACCAACTAAAAGCATTGGTAAGGTAATAAGATAAGTTGTAAAAAGCGTGAGAAAAGAAAGAGTTACCGCCATGTGTCGTAGAGACGTTACCCACTTTTGAAGTATACCCATATTACGAAAAGAGTGGGCCACACGCCATGTCTACAATTACTTGTAATTTATTGTTTTTTTTTTTTGAAGTATCAAAAAGTAGGAAATAACACGCTGATTAATTTCAAATAAAAATGCATATGTAAAGCACATTTTAAATTTATTTCATCTATTGAAAGCGTCTAAATGCATTAGTCTACATTGGTAATGTTTTACGTTTCTTAAAATATTTTGATTTAATTAATGTGAATCGAATTAAAAAATGAATTAAATTAACTTTAGTAGGGCAATAAATTTTGACTTAATTCGTCGCAACTGTGTGAGTGGTGTATTGGTGAGTGATTGTTCAGTAGTGAAGCTGAAAAGAGTGCAATGAAGCAAGCGATGTGTTTATGGTTGTCGAATCCGAAGCCGAATCCAAATTTCGCGTCAACACATTCAGAGAAGCCAGCAATGAACTATTAAATTCGTGGACCTCTCGAGCACAAATTATGAAGCAACTGCAGACGAGTACGAATATCAATTGATCGTTGAAAGTCTTCCGCTTGCGTTTTCCCGCTTTAAATCATTTATTTAGTTGTTGTCGACAGAGAGCGGTAATTGCAGCTGCAACATAGTTGTTGCAGTTCTTCAGAAGTGAGGAATTCCATTAGCTTGGCTGGTTTTCGCTTGGTTAATTCCTCTATTTTAATTCCTATTTAGAAAATTGCGCTCTAAACGATTTGTTCGTTGCTGGGGTAAAAAAGTAAAAAAGTAATACAAAAATGAAAAGCAACGACAAGAAGACAACAACACAACCATCAATTGCTATGATATTTTATTGGTGTGAAGTGCTAGTTCTGTTAACATTCGCAGAGACACATAGTTTTGTGACACATTACCACACAGTTGATCTTAAAACAACATACACATTATGTTTTTCCATTTAATATTGAAAATGTCTATATAGACGTTTTTAACAATAATTTTTTGTGAAATAATTTTTCTGTTTTTTAATGCTATTAACTTGCACTTTACTATTATTTTCTTAGTGCTGTTAGCTGTCATTTTCACTGTGTGTGCTTCCCTTTTATGCCATAGTGAAAAATTATAATGAAATGACATGTTCTCCGGACAAAGATGAAAATGTATTTAATCACCCAGATATAAAAACGATATAAAAATTTGGGATAAGGTATTTTAGAACTTGGTCTGTTTGTTAAAGGAGACAGTATAAAAGATTGTTAAGGGTCGAGTATTCGCAAAAGTCTCTGATTTAGTATAAGTAAAAATTTATGATTGAATAGAATGGCACGATTAGTGTTTCTTTCAGCTATTTTATTTTTATATTTTCATTGGTTGTATTATAACCACCTGTTGGGTTATTTTTGGAGTCATGTTAGTCTGAGTCGTATATGAATTATAATATATAGTCCGCCCAGGACTGAGCATTCGCAACACCTTAAACCTGATTTAATATAACTATACTTTTAAATTTGAATAAAACAAAACACGATTAGTGTTTATTTCACATGTACTCCAATGGGATACCTAAATTTGTTGTACTGTAATAAACCAATAGGCTATGAATGAAGGTCTTTTCGTTTTAGTCGTAGATGCATCATAATATTCTATATTTCTTTCCAGTGTCGTTGCTCTTTTTATTGTAATATACTTTATTACAAAGATTTCAAAGTTCATACCAAAAGTGATACTTATCATTTTATATTTTAACTAATTGTTAATTTTGAACTGTTAATTTCATAGAGTTATCAAGATAAGAAAAATAGAAAGAATATGTTTAAAATTATTTACTTTTATTTTTTAATGAGAAAGTCGTAGATGAAAGGTTATATTTTGACAATAAATGCAATTTAGCAGTACTAAAATTTTTAAATAAGGGCCGGTGACTTTTGATCATAGCTTTTAGGTAACATATATTACAAGCTAATTATCACTTTCTGAAATTGCCAATAATTTTCTATAAAATCTGCTGAATATTTCATCATATTTCATTGTAACACTTGTTACTGTGACCACAGACACTATTGAGTAAAAGTACTTTAGACACTAACTCACGTTTCATCAAGCAAAGAATAAGAATGCTTGTAATTTTGATACTTAAATGTTTTCAAATAAAACTTACTGAAATTATCAATTTCTGTTCTTTGAAAAATTTAGATCTAGAATTGTAAACCAAGTGAAAATATTTTCATATTCCTCCGTCTATTTCGTGCAGTTATCAAGCACTTTTCTATTTTATTTCAAAAGTATAAAACACATAAACATCAAAGGATTTAATTTATATTTTTAGTATTTATTAATTATTTTTTTAATGCATCAATGTTTTTAGTTAGATTTTATTTAGGTTGATCATTT